AATGGCTGAGAAATTGATTTACCGACGAAACGCATTACATACCAATTTCGATGAAATGAGCCATGCTTTGCCAGGTGATGCTCTGGAAACCTTCCCAGAACCTTTGTCTGCACGGGATTTGATTTATGTGCATACAGAGCCACCCACGTTAGACGAGCTCCTTGCACAAATGCTCTCCGAGGGGATCCGACCGCAGGCAAGATTCCTTTCCCTCCTGCTACGATACGCGCCGACCTTCCGATCTGGTCTAGATTACCTAAGCTGCAGTGATTTGTCTAATGAGCAAATCAGAGCTTTGTGCACCGTCTGGTCACATAAGTCCGTCTACGACGAACAAAGTCAGAAAGTTGTAAACGAACTTCCCGCACATCTTTTCTCAGCATTCGTATACTTCCTGTGTAAATTCTCGACCTTCGGTGAAATGTCAGCCAGACATGCGAGAGATGCATTTCCGATCATTTTGGGCAGTTCGCAGATGGCCAACGGGGAGACATCGACCCTTTTTTCCCAGGATGAGTATCTAGGAAATGGAAATGAACATCGACACCCGAGGACTTTAGCACACGCAATCGAACTGCTTAGAGTACGGCATTCCCGGTCCCCTCAAGCGTGGGTTTTTGTGTTATCGGCTTTGAACAAAGACCGCGTCACTGGTCGTTTTAGCAAGATGAATCGAAACATCCAGCGTGTTGTAGCTTGGCACGAAATGTTAGAAATTGCAGGACGGATGGAGCATCACGATATCCAACTCGGCCTGCAGGGCTTCCAGGTTCTATGCAGCGGGTTTTCACGAGCGGTAAACGCTGGGATCAAGAGTCTAGATGCTGTGGAAGAGGCCCTGGAGGTTGTTGGTAATGCTGCAAATCAGGGAAAGCTGGCATACATAGATCTTGCCTGCCCGCGATTCGAGGATATGGTTCAGTATGGTCTGCGGGGCCTCAAAGACCAATTTGACCGACTTGTTCTTCCAGATTTCGGAACTCCATCCTTGTTTGCGTCTGGCAGATTATCTTCTGAGAATGTGACTGTCGCCCAAGTACTTTTGCCACCATTGCTTCATGTGCCTTCTCCTGCCGTCCTTCACGCATTTGTCAGATCATTGGGATTAGCTGAAGATTACGATGGCCTCCTCAGCCTTCTCCGATGGATGTCTCAGTATGCGACGCCCCTTAAAGAAGCGTCCGAGGAGCACTTGAACGGTGGCATCATGATGCGACGCACATTAGTGGCAATGCGCTTATTTCTCGAGGGATATCGGGAAAGGCAGTCTTGGGGATCACTCCATTGGACAGCTTCAGCTGCACAAGGGCGTGATTTAAGGGGATCTGAGCATACAAGTGAGGTGTCCCCCAATGATTCTGAGAGATTGTCATTCTCGGATCCGAACCTGCAAGAGGCATATGACATAGTCACGGCAACGCACACTTGGGGCCCTTGGCCTAGCGACGAAGAAGTTCAGGAATATTACGCTGTTCATTGGGAGGAGCATGAGGCACAATGATGGAGCATCCAACAATTTTGTACATTAGCTGTATATATACGTATTATAGATCGTGTGGCGTTTCAATATCATCGGATGATACCCTTTCATAGCTGACTTTGAAGAAGAGACTCAGAATGGTAGCGCTTATCCGCGGTAAGAATTGGGGCCTCTCGGTGGATGGTTTCCCCGCAGTTGCTGGAGCTGTTCAACAGCTTCCCCACACTTCCGAGCTTCTTCAATTCATCCTTCTCGCTTTTTCAGAATCATTCCTCTTGGGATATCTCGCCAGTTATTCAGACCTTTTGCAAGAGGCCAGACTTTCTTTTGATCCCCTGGATAGAGTCAATTTTACAACTCGAAGATGCCACCACGCCTGCCTCTTTCACATACATTGCGACAGCCCTCGGTCTTGTCGGTTCGCGTCAGAGTCACAAGATATAGCACCAGTGCGGATGATGCAGTGATACAGTCCCAGCAGATCCCCGCACCCGGCTCCGGAAATATTCGAGTCCTGCTGCTGAACCGACCGAAAGCCAGAAACGCAATTTCCAAGAATCTTTTGGACGGCCTGGCTAAGCATGTCCAGTCCATATCCGCGGAGGGAGGCACCGGTCCTACACGGGCCTTGGTCATTGCTAGCAATGTAGATTCGGCCTTTTGTGCGGGCGCAGACTTGAAAGAGCGAGTAAATATGACCAAGCAAGAGTGAGTTCTCATCCTCAACAACCAGCCTCTCACTTTTCTTCGCGACTAATCCTATTTCACAATTGTCTAGAACAAATGAATTCTTGTCCAAGCTGCGTGGTACGTTCCGTGATCTTGCTGGGCTACCCGTACCCACAATTTCTGCCGTGTCTTCTATGGCGCTGGGAGGTGGGCTAGAACTCGCCCTATCTACGCATCTACGTGTCTTTGGCTCCTCCAGTATTGTTGGATTGCCCGAGACCAGACTAGCTATTATCCCTGGGGCGGGAGGCACATACCGCCTACCGGGTATTGTTGGGGTGAACCGCGCCCGAGACCTCATCCTAACTGGGCGACGTGTGTCGGGTCCCGAATCATACTTTATGGGGCTCTGCGATCGGCTCGTTGAGATATTACCTGAGGAGGAGCAAAAGGAGGGCGCTGCGCGTGAGAAAGTGCTACGGGAGAGTATCAAACTAGCCATGGACATTTGCGAAGGTGGACCCATCGCTATCAAGCAGGCACTTCAGGCCGTGAATGACTTCCAGAAAGGTGAGGCGGCAGAAAATGAGGCTTATGATGGCGTGGTTGAGACGGAAGATCGCTTTGAGGCTTTGCGGGCGTTCGCAGAAAAGAGAAAGCCTGCTTTCCGGGGGCGATGAATGTGCCAAGTGCCCATGTGGTAAATGTAAAAAATGCAATGTTACTCGTTACTTGAGCTCGAGTGAAGCTGTCTTGTTGCACTTGGAAAATATTTGTACTCGTCATAGATCTGAAAACGGTGATTCATAGAGACAACCTTTGGGGCATTCCGTGGCCTGTAAGTGGCGATAGGGCAAAACTCTGCGTTAGGATCTTGTGCTTCATCCTTTCTATCAGTGCCTGTCGTCTCCACTTTACTTCGCATGACACAGATGCATGTCTACCAATATGCTAACGCAGTCGTCTACACAATAGATGGGAAACCTTTCGTGAAGATGATGCTAAATTGAGCCACACCCGTCGGGATGGACTCCTATTCTAAAGGTTTCAACCCTGTATCTATGCCTTAAGAAGATACTACTAGTCGTAGAGATCCATGGAAGACGACCTCGAACTTCTTTCTAAAACAAGCCATTTGAAACAAGACCTATAGATGGGTTCGAAGAACTCGGGATTCATATCCGTTTCCCCCTAAACGAGGAGTGGACGTAATCGGCTTGTGAGTCAATCAACCTTCCGGATCGTCGACAAAACATAGAAACGCAATGTGAGTCATAGGCCCCGGTCAAGTAGTTTGACATGATGTCACTGATCATGTATGCACTACTGTGTATAGTATATGGTGTTTGGCAGAAGAATGGGTAAACTCCAAACACATCCAGCTTGTCTCAACATCGAAGGGCCCGATATTTCGAATAATCAGAAGTGATGAAGAATCTCCAGACAACTATCCTGCCCTTGAAATTAAACATCGCCGCAGCAGTGCCATGGTACACAACATGCACTGCGTCAACCTTGGTTCAGGATGTTTCAAGGGAAATAAACCAAGGGTTTCCCCAATCAATCCCATTTCCCTGGAACGCCGAACGGGCCGCAGCTCCACAACTTTGTTTGTGTATCAAATGGTGGCAGATCAAACCGCATGTCGTATCAGGCAACAAAAAAAATTCGACTCAGTCTCTGAGAGTTAAGGGTGAAATACCATAGTGTTGCCTGTGTCATGTTACATTCCATTTTTAATTTCGCCTCACCAATGGGGCACAGCCTTGTTGACAGGCATACGTGTATATTAGTATCTGTTTCTTTTTGCCCCATACACTAGGTCGTACTTCGTACGTGGGCTTATGCACCGCTCGATATGGTTCTATTCTTGTAAAGCATATGCTAAAAGTAGAAACCACCAATCAGTCTCGCTTGAGTTGGGGGTTAGTCATGACAAGTTAAGAGTAAGACAGAAAAAGGGAAGGAAAGGAAAGGAAAAGAAAGGGAGGTGGAGAAAGAAAAGAGTAGGGAGTGTAGTCATAGAAGGATGAGGCTCCAGAAAATGACGTGCATCTAGATCGGATGAAAACCACAGCCACCATCGGGGCAAAAGATTAAATTCCCTGCTCATAAGGAATAGATACACACAAGGCTGATATGGTGGCTGCGCCGAATATGCTGGGATTGAGATTGACTTCTTCACGGCTCCAAGCAAGAATTTTGCTGCGCTACGTGTACGATCAATATTGGACAATCGGACCGTGTAATTTAACCCTACCGTACATCCCGCAGGCTTGTTTTGCAGAGGGGAAAAGGTCAGAAAGTGCCGATAGGACCGTAATCTTCCCCGCGATCTGCGGCTGCACAACTTACTTACTACTAGTAATGAGTACCATATGGAGCTAAGGAATGTTAGTGATCACCCTCATTTGTTTTCGGAGGAGTTGGCTGTGGATCCCGAGAGACCAGATCATCGTAATCACCCAAGGTCATGAAAATAAAAATAAAAGATAAAAGATCAGTAATGAGGGGTTTACTCGGCCCTATCGAGGGAAGAAAATGACGGACCTCCCCCCATGACCCGTTCGAGTGGTCATACCGATGAAGAAGCACAACGCCCCATGCTCACGGGAACGTAAACCATGGACACTTTCTTCTTAGTAGAGAGGTTTTTACTATTAGTAAATTACTCACGGGCACTAAAAGATCAGGGCCACTGACAGCTCTGCCACACCCGCAGGCACCAGGAACTTTTTGTCATCTGCTTGGGCCTACCTTTACTAACGAACGAACGAACGAACCCCCGACCCCGCCTCCAATCACAAGAGGCTCTCTCGATTCTCTCGTATAAATACTTTGGCCTTCTCCCTAACCTGTACTTTTCATTCATCCACTCACTACTACGAATCTTTGTCCTTAGTAGCGTTGTCAAACCCCAATAAACGCCAAATCCCGATCCCCTCTGTCCGAGTACGTCGATCTGCGTCTTTCATATCACAATTATTCAATTCATGTTTAGTCGCCCCAACCCCCATATCCACCATTTCGCCACGATAGGTAACGTTGTCGACACACACCCTCGCGGGGGTGTGACTGCCATAAATCGCGTATGTCAGACCTTGCCGCCCGAGTCAAGCAAATTGGCTTGACTCAAGTATACTGCTCCAAGGAAAAACCTCTGGTCGACATTGTTTTTGTCCATGGATTGAACGGCCATCCCTATAACACCTGGGCCACCCATGGGAATCCACCCATCTTTTGGCCAGCTGACCTTCTCCCGGAAGTGTTGGAGCCTAGCCGAGTGCGGATCTTGACATATGGATATAATGCGAATGTTGCCTCTTTCACCGACGGCGCTTCGAGGGATCGCATTCACCATCATGCAGAGACACTTGCCTCGGGCCTTGCGGCGAATCGCAATGTGAGTGACTCGACCTGTTCCATTTCACGTTTCCTTCAGTTTCCATATACTCTCCATTTACTTTGCAAGCACTGGTCTAGCATAGATGATATATTTAGTACATCTTTATTATTGCATTGTATTGATGTTCTATCATAGTTGGCCTACTTTTGCCACCTAAACTGGTTGCTAACATCCTCCCCTATATCTACTAGCTTCGAAGCTGTTCGGACCGCCCTATAATCTTTGTCTGTCACTCGCTAGGTGGCTTGGTGGTCAAACGTGCCCTGATTTACTGTAAAAACGTTTCAGATGCGAAAATTCAGCACCTGCGGTCGATCTATGTCTCTACTTATGGAATCCTCTTCCTCGGAACGCCTCACAATGGCTCGGATATCGCGAAATGGGGCCTATTACTGCAGAACATCTGCAGCGCAGTTCTTCCCAAGAAGTACATGGAATCGTCCTCCCAGCTTGTCAAAGCTTTGAGAACGAACAATGAAACATTGCAGAATATTAACAGTCTATTTGCCGATATGATGAGCAGATTCCATATCTACTTCTTTCATGAGACTCTTTCAACTGATGTTAAGGGGACTCGCGAGTTAATAGTGGATGAAAGCTCAGCCGCGCCGTATGCAGAAGGCGTGGAGCGCATGGGCATTGAAGCAGATCATCGGCATATGTGTAAATTCGAGGACGATAACGCGCCTGGTTATGAGGCAGTTGCAGAAGCTCTTTTACGATACTCTCGCGATGCCCCGGCTACTATCTTGGACCGATGGGCTGAGGAGGAACAGACCCGGAGAGCGGCAACACAAAACAAGCTCAAGGATCTTCTGAGGAATGGTAAGCGTTTCAGACCCAACCATAGACGCGGCGTAGCCGCAGCTTTCTAATAGTCACAAAGCTAACCGGAACTAGAGAGGCCAGACAGTACGTCGCAAATGGAGGGGAGTGAGCCGGATCTCCGCAAAATTGGTAGGACACAATTTCTTCCTGACAATACTTCTGCTACATCTTCTGTTACCATGAAGGAATATGAGGTCGAGGAACCCCCGGAGATTCAATATGCTGGCAAGCGCTTTTAGAATTCGCTATTATCTCTGCATGTGTGACGAAATCGGATGAAAGTGATGGACAAAAAAAAAAGAAAAAAAAGAAAAAAAAGAAAAAAAAGAAAAGAAAAGAAAAGAAAAGAAAACGCCTCAAGAGTTTCCACTGATTTTACATCGATGCCATGCATTTATTTGTCTTCCTCTTTTTTTTTTTTAATTGTTTCCTTGCGTCCCTAAGCGATGTGCTTTTATGTGTGACAAGTTCCTGTACTATAATATCCTATCGTATAAGGCAAGTCAACGAAGTTGCAGTCAGATTATGCTGACTTCTCTGGTTCTTAGGTAACACCATTCCTCCTCTGATCAGCCTGCCTCCGAACACCGGAAGACAATCCCCTGTATCCGACATGGCTGGAAGCGTAACCCTTACAGTACCTCAAAGGGATTTTTTTGTGGTGCCACCAGGGTTTCATCCAAACGCAACCTTTTTTGGAATGCAGAAAGAGCTTGAAATACTCCATTCTAGGCTGTACAAGGCAAAGAACAGAGCAGAGCGCCTCATGGCTGTTCTTGTCTGTGGAGTTCCTGGCTCAGGAAAGTCCCATCTCGCACGCCAATATGTCTGGAGCCAACGTGAAAGATACCCTGGTGGCATCTTCTGGGTCGATGCGAAATCGCGCGAATCAACCGCAAAATGTTTCTGGGATATTGCTCAAGCGGCTATGCTGACTGAAGCTCAGGAGTCGCAACAGCCCCAGAAGCATGTAGAGGCAGTTCGAAACTGGCTACAAGTGCGTGAAGAATGGCTCCTAATATTTGACGGGATCTCGTTCGATCATCACGACGACCTCAACCATTTCAGACAATTCCTTCCCTTCAACAAAAATTGTAGTATTATCTACACATCTGTGGACAAGACGTTGCGGAAAAAGCAACGCTTATATGAGCCATACTGCCTGCAGATTAAACCCCTCCAGGTTGAAGATGCATGCAAGCTTCTCTTCAAAGACCTCGGTATCAGAAAGCCAACCCGAAGCCAAATCCGCAAAGCTACAGAACTGGTAAACCACTACGAATGTCTCCCTCTGGCCATCCATGCGATCAGTCACCGTCTTAGTGCGACATCTAAATCTATCGATAAATATCACGTTAACTCCCATTTGACGGACGAGAAACTCGCAGAACCATTTCTGAGCATTATGCATGACCTGTATCGAATGGGACACTTCGAAGCGTTGAACTTGATTAACCTTTTGTCATTTTTCGGTCATCATGTCCCGGTTGGCTTGATCAACTTGGGAAAGGCTGCACTGGAGACGTGGCACGTCGAAATCCTAACCGGTAGTAGACCTGGTGAGCAAGGGGATATTGACACAACACTAGGGATCCTTATCCGATACGGACTCATAGAAAGAACCACAGATGCGTATGCGCTCCAGGCAAAAGCGCTGTCGCCGAGATCCGAAAAGGACGAGATCTTAGACATGGCGGCAGTTGCGCCCGATCTATCGGAATCGCAAACAGAAAGTAGCCAAGATGCATTCTTCTCTGTCTATCAGAGTTCTGGCTCTATTGACCTGATCAAAATCCATAGCGTTGTACAAGGCTTCTGTCGAGATGAGCTGAAGATCATGGACGAGGAACGGAAAAAATCCTTTTCTGCCAATACAACCAATTCGGACGCTGGCTTTTATGATTCCTGGCTGGTGGTTGCCACCCGTGTCTTCTGCATGTCCTATGAGCACGCAAAGAAGCGGATGGATCGCGTTGATGACTATGGCTTAGTAAAGGACTATCGGGAATATGAAATGCATGCATCAAGGTTGCTGGAGAACTTTCCCAAGAAATCCTCAAAGGAGTCAAAGACGCTTCGTGAAGCCCGGGATGACCTCGCCCAAATCATGAGGAGTATCAGTAATGAGATAGACAGGATTTCACCAAGTTCTTCACAGGAAATCGCTCGCAAACAGCGATCTGTCTTCGACAGGTCGAGCAGTTCTTCGTCGTCTGTCCCCGATTCTGCGACAGATGAAGGGCCGTCGCGAAACTTGACATGGGAATTCAGTGATGTGGTAGAGCCGAAGGTTGAATCACCGGAAGAGATGCCAATGTCACCACCCCATTTCAACTTGAAGCCGTTTCTCCCTCACATTTTCCGATGGTCCAAGGGAGATGATGAGAAAGGGTACGAAACTGACGGTGAAGGATTACAAGCTGTTCATCGAACGTCTCCGGCACTGTCACAGTTTAGTCAGGCAACGGAGAGACCAAAGTCTTCACGATCTTCTAGTGCTGCACATACTACAGACGATCAAGAATGGCAGGTAGTAGAGAAGTCTCCCAGGCTCCAAGCAAGTAGGGAGAAGCGTTCGAAGCAGAGACCAAAGTTCCCACGCAGCGCTTGGGGTATAAAGCCAGCAGCTCCTATCCTGAGGGTATTCCCAGTCGAAGGAAGAAGCGCATCGAGTAGTATCCTGGAGAAAGGAAGTCGAAGCAGCTCCATCATTTCTGCATCCGAGGCACTGACTGCCGTTCATAACGCAAGCCCACCCTCAGCTCACGAGAAGTTCGGGAAAGCAGTGAATGACAGGCTTATGTTACATAAGGAAAACGTGCCAACATATGCTACAGTGGCTGCTAGACGCACCCAGGACGGTGTTGCCTCATCGAAGCAGCGGTCATCATCGACGCCCGGTGGACAGACACGTCCCAAGCTCCTAAGACTGAAAAGCAAATCCTCCGGTGGCTCCCTTCACAGCCGATTGGGCAACGCGCCGCTGTTACCATTACCTTCTGATTTCAAATCAGAACCAATGAGTCGATCAACATACAGTGAGCCAGACCAAGGGTATCTCACCCATCAATTAAACGCCTTGGACTTGAGGACACCGCATGATTCACACTACCGTTCTCGACACCTATCCGCGGTAAGGGCAATGGCCCCTGTGGACATGTCCGCAAGCACCCCTTCGGTTCTGACCTACCTGCCTCCTCTTCCGTACGACAATAATATTGAGGTCACTTATTCTCGTCGAGTGAGCGCTACAACTCAAGCAGTACCTGTCAGTCAGCCGCTCGCCAGCTTTAATCCAATAACGCATCCGTCTGCCATCATGCCCGGCGCATCTCCACCATCTTCTGCGGCTGCGGAGGCGCCTACTGGATACGCATCAGATCCGGCACCTGAACCGATGTCTCGTGGTGGATCAGCACAGTCCCATCAGTCTTGGGCCACCGAGCCAGTTCGTTATCCGCCCCGGCTCTCTCCGATGCCCTCGAATGCGCATACTGCCATACCACCCGGAATGTCTCATATCTTGCCTCAGCAACAAACGCTATCCAATACTGGAAGTTGGATACGAGATGCTCATACCCAAGGAATTACGAGTGCCCTTCAAGCAGATGTTATGGCCTGTGCCCCACCTGCTCAAACAAACCTGAGACCGATTCCCCCGTTGGACGAACGTCTCGGGGCAGGTACCGCGTGGGATCCTGAGCCATTGCCAACGTTGCCCTTTGGCGCCCATAGAGTAGACGTTCGCGATGCTCGTCAAAGGCTTGGTGGATACGGAGTATACGGGGCTCAGACGGTGCAGCACACTGTACCTTACAGCCTCTATCACGGAAACCGGTCAGGGCCCCTGGTTCACCATGAGCTCGATCTCCAGCCACAAGAGCTGCATGGTATGCGTGCTCGGAGTGGCAGCTCTCCTACTCGGCCTGGTTCTGACGGGCTAGGGGTAAATTGGTGACTTTGCGGAATGAAGGCCCCACACAGATCAGATGCTCAGGAAGCTTTTCCCTGGCGAATCAAGCAGCAAACAAGAAAAAAGCTCAGAACGAAAATACCAAAAGACGTATATACCCGAGTGATAGCTGGGCGGCTACAACCAGGAGTTTGGAGAGAAGATTGCAATCATTGTTGTTTAGAAGACTTTGCATTGACTACGATGAAACGGCGTTCATGGATAACGAGTAATGATCATGGTTGCATATGCACGAATTGTATTTTCGGTTTTGTTTAGAAGGCTGGATTGTCCTAAGATCACATATATACCAAGCATCAATATAGGATTAATTAATAGAACATTGCATATTTTCCTATGACATAATCGTCCAAAGCTTTTCATTTTCTTGTACATATTCACGGATATAAGTACATATTGAATAGAAATCATCATTGAGCCCAAGAGAGGGCACATCATAAAAAAGCCGGATGTAATTACTTCTCTTGTGCACAGCACAAGCATGCCCAACCAGGCCGATATAATCATTCGTTTTGTACAATTTCGCTTCATGAAAAAGCTTCACAGGTCTCCAAAATCAACGAAAGACAGTATTCCAATAATCCTCCACCTTCTCACAGATCCCCGTCTCCCCCTTCCAACTAATACTATTGCCCTCAAGAGCACAAGCCGTCCACCGGATCTCCGTCCACAACTGACGCTGCAGATCCGGTCCAAATGACTCAATCACGTCCTCCGGAGCCGTCCACGCCAGCGTATAACTGCCATCCTCCTTCACCACGGGCCCGTTATCCGAGAACACCGTCGCGGGATTGAACTTGGGGAAGTTAATATGCACGAAAAACGGTTTCGGCGCCGGAACGCTGGACCCCTTGATCCGCCACTCGCCCTTCTTCGTCAAGGCGTAGTCCTCCATCGGGCTATACTGAACCATGGTCGATCCGGCGAATCCATCGTTCGTATGACGGCCCAGCGCGCGGATGGGCTCACTGACCTGGTAAAAGGGCTCGTTGAACACCGTCGCCGCCGCGATGAAGGTCTCCTTGTCGCCTTCGCCTGCTGCACCCTGCGAGAGGAGCGGGTAGTAATACCCGGGACCCCAGTAGTTGTAGTAGGCGACGAGAAGCAGGGTCCTGAGATGCGTGCGCTTGGAGATGAACACCTCACCCGACTCCGTCGATTGCCGGATATTCGGGGCGGGTCTCTCCTGCGACGAGATGGTATAGTAGAGAGGTGAGGCAGTGGGGCCCCAGAAATCCGGCCAGGTGATCAGACCCTTGGATTTGAAGGGTTCGCTGGTGAAAGCCAGCTCCGGCTTCTGGAGAGGAAACGCATCCGCGTCGAGGAAGAGAATCTCCTCGAAGGAGGAGAAGAGCATGGCGAACGGCTTGTACTGGTACTTCTCGATCTTGGTTTTGCTATCGGGAACCGTATCCAGGATCTCGGAGAGCAGGACGCATTTCGCGTTCAGGGATGGTAGCACGACCTGGCAGATATAGCCATCGTACTCGCTCCAGTCGGCTAGGAATACCTCCATGGGTAGATTGGAGCCCGTTTGGCGCAGCATTCGTAGTGAGATTACTAGCACGGGTAGATACGAGCCGCCCGCGGTTGAGACTATCCCCCGCGTGCCTGGTTGGTAGGCCAGTGCTGGGGGTTCCTTGGCGATGGCATGCACGAATTTGCTATGGGCATGTTTCATTCTCAGCACGTCGTCTTCTGGCATTGATGTTAGGTTGGGTGGCTGTTCAGTGGTTTTGGGGTCGAAGCCGACTGATTCTGCCTTGCCGAGTCGTTCTGGGAGGTCGCAGTTTGGTCCCCATTGTTTTAATAGGGGCTGGAACTGGCGCCAAAACTCGCCGTGGACGGCTGAGCTGACAGGAGGACTGTGTTCCTCTAAGTGTGACCGATAGTGGGAGAAGAGCCAGATGAAGATGGTCACCACACCTAGGGCTAGAAGCGTCGTTCGCCGCCGGCCTTGTGGTCGAGAGGGGGGGGTGAGAATAAATTATGTTCTTTGAGAAATCATGATTATTATTTATTTAATATTAGATCAGAACCGGACTATGAACTGGGTTCATTCACTTGAATGAACCTACGCGGCTAAACGAGTGGTAATAAATAGATCTGCCAGAGGGGGCGAGCTGTCCCACCGACAAAGAAAGTCGGTGTTCCAGGGCTGAAGTCCATTGGTTCTAGCGGGTTAGTGTGTTTCAAAAGGTCAAGGGAATCTGTTCTAAGACAACAAGGGTTCTTTTAGTGGCTCGGCCTAGGCCCAAGCTCGTATCACTGCGAACCCATCGCAATAGATTGGTTTCGGGAGTGCGCCGTTAAGGTCAGTGGAGTTTCCGGTCTTAGTTAACTACCAATGCTGACTGAGGTAAGCTGTTTCGTTGTTTCTTATTTTCCCTCGTTCCTCCTGACCATTAGCGAAGTGCTTCTCTCCTAATTATTACCCCTGTCACCCGATACTAACGATGGGGATTAGTATCTATCCTATGATTAGGATCTGCTGTTCTCCTTACCATGTCGAGATAGGGCACCAGGAGCTAACTGCCCTAGTGTCACGTCAGTAGACAACGGGGGTTGTCCTAGTCCAACAGAGCTACATCCAATGATGAATAGATGCCTATGACCATACTCCATACTGTATACAGGGTTCCATCGACTATTTACTAGTTCTTTTGACATGCAACAAACATCCTTGCCAGCGCAGCACTGTGAAATGTTGCTGAACATTCGAGAACGCACCCTGGCTCTATCTTACTAGTGTGTGTGTAAACTTGCCCCTATAAATAACCCGTGCTATATAAGTCATAACAAATAGACAATGAAGATTGTACATTCCTACATATCCCAGGCATCACTATAAATCTCCAACTCGATATGTAAGAAGGATCAAAGCTGCACATTAACTTTAACTACGTCCCACTATTTGCAGCACAAATTATTCCGGATACGTATTGTGATCGTGGCTACGATGTACTGCTACGTAGGAGAGCTACCGGGTGTAGGAGAACCCTGCAGATCCACTAAAAAGGGCTGCCTGACCCAACGTGTATATAAAGACCGTAGCTACCCCCCAGACCTACAGAAGGTCGGCAACTCTCTACCTCTCATAGCACACCGCTACTTGCAATCTCAGTATTGTAGTAGCATTTTCATAAAAAAAAAAAAAAAAAAAAGAGAGCAAGCACTACTATAAGCAAAGATAGATATAAGAGACAAAACTTATCCCAACAAAGCCGACCAAACATCATCATCATCATCATTTCCCAGGAGCTCCTCCTCCCACTCCTTATCCGAAGTGATCCGATACTCAACAACCCCCAACCCACTGACAATAATCCAATCCAACAGCACAGGATCCGCATTTACAAAGATCTGGAATGCCCACGCCTTCTTCTTCTTCTTCGACGACGATGAGGAAGAACCCCAGATGGACGATTTCGATTGCTGCTGCTGCTGCTGCTCCGGTAGTTTCCACTTATCGAATCGGGCCAGCACGGTCTTGTTCGAGTCGACGAGCTTGAAGCGTTTCTCGAAGAGATCGCTTTCTTTCCATTCGAGGGTGCCGTAGCGAGGGTGCGTGAATCGGTGGCCAGAGGCGAGGAAGTCCGGACGCTTCATTTTGACTTCGGGGATGTTGTGGATTGAGATGGTGATTTTGGACGACATGGAAGAGAGGGCGACGGTTCCTATGGTTGTTATGATGGGTGGGTTGTTTATTGGGTATTGCTGGGGTGGGTATGGTTGATGTTGTTGGTAGTATGGGTGTGGTGCTGGTGGATAACCATATTGTGGTTGCTGCTGCTGCTGCTGCTGGTGGTATGTAGGCTGGATGCGGGAGATGGAGAGGTTTGGGTTCGAGGATAAACATGCGACTTCGTAGATAGGAGTTGCGGTACCGTTCCCATGTTGCAGGGAGATAATAAAGGTACTTTTTGATTTGAGGCGTTGGTAAGAGAGGAGTTGAACTGGTTGATCCATGCCTTTGTATCTTAGGGTTGGGATGTTCACTTGGATGTGTTTTGTCTTACAAGTCTGGCAGGACGAGGGTGTGTGTGTGTGTGTGTGTGTGTGTGTATGTATGCGATTTATAGGCCCTTCGCCTGCCTCAGTCTTCTGGGTTACCATTATTATGTTACCTAGTTGCGAGGTAGTATATCCAGCAAAGCTGAAGTGGCAGCAGTTCAGCATCCTCGGGGCATGGAAGGATGTGATTGGACTGATTGGAGGCCGATGACTGGAAATACGAGGACGTTCGAGTCTCTGGCAAGGCGCAGCAGTCAATCCATTACTTAACCAGTTGAAACGCTGCGCTTAGGCAGAACCATAACCACCTCCAAGCTTTGTTCCAGACGGTTTCCGATTGGCGAGTATCTAACGGTGTCTTCTAGTTCTTCGGGATAGCCGGTGCACAGTACTTTATTTGAATTTTGGTGGGCCTTGGTGGAATATTCTACTGTAGGGCTGGTCTCATTCGGAATGAGGAGGATTCGTCGGCCTTAATGGACAATTCAACTCATTTATAGTTAGATCTAAATCTTGGGATCATGGTAGTTATTTTTTTTTCTTCCTGAATTGCTGTAATAATTCATAAAGTAATCATTAGAGAGGCTTAAGTATAGGGTGAAGGAACCTCCAGTTAGGGTTTGCATGTATGTACTTGGTGCCTTAGGCCAACAACTTGCTTTCCCGAGAACATCACGAGCTTCTCGGGCTCTACACGGTAGTCCTTAAGTACTAGTCCACTAACGACTGGTAATATCTACTATGTACAGAACCCTCGAGAAACCCACGCAGTCACGACAGGTATATTACATGTTCCATCTTCCAGAATGAATGTGAAGTTCCAACATTACTTGTTTGGTCGCCAATCATTCGTGACCCACTAAGCCGCATTGGGAAAGTCACTGACCGTTTAACGACGTCAGTGACTTATGACGTCGCCGATGACGCTCAATAATGTTGGCATGAGAAAAGTATCGAGTATATATAAAGAGGAGGCAACAGTGACTTTTGGCCATAATCTTAAACTCCAGTGAACATATTCTCTAGATACCAAGACTTGCCATATACCACGCTGCTTTTATCTTACAATTGAACTCCTATATCAACCTATTGAACCACCATGTCTTTCATCGCACGTATCGCTCCCCGTACGGGCTCGTTGAACTCCATTGTCCATTCCACAGCTACTCCTTCCCTGCTGGTAGGAGGCGCTCGCTCTATCTCTGCCACGGCAGCAAAGCAAAAGGGTCCAGTGGAGGCAGCCAAGGATACCCTGAAGAAAACGGACGACGTTCTCTCTGGTGCAGCAGTGAAGGGAATCGAAAAGGGCGGTATGTACCAATCATAGTTTCTCCATCTGGCCTTGTGCAGCAGGGTTCTGACTTTGGGTTCCCGTATAGAACAAGTAGCAGAAGCAATCAAAGGCACCGCCAACAAGAACACCGGAGAACTAAAGGGTGATGCAGCGGAGCTCGCCGGTCAGGGTAAGAGCAAGGCTGAAGAAACATTGGGATCTGCAAAGGGCAAAACCGAGGAGACCCTTGGCTCAGCAAAGGGCAAGGCCCAAGAAACCCTAGGCGAAGCCAAGGGTAAGGCGAAGGAGACGGTCGGCAAATTCTAAAGGTCTCAAAAAAAAAAAAGAAGTGACTGAGAACCCGGAATGACTAGAATGATTGTTGCACGCATGTATTTACCATTTTTGCATAATACTTTCCTATAATGTACAATATTAGTATAGTGATCCAGTCACCACTGCTGTAGAGACCGCGTATGGATGGCAAGGATTTTCAAGCACTTCAGGCTCATTCCGTCCGAGCTAGCATAAGAACGTATTCTCGGGTACTCAATCCAAATTTGAGCACGTCCTTGTCTCTCACTTCAACATATCGTCCACCTGGAATCTTTTCCCCATTCACCGCCGATCCATTGGCACTTTCAAGGTCAATGAGGTAAGGCCTGACACGCCCAATCCGGTCGCCAAACTCGTTTCGCTTCTCGACATAGCGGAATTGGAGGGCGGCATGTTGCTTGGAGCAACTTGGGTGCTCCAGAGGGAAATCCACAACCAGGTTCTCTCTGCCTATAAGCCAGCAGCTGCGCTCATTTAGTTCTACCACCTCAAGAAGATCGTCACCCTTGAACACGTAGAGACGCCAGGGGTCCTTAGCTGCGGGTTTACGAGCTTCAGCAGGTTCATGATATTTGAGAACCACTGTTCCCCCTCCACTGACGTTCACAGTATTGCTCTCAGCAGCCAAACGCCCAGTGTTGGCGAAATTGGGCTTCTCTTTTTCCGGTGGAGGGGCGGAGGAGTCCTTCTGAGCTACTTCCGATGTGTATGCGTCTTGCTGAGAAGGCAAGGCGCCCCTAGAGCGCACGGGGTCGCGTGACGATGGGCTGCGCGAGCGCCTTGTGGGTGAGCGAGATGGGGATTTCGTCCGGTAACTTCTTGATGACTTCTCTTTATCGTCGTGTGTATCCCGGTCGCGATGGCGGCGATGGCGACGTTCTTCCGGGGAACGATGTCGACGTCTTCTCCGATCGTCGTCCGAATTATCCGCTCGTTCTCTCTGCTCCCGGCGGCGATGACCATCGTCTCTTTTGCGGCTACTCCGGCCTGAAGGACTGCGGGATGAGCGGCGTCGGGAGTCATCTCGTCGAGAGCTTCGACGATCGTCACGACGTCGCGAACTGCTCTCGTATTCGTCGTCATATTTTCGTCGTCGCTCACTTTTCGTATGCGGGGAACTTGCTGGCGATCGGTGCCGCGAGCGATCGCGGTAGTCTTCGCGTGATTCCGGCATGGTTAGAAGTTCTGAGTGGAATTGGTTCACTTAACCGGGTGAGAATTTATGAATGGTTTCTGCTTAAAGGAAGCTTTAACGATGCATGGGGGCACGTGATGACTGATCATTATCACCGGTGGATCCGGAAACCAAATCAAATGGAGTTCCCTCTCTCTCTCTTTCTCTCTTCCGTATCAGATCATATCTTGTCTCCGCTCCATGGGTTTTATTTTTCTATAGGGGGAGTAATCCACGTCTCCTCCTTTGAAATCATGCGGCCATGTTCAAGAAACCTCATATCTTCTGCTTCGGCGGTTTGCAGTTGTTAAATCCGTCGTGCCCCTCATCAGCACCTTATCCGCGTCCATGGCCGTTGTCTCCCCACCGGGGTTTTGCCACTGCTCATGGTTTCCGCGAAGATGACCTCTCCTGGCCATCATCTTCCTCTTTTACTCCCTACGATGTGTTCAAACAAGACCGAAACGCTCCGTATTCGAAGCACAGGTTCTATGAATTAGTCAAGATCTACCACCCAGATCGACCGTGCAATGATCATCCACTCTGCAGGGACCTCTCTCCTGAAACGAGAGTCCACAGATACCATATTGTAGTAACAGCTCATGAGATCTTATCCGATCCATCTAGGCGGGCGGCTTACGATCTGTCTGGTGCCGGATGGAATCTCCACCCGCAAGGTTCACACCCACCCTGGGCTAGGCCAGGCTCGCGTGACTGGAGTCCCATCTATACTAATGCAACTTGGGAAGACTGGGAGCGATGGCAGAACCGTTATAATGGAAAGCAGCAAACGATGGTTGACCATCGCACCTTTGCGCGATTGGTTATACTTCTGACTCTGCTAGGAGGTGCGCTTCAGGCGTCGTGGATCAACAAATTAAGTATTGGATATGAGGATCGACTCCAGCAACTTAATGAGGAAACTATGCGACTCCTGGCGGGACGACGGGAAAATACTGTGAAGCAGATGCCATCATCGGAAGCTAAAGTCCAACATTTTCTTATCCGGCGAGACCCATCAGGTGTTGGATTAAAGGGGCAAGAGCAACAGGTCTACCAGAAGATTCTCTATCCTCGAGAGTCAGACTCCTCTGAAGACACGGATTCAGAGAAGGTACCGGGCAATACGACCGTGGAAGCTAAAGGGCCAGATCCAACTCCCTAAAGCGCTGTGCTATTGTTTGATGTAACTTATACTAGGTTCAGGGTACATACTACTATCAACAAAAGAAATCAATACATTAATTATATCCTTGGTTCTCATGAGACTTCCAGAGGCTATGATGTAATCGCTGTATAAGAAAATGCATAAATATTGCATAAAAAGTATATTAATCAATCAGATTAGAATTTACCTTTCGGTTGGACCCATCGATGCCCCAGTCGCTATACCGAGGTTCGCCCTGAAGACTAGAACCCATTTTGATCCATTTCTTTGGAGAAAAGCGGCGATCTTTTCAATCTCCTCTTCCCGGACTCCTTACTTCCTCACTCCCTTTCTTTCTTCATCGTTCTGGCTTCCTTGGTTGTATTTGCTTTGTTACTAATCCGTAGCCATTCTTTATATTTCCAGGCTGATAGTTCATTCACTTACTTTTATATACGGGGAGTGTTACAGACAGATTGGTCATCGCCATGAGTAGCCTCAATAGTCCCATCGGTCTTTTGAAGGCAATGGTGGTGAGGATCCCCCTCATCCTAAAGACCTTGTTTCTTCATACAATTCGCTTGTCCCCCGTGTCGGGAAAGCAAGATCTGCGAACAGAGTTAACTGTCGCTATTATCCGCTCTTTTATTGCCTTCACGACGACACCAGTCGGCAAACAGCAAAAAGGCAGCATGCGTGACCCGGGCATCAAGGGTCCCATGTGGATTTCGAAAGTGACACTACCTCCGCCAGAAAATGAGGTGCAAGAAGCCGTGTTCAAAGCGTTCGAGGATCTGAAACTCGGCGGCGAGACCTACGATATCCCGGGTGTTGTTCCTGTTGAGGCAGAGTGGACCGGTTACCGTAGTGGTGTGGATAAGAATGCACCGCAGCCTGATATCTCGGAAGAAGACAAGTATAAGGAGTTGCGGAAAGAAGCGCAGTCGGACACGGTCATCCTGTACTTTCACGGAGGGGCTTACTTGTGAGTGATCCTATAGTATCCTGTCCACGGTCACTTGCTTGCGGATAAACTGACTACAACAGTCTAATGGATCCTTGCACCCATCGTATTCCAGTCGCTCATCTTTCCAAGAGGACCGGTGCTCCCATTTTGTCGGTGCGATACCGTCTCGCACCCCAACACCCTTTCCCCTCTGCTCTCGTGGATGCTTTGGTCGCGTATCTATCTCTCGTTGCCCCACCCCCAGGCTCACTCCACGAGCCCGTGCCAGCAAAGAAAATCATCTTTTCGGGCGACTCCGCGGGTGGAAATTTATGCTTGGTGCTTCTGCAGACTCTTTTGACGCTGCGCCGCATCTCCCCGACAATCCGCTTCCACGGCCAGGAAATCCCGATTGAATTGCCCGCCGGAGTAGCCATGAGCTCACCATGGTGTGATGTGACACGGTCTATGCCCTCTGTCGTTAACAATGCACTATACGATTATCTTGCACCGCCGACACAAGTTCCTGAGACACTCTACCAACCTCCTAATATTCCTGCAGACACCATCTGGCCCTGTAAACCCCCGCGAGTTGACCTTTTCTCCAACGCCAACGCAGCGATCCACCCTCTAGTATCGCCTCTAGCAGCACGCAAAGAACTCTGGAAAGGCTCACCACCGATCTACATGAACATGGGCGAAGAAGGCCTCTCGGACGAAGGCCTCCTTCTAGCTCGCAAAATGTACCAAGTTGGGGTTCCTGTTGTGGTGGAACAGTTCGAAGGCATGCCGCATTGTTTCGGTCTTCTCATGGTGAAGACACCGGCCGGGAAGCGCTTTTTCGATGGAATGTCTAAGTTCTGCAGTGACGCGATTGCGGGTCGGGTCAAGCCATCTAGCAGTTTAACGTACATTGGGTATAAGTTACGGTCGACTCGCGAGATCCCGTTGGATAAGACTGTTTCCTTGACTGACGAGGAGGTTGATGAGCGTTTGCGCAAGAGTGCTGAATGGCGGATTGAGGGCGAAAAAGAACTGCAGAAACAATTCTATGAGAAGGCGAAGTTGTAGATCTACACGTTTCTCTCCGGCGCTCTATCTAGAAACATTATTGCCACCTAGATACTCTGGGTATTATATACAGTGTTATAAAATATATCACAAACTGTCTACATCAATAGAACCACTTACCTTTCTACTATAAAGATGAACTGATGATGTTCTGACTGATTTCATTTGCATTTTGGCGGCCAGGTGACCCGCTCGTTTACGAATACATAGAGTATAGCAAGTTGTCCATTAGCATAACAACAAAGACATAGCTATGACTTTGAAAATTTAGCCCTCGAAACTGGCCTGAGGAACCGTAGACTCGGCAGTAAGTCTAGGAAACAGGTACCAGTAGCCACAGGGGTGCCATTTCGAAATCTCCAAAGCCGACTGAGCTATATAAGGAAAAGCCGACAGAAAAGGGTGAACCAGAAAAGAACCAGGAACAGGCCAGAGGAGCGAAGCCAGGCAGCCTTGCCTCATAACCGGTGTAGAGGTTGATTTCATAACGAGTTACCTAGTTCAGAAAACCCTCAGGGAACCCTGATGCCCGAGGTCTACCTAGACATGACTGACTTAGCATAGCTGAGTACCTGCTGTAGCGCAAGGATCTGTTGATTTATTTAGCAAAAATATCATCTGATACCAAAAGCGAAGCAGCTTACCATCAACATAGTTATATGTGAGCTCGCCATCATCAACATTGTTGTTGCCCTGAGGGTAAAAGTATGGCACACTACCACACTGCTTGCATCTACATAACCAAAACAATGTTAGTCACTTGTCCTCACAGTCCAATCAAAAATTTATTATTCTGAATAACATACCCATGATCCGTAATATAGTGAGCCAAGTTCTTAATCACACCACCGTTGGTTCCCCCTGTCTTCTGCAGGAACGCACAATAACCACCGCCATTACCGGCCTGGTTGCCAACACAGGCGATGTGTTCTCCGTTCATGTACCTGTTCGCCATAGGTGAGTCGGACGGTTGATATTAACATGAAAAAGAGGACGTACGTACCATCTGTTGGTATCGATATGTTGAATCACATTGGTGAGTTGCTGGGCAGCATCAGAAGGTCCCCATAATGCGCTGCACTTTGCGGAACCACGGCAGTTAATCCCAAGCTTGGCATTTGCAGTGAGAGCACTTGCGACTATTAAGAATACTGTGGCCAACATGCTGAGAGATAGGGAGGGGGAGTAGATCGAAGGAGAGATTTGGGAGATTAGTATCGGAAGTTGTGCGTTTTTTGGAGACTTGAACTACCTGGTACCATAGCTGAATTTATAGAAATCCATATCTAGGCTCATACAATGCTTTCATGAATTAATGAGAGATTTACTAGGTGACTCCTATACAGTCTTGGATAGCACGAAATGGACTGCATTAGGAAAATGGTCTATAGAAATCCATATTCAGCAAGAAGGCTAAAGCAATGCATCAACGCGATGTCACCTATGTGTGTAACATCGCCAGACGACATTCAAGGATATCCTGGGTAAACGGGGCAGGAAATACGAACATCTGGGCGTCGATAGTCAGCTTTAGGGCTTACCGCAATAAGCTCAAATAAGCATCTTCAGCCCCCGTGGCAGCCTGATCGACTAACCCGAACTAGAATCTGGTCCGCGTTCTCGAATGATAGGCGACGAACTAAGCACGAAAAAGGTAAGGGAGGAGTCGCCCTTTTAGGGATGTGGCAGGGACCTGTAGGGAAATCATAATCATTACGAGATTCTTGGTTTTTGAGACATTCTCTTGGCAGCTGAATTCATTGACCAAATTCCTAAATGGGTAATCTGAGAACTGTTTTGCACTCTGGAAGGAGGATTGTATGTACAATAGAGAAATTGTAGTTGTTGTTGTTCCTTTTTTTTTTTTTTTTTTTTTATTGGGAGAAATATGTGTGAAAGCTCTCAAATATATAAAAGGTGACTCGGTGTCACAAATAATAACCCTAAGCTCGACAACCATATTGAATCATTTTAGTTAACACTCTCTAATCATTATTATACCCTTATTACTACTTGTTACCATTCTATAAAGAAATCCATCCATCCACCATGCACACTCCATCCATCATCCAAGGGTTTCTTCTCGCCATCACCCTGGTGGCCTCCTCCGAAGCCAAGCTCGGAATCAACTGCCGCGGTTCAGCGAACTGCAACACCTTTGGCAACACCCAGATGGCCTTCCAGCTCAAACGTGCCATCGACGGCATTGACCCCAACCGCTGGTACAACAACGGAGAGCACATCGCCTGTGTCGGATCCGGTGCTCGCATCACCGGCAATGGTGGATTCTGTGCGTTCCTACAGAACACTGGTGGTACGAATGGTGCTGTGATCAAGAGTTTGGCCCATTATATCCCGGAACATGGGTATGTTGCTCCTCTCTCTCCTCGTGTAGGGGGAAGTTTGAGGAGGGTTGCTGATCTCATAGTACAGATGCAAGGTTTGCGGAAGTGTGCCGTATTTCTATCCCCAGGGGAATAACAATGTGGATGATGGGGAGCTTACCTTTAATTATGTGGATAATGCGTGTACGAAGGATGAAGCAAAGCTTTGCTGATATCCACGTTCAGTGTATTGATTATATTTTAGAATGCAAGAATCGAAAACAATCCAACGGACGTTCGTGGATTGACAGAGCCTGTCTTTTAAAAAAGAACTGTGGTACTTTGTCCATAGTCCTAGAGCCCACCTTGACTGACATCTGAAGCAATCAAGCATGGCTACTGGTGGTCTTGGATATGCACGTAGTGTTGGGCAGTAGTTTATGATATACAATCTGGATCCATGGTTCAATTCCAGCTATATCTGCTCCAAGGCAGACGTCCTCGACATTAAGTTACAAGAAGAACAAAAGGCTATTCAAATACTTCACAGTCCCAAAATAACAAACACTAGTATTTCATCGCTAGATAAATTCATCATCATCCATGGAGTCGTCTTCAAAGTTGGCCTTACCCTGATGTACATCCGGCCCGAGATCCAATTCGGGGACAGCGATCGGAGTGGGTTTCTGAGTCGGTGTCTGCTGTTGCTTCTTAGGTGCATTAAAGCCATATTTAGAGGTTGCAAATGCAGGAAAGCCTTCTACACGAGTCCCACGTATCCGGATCTCGCCTGAAAGATTGAGCGCTCGAGGAGGTATATCATCCACATAGCCATCTGAGATTCCCAGAAGTTGTGTTGTGAGTCTAAAGAAAGCCACCATCACGGCCCAGAGCGGAGTCCAGATGGCCGATAGGTGCAACCAGCGCCATAGCATTGTTGGGATGACGAACGGAAAACGTGGCGCATCGGGAAGCAGACAATTTCCTTCGCATGCCTCAGCAACAAAGGGATGACAGTAATAATCACACATCGTCGACTCAGAGAAGTACCACAGAAGCAACAGCCCGCTGCACCATCCAAGGAACGTGGGTCGAATCCGGCGTGAGCCAGGTTCATGTCTCCATAAGCGTGGGAGATAGAAAGCAGAGGTCAATCCATTATGATGAGCTTTGCAGGTTTCACAGTTGTCACACGTATGACTCGATGGTAGCTGTCCTTTCGGAGAAGCTGGTATTGCTGCAAGAGCAGCGGCATCCCGTAAGACTTGATCCTCCAAGCCATTGAGCCCTTTCTTCACCTTGTTGATATTCTCGGTTAGGGACTCCAGCTTTTTATTCAGCCTGTCGAGATCGACGCTATCACTGCTTCCCGAGCTTTCGAGTTCAAGTTTCTGCAGGATGGACTTCTCATACTCTGCATCGTCTTCTGCTTCAGTTTTTAGATCATTTGGCTTTTCGTCAAGGATTTGTTGGAGAGATTCGAGCGTGTCGTCGCCAACGTCCAAAGAGTCTTTGTCAGCCTTGAAATCTTGCATGACAGTTTCCAACGCACTCTTCGGGAGATCAGGTTTGATCAACGGTGGCCTCTTTTTGTCTTTCAATTTTTCCGCTTGTTTCTCTGCCTTCTTGTCCTTTTCCTTGTTTTCTATCTGACTCATGTCCATTGGCTTCACGTTTACCACACTTTCCTTTTCCTTCTCCCTTTTCTCCATTTCCATCTTCCTTTCATTCTCCCTAGCCTTTTGATTGTCTTCCTCCCTCTTCTTTTCTCTCTCGTTTTCACTAATCTGTTGCGACCCAGAACTGTTGGGCTCTTCAAAAATGGTTGGTACTCCAAGTCCAGATGATACTTCAAGTCCCTTATTTCCGGACACTGGTGGTCTTAGGTTGTTCAGACGAGGCTTTGGGAGCTCTTTCATTCGTTCAGTCATTGGCGTATCTATCCAGGCGCCAGTCACAACCGGCGTTTTGTCGTAGATTCGCCTCTCGGGGAGTTTTGAGTTTTCTGGCGTTTTGAATTCGGCCTGGTTTTGAGGTGGGCTCTCCGTCCTAGAAAGCTTGCGAAGAAGGTCATGCGAGTCCCTCTTAGTTGGACTTCGTTTGCTAAATATAGAGTTCTTATATACCATAATTGGGGTATTCGGAATTTGACTTCCCTCGCCTAAGTTCTCGTCTTTCTGCCCTGCGAAGAGCTTGGTGTGCGCACCTGCGGGAGGGACCATGTTATACCTATTGGTTGGAGGCTCCCCCAGTGTATTCCGGTATCCCTCACTGGTTCGATCTTGAAATCCGATATGTGAGCGCACGTCGGTCTTGAGTTTACGCGGAGAAATTTCTTTGCGCCCTTCCTCAGTCCGTCCAGACTCGGATTCGGTACGCCGGGTGATATTCCTAAGCCAATCCCGACGATGTGTGCCCCGGCTTCCCCAGTTGGAAGGGACGTTCAACGATGGCCTGAGATGATCTTCTTCTTCTTCTTCTTCCTCTTGAAACACATCCTGTTCTTCCTCATCACGCCTCTGTAGATTCTCTGAGGTCAAAGCCGCCGGCAGTCCGGCTTTGCTCAACATAGGCGACTGGTTCGCGGTAGCTCGTTTTAAACGCTGTTCGTCTTTGATATGGTCGGCCAGTTTTCGGCGGAGGGACTCGTCACTGACCTCGTTCAGAAAGTCAGCGTCTGCAGTGCTAAACAGACTATTTCCTCTAGTCCTCGATCCAGAAGATGAGCGCGTACTTCGATTGTCGCGGAACCGGTTTATAGAGAAACGGGAGTCCTCTTCATCCTGATCGACCAAGCTTCCGGCGTCATCAATCTGCCTGTATGTTTCCGCCAGCTCGTCCGGGGGGTTTGAGTCGGGGGATTTGTGGGCGAAGCTCTGTCTCCTCCGATTCGGGGTCCCCAATGCATAAGGGTCCCCCGTGACGTTTTCCGACATTGTTGGATACCGCGATACGGCTTCGAACGCACCTCGCAGGGTGCCTGATTGACTGAGGTTCCTCCGACGCCGAGCGCGAAGCTCGCCCGTAGGGTTGGGTACTTGCGACGCGTCAAAACGGTCGGTGGCGTGGGATTCAAGATATGCTCGATGGAAAGGAGAGTGTTGCTGTTGCTCGTAGTTGCGACGCGACAGCCCAGTTCGCGCGGTCCTGCGGTCGGGGGTAGCCATGGCGATCAGTGGGAGGTCCCTCGGGAAATTTCATTAATCCGTCCATTCACTATTTCATGACCAAGTTAGAGGAATGTGCCACGGGGTGTTTGTCCAGCAGTGAATTGCAAGAAGCAACGCGCGGGTATCGATGCAACGCCCAATCGGGTTAGCGGCGCGGAGGAATTCATGGGAAGCACGAGTAAGGCCAACTTCATCTTTCTCTTCTTCTTCTCTTCGGCTGTCCTTCTCATGGTTACCCTTTAAAGATTGCCGATCAATTGCACTAAACTCTACGGTACGAATCATGTCTCTTTACCCGTCGTCATATGCAGGTGAATGTGATGAACAACACCTTTACTGACCCGACATGTGACCCGATCAGATGTATTGATCGTCCCCCCGCCGCTGCATAGCTCATTGATCTTCGAATATACCAAGACCGGCTGGATTTAAATTCGGAACAGATGCCTTTCAGGTTCTAGGAACTATTACCCAGAATCACCACTCCATTATACGATATGGCCAAATCCGCAAGACGAGCCGGAAAGGCAAAGGCCTCAGTCACCCCCTCCATATCATCATCAGGCGCTTCAACTCCAAGCTCACAATCGGGACCCCTTCCTCCGTTTACCAAAGCTCCCGCGTCTCTCCAGCCCTTCCTCGAACCGCTCTCCCCGAACGAAGTGTACCTCGTCCACATCGACACCTCTCCCCAAGACCTCAAGAAGCAGACCTTCCTCGCACCCGCCGTACTCAATGTTGTGATCACTGCTCTTTTAGCTTTCCGGGCCTACATGGTCCGCAACTTCTACCCGGCACTATTGGCCCCGTTGATCGGGCTCACCAGCACTGTGGCAGTAGACACGTCAACTATGTCATGGGGAGAAATGGCAAACGTAGCCCTGCGCCGAACGGGCAATATCGTGATCGACTACTTTCTAGTGACGGTCTTTCTATCTTGGCCAATTGGTTTCGTCAAGGGCCCTGTCAAGTGGCGCTCCAAGATCGGCTTCCGTGACCAGGAGATCATCGTCCGCCGCAGCCAGCCCACTTTGAGCCGAGGATTGGACCGCAGCCGCTGGATCAAGGACAATGAAGACATGAGGGACAAGATCGTGGCCGCGGTAACACCGGACCGGGTCAAGAAGACGGGATACTTGCTCGTGGATGCAGACTGGAACCTTGACTACGATGCCATGATCAAGGCACACGAGCTGGTAGACAACGCGAAGAAAGAGGATGGGCTACCGTTGGATGAGTTCCGGACTGCTGTAATCGTCAACACAGACGCTGATGGCTGGTTGATCTGGCACGTGGAAGATGAGGACACACCTGAAGGAAGAGAGCGATCGAGCCAGCGAGACCAGATCTTGGCATTTAAAGATAAACTGACGGCCATGGGTAAAGAGGATCTCTTCTTCCGTTGGGTTGAGTTAATTCAATATGAAAGCACACAGCCCGGAGGGTTTACTCCCGAGAGGCAGCAGTCAGCGATGGTGCAGGCAAAGAAACTCTTTGAAGATGAAAACGTTGATTTTGCTCGCTTTTGGGAGGAAGTTGGTGGGCTGCAGGGATTTACTGACCAGCTTGATTGACCTCATGCCTGTCTCGCTGTCAGTCTTTCTTTACTACTTTTCTTGTAGCTTTCTACGGTTTAATTCGCATTATCAATGCTATTGGCGTTACATGTTACCGAGGATTGCTTAGCATTCGGGGGAAAGCTTTCATTTTATGAACATATCAGCGTCTAGTTCAATAACCATTTTTTGTATTTTCCCAAGTATCGTTGTGTTTGCAACGGGAGTGAATATCGTAAATTTAAATTGAAGGTGTCAAAAACGAAACATATGAGCATATCATGTCTCGAAATTGAAGGGTATCATTCATGCAATTTCATGACGTATACAGCTCCCGAGTAGTTCAGAAAATCTACTCACACTTTGGATCTACTCGATTATCGGCTTCCGCTCTCCAAACGATAGTCCACAGACCAAAGTTTCTCCCATGGTCGGTATCGAGCAGCCTGCCGCCCGTTTGGGGTCGATCGGGACGGTGATACGGCGCCTGAATAGTCAAACCGCGAAGACAATGGAGATCTCACACCGTCTGCCTGTCGCTGCTGCCCCAATCCAAGAGCGCTATGCGTTCGTTCCAAGCCCTATGACGGATCGTCAGCTCCTTTCAGGAGACGTAAGCGTAGAAAAGGAAAACGGTCCGTGGAGTTCACGGGCCCTGGAGCTGGTCGCGGCGAACCTCTTCTGAAGTAGGGGCTGCCTCCCGTGGCTGCGAGCCTGCAGTTGCAGTTGTAGAGTCAGCGTCAGCTTGTCGAGCAAGATCGGTTGTTGAATCGTTGCCACGTTGTGACGGCGTGGCCGGGCCTTTTTTAGAATTAGAGCTGTTACGTCGACTATCCAGGCTCTTGGTTAAAGTTTTTGCAACGTTGCCTCCAGCACTCGTTCGTTTCAGTCGAATACTACCCCGCGCATCTACATGTGCTGGCGCAACGGTACTCTTGCCTAAACCTGGCGTGGCTGGTGCGCCAGGCTTCTCCTCCATGGCATCTAAGAGGTACCAGCGAAGGCCATCAGATAATTCGAACGGATTTTCATCATCGAAGGAAGTGCCATCACTAGCCTCTCCAATTGACCGACGATCAGGATTAGCACCATTCATGGATTTCGAAAGATCCACGACCCTTTCTTCAATCTTCGTGATTCGAGCAAGTAGCCAATCCCGAGTATGGAGTTTGTGGACATCTTGCTCGCGCAAGAAGTAGTGCGGTGCCCCGACATTGAAAGCGGCCCATGATCGGATGGCCTGGTTTCTCGTTGGTAAAAACAAGGCGAGATCCCCTTCCTTGAAAGACCGGTAGGCAATCTTATCATGAGCTTCACTTTGAGTCCGATGATATTTATCTCGGTATCCTCTCGCCTCCTTCTGCCATTTACGAGCGAGTACCTCGATGTCTTTAACGCGCTTGACAATAGCATCCCCGAAGATATCAACATCGAACTGATATAGTGATTCCATGAAAGCCATAAACCTATCGGTTTCCTCTTCTGAGGTATCGGCGTGCATCCAGCCAAGAAGGGCCGGGTCTGGCCGTACCGATACCACTCCAGACTGACTGAGGGATTCTGCAGTACTTGAGAGTGCAGTAACCTTAGAGGACCTTTGGACAACAATATCTCCATTCTGCCGGACGACAGTGAAACCCAATTGCTCCAGCATATGCTCCACCTTTTCAACTTGTCTAAATAGCTGCTTCGAAAGTTCTTGAGATCTTGTCCCGCAAGTCTCAACTCTACCAGCCGCGTGCTGCTCCGTTTCAGCCATGGCTTCCACCCTTTTCTTCCAAACCAGGACCTCATCCTCGGCCTTCCGAGCCTGAGCTTCTACTTCGTTCAGTCTCTGGGAAAGGTCCGCTAGTTTTCGTTCTTCCTCTATGACGCGTTCTCGAAGAGCGTCGGATCCTGTCTCACCGGATGCCAACTTAGACTGCAGAGCAATAAATTTGGAGCGTTCATCATCCAACTCAGATGCAACAGTTTCCAGTCTCGATTTCTCCTGCGCAAGTTCTTCTTTTACTAGCGACAGTTCTGAAGCACGCGTTTCTGAAGTCTTTCTTAACTCCTCGGCTTCCGACTCAATCTGGGTCAGGCGTTCTTCAAGCTCCTTGCTTTCGGCGACAGCTTTGGCGGAGCTTTCTTCTGCATTCTTAGCATGAATCGACAACCCTTCAGAAAGTACTTCGATAGCTTTGACGATGCTAGGAGTATCCACCGGAACTGGGCCCCCCGGTGATAGGTTCATGTAAGCAGCTTGTAGGGCATGGTTGCTTTCTCGCTCTCGCTCTCTTCTTTCGGATTCTTGTTTCTCAAGTTCTTCGATCCGGGCATGGAGACTCTCTTCCGTTTCTTTAAGGGCCTGCGTGTATGCAGTTAGGTCGGTCGCCTTCTGTATCTCTCCTTCGGCACGAGCATGAGCATCTTGAAGTTCTATCTCAAGCTGATGGATCCGCTCGTCGGCGTCCTGTTTCTCATGCTCTCGGCTTTCCATTATTCTATCCAATTCCTCCTCGAGCTCTTCAGCCCGGATCCGACACTTTTTCATCTCACCTTCGAGGAACCTCCGTTCATCATCGAATTCCCGCTGCCGGGCTTCAAGATTTCCTATCAAGTCATTCTTCGTGGACTGCACCTCTTGTATCTTGTCAGTGTTGGATTGGCGCTCCGCGTGCGCGTCCCTTTGCAGCTTCTGGACTGTTTCTCGTTCTGCTGCCAGCTCGGCTTCTAAGTGAACAATTCGCTGCACTAGCGCCTTCTCTTCTGAAGATTGGTTCGAGGACATCCGTCTTGATGAAACAGAGGACCTTCTTGAAAGCGTATCAGGATAAGGCGATGCTGGAGAGCTAGGGAAGTCGAGTGAGAAATTTCCACTAGCCGGCCTCCCCATATGGCTCTGGCGATGTAGCAAGTCTTCTAGTTTCCGGATACGGCTTTCAGAGCCTTTAACTTTTTCTTCCAATTTAGACTTTTCGTCCCTCAAGCTCCGGACCATGTCATCGCTACGAAGTAAAAGAGAGCTTCGGCTTAGGTCAAAGACACTGCCTTGCTTGAAGGCTTTTGCCCTGCGGCGTTGTAGGCGGGTAGGAGCATCTAGCTCTTTATAGAGCTGTGTCAGCTCTTGGGCTGGACTGGCCATACCGGGTTTGGTCTTCAGCTCCTCAAGGTACGCTTCGATCTCCTTTCTACTGACCACGGGCCATTCATACTCCTGGCCTCGTAGATTGACTTCGATCCCTGGTGTAGTCGAGTCGGATATAGAAACGAAATCACCCATGTTCTTGATCCATTTTTTCCTCCGGCGTTGCTCTTCATCCTGGAATACAGACATTTCCTCCGCTAAAGTTAGGGAGTCATTCTTCATCTTGTCACTGAACTCACGGCGCCGAACAGACTCGATTAAGATGGACCCATAGACAAAGGGCATGTGGAAAACCGTGTAGAGAACGTCGAATGCATCGCTTTGGCAATTCAAATTGTTTATTTGAGACTGCACATCAGCAAGGCGTGACTCAATCAATGATATCTGTCGCATGTGATTGGAAGCAGTTTTTACTGCGGCATTATATTGCCTAGCGGCTTCCTCCAAGTTCGTCTGAATCTCGGCACTAACTTCCAATAGCGATGGTAGGAGGTCCTTGGTATGGCTCAGCGCAAGTCTAGAAACGTTGGCCAGCGTTTTCTGATTATTGGGCAGAGCCAAGACATGTTCATAGTCGGATTGTATCTTTCTAGATATTGTTTCCACTTCCTGTAATAGGCTCTCAACACCGTCCACGCCTGCAGGGACCGCAGTATCCACCAAGTGCTGAGTGTCTGTAGCAATCCCACCAACAGCCTTCTCCACATCTTCAACTTGTCGAGCAAAGCGCGAGGACACATCCACTGCCTCTGACCCAGCTCTGTGCACTTCATCTGTGTCTAAATAATCACGTAACGTTCCAGTTGACTTATTCGTGCCCTTTGTGGGAGTTGACGGGCGTCCTAGGAAGGGGAAGTCTTTTCGAGCTGGGATGTTCTCCAATGTCGCGAAGGTTCGTTTCCATCCATCAAGCGCTACGTGTTGCTCCTTCAAAAGATCATTCGCCCACGTCTGAGCTTCCGTGAACCGATGTTCCAAGGTTCCCACATGAGTCTTCAGGTTCTCAAGAGCTACATTGATGGCGCGATTGATAATACCTGTCCGCTCATTGTGCTCTTGTATATCCTTATGAATTAACTCGCAGCGTTCCGTCAAGGCTATGGCCCACGTACGTCTGGCCATGTAAAGATTTCGCCAGGCTTGGAGATCATTCTGGTCGGTGAGGGTATCGGGAGGGCTTTCGAGATCAAGCGGTTGTGGAGAGGTAAGCGTCGGGATATCTTGTTCGTTGGGTTCATTGACAAATCTGCGGTCATATACGAAGATCTCGTCCTGATATGGATAGTGAGCTTAAATGTTAGCGGGAACGATATCTGGGGGAAGCATACTTCAGTGGCCAGTGTCTGAATCTTGACGTTCTTCCCACGTGCAGTCATTAAGATTTGTCTTTGGGATGGGATTGAGGTGTTTCGGGAAATCCATGACCGAAGCGCATCGGGACTAGCATTCAAGAATGATGGCGCCGGTTAGCATTCCCACACCAGAGCCAAAGGGGATAAAGAAACAGGGAACACAAGGGATGGTCCGGGCACATAGAGTGGAGGTGAAGCCAACTTAAGATGGAGGAACCTGAACATACGATGCGAACGACACCGGATCAGCAAGCAAATGCTCACCCGTGTGAGCAATATAGATGTGTAAAGACATCCCCACCTCACCTGCCGAACAGAGCGGCTCCAGAAGTTCTTTGTGAGGTGAAGGATACCGAAGGGGAGATAAGGGAGTTTCGTTCATATAAACGCAAGGCATCCAGGCCTGAAGAGCTCCCCGGACCTAGACCCGTTTTGGTTGACTGACACACGCCCCCGGAACCACCCAAAACAAGCCCGACTTTCTCCACCGCCTGGTCGCCCTCCCTACGCCGTGTGTCGTTTAGAAAAAAAAGCTTTTCATCACGCGATGTTATTTTCGGCCAGCCACGAGGTCTCAATTCATGGCATCTGCGAAAGCCCGCTCCCTGCCTCACCTGGACTCGGGTGAGGTTTCTCTGTTGGATCTTGCAGAGGATGATCTGAGGGATGCCGTGTCTTTCTCGGACAAAGAAGCGTTGATCCTGCGACTATATAATCAACTTCAGGAACAAGAACTCGAAAAGGCACTCCTCGAACAAGGTGAATTGCCATGTGTGTCTGAAGGTCTTCCATACCTTCACGTTTTTATCTTTCCCGTAAACGCAAAGACTGATGTCTCGTAGATGCCGAACTACTCTCTGGGGATGATGCCGAAGAGCAGCTGGCCACAGCGGAGCGCGAGCTTCTAGAAGCCAGAGCCACTTACACAGTCAGGCGGAAGGCACTTGAGACTGTTCTTATGACAGACCCTACTCTCAAAGCTGTTCATATGAAAGCCACATATCCGGCTGAACAGTATGTCATCACTCTCTCTTTACTTGTCTCATCTACGCAAGTATACTAGGCTTGGCATTTGGCACGCTCCTAACATATTATAGAACTCTTCTTCGTCTTATCAATAGACGTGACGTGCTCTCATTAGCACATGAGAACTTGAATACTGCGCTTAGCTCGACTCTTAAAAAGTTATCTAACGCGGAGGTGGAAAATCTGCAACTTCACCAAAAGAACAAAGCGCTCGTCCGAGAGCTACTAGATCTGACGAAGAATGACGAATCATGGAGGGAAGAATTGGATGATATGAGTATTATGAAGCAATTAGAGCAAGTCAAAGCAGATCACCAAAAAAGTAAAGCGAAATGGGAAACCATGAAAAGTATTATTAGCGCTATCGTTGTCGGCAGTGGTGTGAACTGGGCTGAAAATGAAGAGCTCGTGGCTCTTGTATTGGACGACTCTGACGACTGATGGCTTGGTGACGATAAAATTTCTTCAACTTCTTTTCATTTTTTTTTTTTTCTTTTTTTTCTTTTTGGTTTGTCCTTTCTATCGGACCAGGCTGGGGCCATTTTGAAGGCGTTGATATACCCATTTGAATACCTACTACGGAGTAGAATAGAAGAACAATATGATGTCGTGTTAATCGTATATTGCGGGCTATATTGAACTATAGAGGAGGCTTGGAGGTGACAGATAACCTTCTAAATTTTTATTTATTATTTATTTTATTTATTTATTATTGTTATTTTTATTTTTATTTTTTTGTCTTTCGTCTTTTGTGTTTACAGATCACACTCTGTAACCATGTCAACAAAATCAAACTGAAGAGGACGATTATAATTCTGCGCGACCCACGTGACATCATGGCGGAGCCGATGACGGCAAAGACGCATTCGTCATGCTAAATACGATTTTTGCAAGCACACCCCGAAAAACATGGATGGGGAAGTTTATTCAATCCTCCAGATAACGAAATAAATTACAACCTGACTTAGCCCACAGCGCTAAGGTACAGGTAAAATCGCAAGGCACTCCACATTTCATCAGATGGTGGGAGCTGAAAAAATAAAAAGAAAAAGGAAATGAAAAAAAAAATTTTTTCTAGGGAAAATACAAGCCCCATAATATGTATGAGCATATAAAGAGCGCGTATCAAGAAGCATGGGAGAAAAGAATAATCAAGCCAAAGAGGAGCCGGTGTTTCCACATGGAACCAGATTCGATCACCCCCTCATTATTATTAATGGGCAGATACAGGACCTTACTTACAATACCATGATCGGTCACTGCCCCAATAATACAGATCCAGTATTTGCCGGTAAACTGGATGGTGTTGTTTGGCGTGGAATGCAGTGGCATTTAATAATAAAAGAGTGAGCAGTACTTTGTGATCTATGCAAAAGCTTACAGTACCGACTACTAGTTCATTACGATCATCTATTTATCCAAGTTTTTTGCATGGCACTAAATGATTAATTTATTTTATTAGTATCATCTGCAGTGAAGATTGGAAGTAACTATCCGGCAATCAACACTGTCGTCCACTACATGGACCCTGGAAACAAACTGACAGCCGCTTTGTCCTCCGTGGTACAAATGATCTCTCATCCATAGGAGTGAAATTCCCACAAATCGGTCCCTGGAACCACTGCCTCAAGAACGAGATCGTAATACTTCTGGGTTGACCATGGGAAACAAGAAATGAAGGCAGTGGTATGATGACCGAGCACAATTGGCATCCGTCTAGTCTACTAAACAAATGTCGTAAGCTATCTTTTGCTGGGCGTTGATGTTCTCAGAGGCCTCATTGGTAGATGCTCTGGGTGTGTGGCTTTGCGTTAAAAAACTTATTGCTGAGCTATGTATCTTGCTACCAGTATCTATCGACTAGTATCTATCCCTTAAGACTACGACCACCTCTCTCATTGGTAGACGACTGTATGCCAGGAGAAGAGCGCTATTTAGTGTAGTTGGAAAGACTGTGCAAGGTACCTCCTCGTCGCCCGTACACGCCAATTCGATCAAGCATTCTGTTGCCCGTGCAAGGGGCCCTTGGATGTATAACCACATAAACCCATAATACCTGAGGCTAGCTATATCATACTAAATTAAACGGTTCTCACGAATACGTATCCTTGTCCAAACCGAATTACCCCGGACCCTCAGCACATGTAACTGGCACAAGTGCCGAGGGGAAGCAATGAATAATGAAATGTCCATTGGGTTTCTTCAACGGCATATCTAACAGGAAGGGAGTCCGTAAGGGAAACAGAGTAGAAAAAGGTACGTACAGAGTAGTATAAAACAAATAATTTAGCAGTGCACTATAACCCTAAAGCATCAATTGACTTCTAAGTGGAAGGCTAGTAGTACTGTTTATCCAAGAATGGATGAAAGTTATGCACAACAGAGATTATACCACCGCAAGATTGGATCCAGCATGAATTCATGTAATTTTACATATATTGAATGATACAGGCCTACTCAAATTAACTATAGGCAGTACGAAGCCGTAGTGAAGTCGTATCTAAGTTGACTAGAAAGATTGCATGGGGGTACGGAGTATATACATACACGGTACGGAGATTTTTGCAGGATGGGAAGGCAATCGTAGTATGGGAAGTACTGGAATCCTACTGCGACGTTACTACTGTACCGTACTACTACCACCACCGTCCATATTCCGTCAATCAATGGATACTGCGGTGTATGTATCTTACCTGATGTAATTTATCCACATGGTGGGAAAAGTAGGTAACCTGATAGTGGCGGCGGGCTGATTCATGTATTGTGACCGTCATGTATCATACAGAACACTAGTTCATAGTGGAGCTTTGTCGAAGCAATTCATCAACGAAAATTCGTCTCTGGCAAACTTGTCTGACCAGATAAGCTCGAAGAAGCCATAGAGCCGATACCAATTGTTCCGGAGCAAAGTTTCTGCAACTTCAGTAGTCCGCCCGCTCAACAAAGTGCGGTGGTTTAATGAAGATGACAGTGTTGATCGGTTGTGAGGGACCACCGATGGAAGGCTGTACATGACGTGTATGATACCATACCACCCATTCCCCGAACACACCATAGCCAGTCGCAGCCAGCCGACTTCCCTTGCTGTGCTTGCCCACTTCCCCCCTTCGTAAGTGCGAGTGAGTAGGTAAGTAGTGGCCCGCCCTCCCGTCTCCCTCTTCTCTCTCCTACTACTACTACTCTCCCCTCTCCCTCTCTCTCTCACTCTACCTACTCTCCCTCACTACGCTTCCCATACAATTCTCTCTTCCCCATACAAAAAAGTACTGCATATCCGCATCGGTGAGTTCACTAGTAAACACTCGCACTTCTCACATTGACTCTACACAACAAACACAATTATTTTTTTCTTCCAAAGCTGTCTGTTTCCACTGTGAAGGCCTTGTTCGAATGCCGTTTCCCTTGATTTTTTGTCATGGCTTCGCGATCTCATCGTCGCGCACCTGCGACGGCAACTATATAGTTCCAGAAATAATGCGTGAACCCAAACTGACTTTACTCCCCAACAGGCCAAAACTGCCGACCTCAGAACACTGCTACTTGAATTTCTTCTGAGTCAATTGTCGGGTAAGTGTCTTGCGCGCTTTTTCCTTTTCGTGTTCTGCCTTAACTTGCGCCCGTGATCGGACTTGTTTGGGTCGCGCGCTTTTACGCTCTGGCCGCACCGTACTTTTTCCACCGCGCGCAGAGTCGCATTAGTCGCACCCCGAACTTGATCTGTTCCTTTCTTCATTATTCTTTCGCTTTTTCTTTGTTCTCATTATTTCCATTCAATCCTTGCCAACGCGCCCAAGCCGCTCTTTCCATTGGCAAATCCACTTGGCTTCGAACCTTCTAACAGGACTTTGTTCTCAACAGATCACACTAAAGATGCCTAAGGAAAAGACCACACGTAAGGCTAAGGGTACCCGCGTTGAGCGCAAGAAGAAGGGTATGTTCCCCGTCTATATCTCTTGAAGCGCACTGACTGATCTGAACTGTAGACCCCAACGCACCCAAGCGTGGTCTCTCCGCGTACATGTTCTTCGCCAACGACAACCGTGAGAAGGTTCGCGAAGAGAACCCCGGCATCTCTTTCGGTAAGATACGCAAACTCGAGGTGCATCCCTGATCGGATCAGCTAACCCCCGAACAGGTCAGGTTGGCAAGATGCTCGGTGAGAGGTGGAAGGCCCTGAGCGACACTGACCGCCGCCCTTACGAGGAGAAGGCTGCTGCCGACAAGAAGCGTTACGAAGACGAGAAGGCGAGCTACAACGTATGAGACCCCAGTCACTTCTTGCGTGTAGACAATGCTAACGGACTGAATTTCAGGCTGCCCCCGAGGACGATGAGGAATCTTCTTAAATTGTTTCTTCCCCTCGCAGGTCTTGTGAATCTTGACCGACTGGCGTTTCGTGTTGTTTATTCCCGCTAATTGCCTGACTTGTATTTGTCGCCTCTTATATTTCCTTTTACTCAATGGTTTCTGGTATGGGATGACGGTGGTTTCTCCTTGCTTTTCTGTTCATGAAGGATCTTCAATGGGACATGTTTACTGTATGGACTGGCGGCTTTGGGACGAATTTGACTTAACTCGAGGGAGCCCGGCGCTGTTTTCCAGATCGGCGGGAGAACCTTGTTTTGAGTATCTATGGTGAAATATGAATTGAAGCTGTTGAGGCAAGCAAATCTGCTGTACACTAGCCTAATCAACCGCATCCTTACCTTTTCTCTGTTGATCGCCCCAGCGGGTCTGCGTGCCATAAATGAACATTAAGCTTATATCGAGTATGAAGGAGGGGTTGAGAACAAGAACACAAGTGAATCAATTTCTCTGAGGCTTGTGTTGGTGTTGAAGCTGTCGAATTGCAAGGGAGCTCTCCTGGCCCAAGCTCCAGCGATGACGCGGAGGTAAACTTGTTTACGTGTTGGACGCGCGCGTCTTCCGTACATCCGATATCTCCGATAGTCGCCTTGGTGCCTGAAACCCCAAATGAACCGTCGTAAGTTGCCACCAGTTCAGTGTCTAGACTCTCATACATACTTAAATGTCCCCCGTCTCCCCTCTTAATTTGGTCAACGAGTACCTACTAATATTCTGACACAACACATCCTGCTTACGCTACGAGTTTAGCGATATGCAGTCTTGAGCAGTGCCATCCAAACAAAAGCCGCCAACATGGCCAAGTACATATGTACATACATACGCTAGGGCGCACATAACTATTTTCCGCGCGCAACTGTGCTTGTTCCGGCACTTATGCGTCACGCTGCTATTTTCTGACTGGGCAGTTGGTGGATCTTTGAGGGTCATGAATATCCGTCAGGCAGAAATCACATATGATTTAACATGTTTGCTATACTAACCACCTGGAAGCGATAGGATTTGTCGACTAAAAATCTAGAGCTGTGTGTCTACCCAAGCAGGGTTCCCGACCGCCCTGTGGTGCGTGGGTTGATTCTAACTGTATATGGCCCAAATGAGAAGAGTCGAAGGACAGAGAGTGTACCCACTGCTCTACATTACAGTTGCAATCCGTATCGGCACCTGGGCTCAATACTATTTGCACAATGTTGAGATTCTCTACGAAGGTGATGGCCGAAACTTTTAGGGAAAGCTTGCCCTCCCTGGGACAGACGTCAAGAAACAGAGGTTTCAGATATTCACGGCTTGGTGCCTCTGAATCCTGGATGTCTCCGGTAATACCTGGAGCTTTAGGTTGACCTTCATTACCTTTATTGTTCGCCTTCCTGCCAAAAAGGTCGGTCCTCTCTGGAACCAGATATCACTTTCTCAGTCTGAGTCGTAGTGGAACTATGGAGCTTATCTGTTCTTGTCAAGGGCCGAGAAGGCCATTTAGCGTTGTATAAGCAAGAACTCAGTCCGTTTCAAGCCATGGGTTTGGTATGCGAATTCATAGGTTCATGACAGAGAGTGGGCCTTTGACTGACTTATGAAGAATATTAGTAGTTCTTCTTCCGTGTTCAAAGATAGCAGTTCATACGTGGTTTGAATGGAAAAGATAAATGAGCTGAGATTGTCCACCTACTAAGTCCGTTTGCCTGCTAGCCGGTACTATAGTCATGGATAGATATGCCCACTTCAACTTTGATCGAAAAAGGGGTTCGTCCGAGTCAATGATTATCTCGTGACCCGGTTGGTCAGTGACACGGGAATTCCTACCCGTTGTGACTACATCAATTTCCTACTTCCTTCTTGCTGCATGTCAGCCACCGGAAATGGACTTGTCTTCCGCCGTCACGATGCCCCGGCTCTTGTTTCATTGTTCCCGAGGTTTTCTTTAGCAAAGGATCAATCGTTTCTCCCCTCAAACAGGAATGAATTCTTTCGCTGAACGGTGTCAAGCTGTGTGTGTGTGTGTGTGTGTGTGTGTGTGTGTGTGTGTGAGGATTAGTTACACTGTCAGTCTGTCCAGCCTGTCCATCACCGCTCAATGGCGCCAATGCAGCTCCGCTCCTCGTTTATTGGCTTTGTCCCTTCTCCGCTATGGACACGTCAACGATCCCAAGTCAGTTAGACACTTGGAGGGCAATTACCCTATACGTTTCAAGCCATGGTCAGCATGAGAGCCGCAAGTGAGGGTCATGGATGGCTTGGGGTTTATAGGGCTCGTTCCATTGACTATCGGGTTCGATCTTTGCCCCACTTGACGGCATTCTTGACCCGCATTTCTCTCGACAGATGATTGTTTAATTGATGAGTTATCTAATTTCCCTTGGGTTCTACAAGAAATTGATTTTGGAAATCTCCCTGGCCGTGAAAGACTCGATCGTCTCTTTTTCTTCCTCCTATCATTCAAGGGGTCAGTCCGGGAGAGCACTAACCCATTAGTCCCTCAGGCGTGCGTCTCCGGTCGATACGATGCATGCGGATCGCACAACACTCTCTTCGAACGCCCTCATTGCATTATTCTACGACTGAGTTGTCGTCGGGTCACCCCTCCACAGCGAAATCTGTTCCAACTTACCATTTTGAACAGGCTTATTTAGCTTTAACCTTCTTCTCCCCAATTCTTTCCCTTTTAGTTTTTTACCCTTCCTTGTTCAATATAAGATCGCTGGCAGGGTTGTCTCCGTACCCTTTTTACGTCGGTGTTGCTTCCCTCCTATACCTCACCGACTATCATATAACATCCCCATCCGCTCCCCACCTGCTGTTCAAGTGTCACGCAAGGGTCTTATATATTTATTAGATTGTGTATGTATCTGTATGGCCCATTAGAGGTAAACGTCCATTATGGCCCTGCGTACTTCCGCCGATAACGCAGAGGATGTGGCCGCTGGCTTCCGTGAATTTCGTGAGCATCTCCCTGGACATGAAGCGGAAATCACTGGCCTTATTGCGGATCTTTTTGCCATCAGTTCAGCTTTGAAGAGGTTGGATGACCTGACAAACGATCGTCGTCATCAGCATAACCTGGCCATCGTGCACCCGGACCTGGAATTGGTCCGTACTAGCTTGAAGATCACCCTCGAGGATATCGTCGATTTCTTCGGCGATCTGGAAGTGCGCAGAGGCTCTGCCCGAGATGTCTATCGTCGAACCTGGACTGAACTATGTGAGTTCTTCCGGGACGAGGGGAAGGACTCACCCCCCACGCGGTTAGCCAGGTACAAGACGTATTTGAATGAACTAGAGGATCATATGACCGAGTATGCCGTTCTACTTTAACGTCTTGCCACTATACTGTTGTGTTCATACTTATGTCCTCGGGTTGAATAGCAAGTTCCCTGATCCCTCGTTCATTGCTAGCCTTCGCAACGGTCTGAAGGGATTGCTAGCCCAGCAATGCAGTCGATTGCCACACCAACTGGGAAGCATGTCTCTCAGCACACCGTCCTCTCCCAGTAGCCATAGCGCTGAACCTGGAAGCCCGGTTAGCGACCGTCGGCCTCGCAATAAAAGGTCCTACGAGCGAGCAAGACCCTCTCATACGTCTCCCCAATCACCTCTTTCCCCTGCGTCTGGAAATTTCTCAGACGTCCCACCATCGGCCCCGGATGCACCTGGATCCCCTTTCACTAGTTCAGCCACGAGCCACTCCCTGGGTTCCAACACCATCAGTGACCATTGGGCAAAAAGTGTATTCAAGGAAGCGCGTGCAACGACTCGGATTCCATATGTTGGAGAAAGGTAAGGAGCTATAGTACAAGCAAAGAGCACTTGAGCTAATACTTGCTTAGTTCTAAATGTCTTGGTGATGTCACTCCCGGGGTAAAGCGATGGCTCAATGAGACGGGGTTCGAGGAGCTTTTTCAATTGTACGCGTATAAGAACTTCACTTTTCCATACTTTTTGCTAACATGATACAGAGCCTTTAACGGCGATTCGGACTTACGTGTGTATTTGTATGTACGAGAAGATGACCACCGAGCGCGCATCGTATGCAAAACCTCTCGCTCGCCCCGCTCCAGCGACTACCACTGCCTTCCTCTGAATATGCTGGAGATTGTCCGTGTCGGCTCCTGCCTGCAGTTGTGCCGACGGCGCCGTGGCGGTCATGAACTTGTTTTGTGGGCTAATCTCAAGTTCAGTACACTTGAGCGTGCGTATTAACTCCACCCCTACGTTTTTGGAAACGGCACTGAATAATCGAACAGATATGGTACTGTTCTTCTGCACTTTCCTGGCTCTTCGCTCTCAGGACTGTGGCCGGCCAGTGGATCGCATCCGTGATTATGAGTTAGACGATGAAGAAGAGCTTTTTGGAGGGTATGAGAACTCTCAATAACAAGCTAAGTGGATAGTATATTAACTGAGGTTTTGCAGGCCTATTGTCGACGACAATTTCCTTCATGCGCTACGCATATACAAAGACCGAACATCTGGCGCCATAAGACTCCAGGCATCAGTACATAAAGGGGAAATGAAACGGTGGGATTCCCGGGGATGAGATGAAACTAGTCCTTTTACTCATTGGTAATTGATATAGTGCTCCAGTTTGGACAGCATTCATCACGAATCATATTGGCACACGAGGTTGGATCCGTCAAGCTGATTCAAGAGTTGTTCTACTACGTGAACTTCATCGGACGATTTTCACATTTGATCACTACGACCCACCACGCACGTCCAGAGGAGAACATATAATAAAGTTTTCAAATCGTTCTGGTTGGTCAATTTATTTCTTCGTTCTTATGTTTCTTAATATCCCGTGGTACCTACAGTATACTGATTTCAGTATTTCAGATGCCCAAGGATTCATGCAGACTATTGCCGAACTCGCTGGCCGCTGACCTCATCTTTCGACTTCCTCATATCATTGCCTATTAATGGGTCAACAACGCACTAAACATATATAAAAAAGGTGGGAAATATGAATAAACAAAAGCAGGAAAAACAAAGAATCTCCTTAATGACACCCAACGCCCAACGTCCATGACACTGTTATATTATCCTAATTATCAAACAATCACGATTAATGACTTATGCTTACGAGTTCATGAGCTGACGAAGCTAACTTGGTGGTATTCTGGTCTCTTTTAACGATACAAAAAAACAAAAGGTCGCCCCGCCACTCCTTGATGGTGTGATTAGGGACTGAATTCAGCTGGCTGATTCTCGCCTGCGCAAGACAATTTTTTTTTCTGGGGTAACTACTATTCTGAACTTGCAGGTTTTCCAGAAGGAAATTGATTACTCAATGTCTTTTTTAGAAATCACAATATTTACTAGAAGAAATGAATATCATGATCTGGCAAAGCAAAGGGGTATCTTATAAATCTTAGTGCATAATATACAGGAAATACATCAAACACCAACATCTCCCAGCTTAGCAAGAAACATCTCCGCCTGCCTCTTTGACCGTAACTCTCCAATCTTCTTCCTCCGTTCATCCTTAGCCCGCTCTCGCTCTGCCTTTCTCTCTCGGCGGACTTCCCGTTCGTGCTGAGTTTCATTCCGCACGTTCATAAGGTCCTCCATCTGCTGCCGGCGCACATTCTGATCCTTGGAGAAGGCATAAAATCCGGTGCCCCGGTTCCGGACCTCCGCGTCCGCGTCATAATGCGTCTCTTCCGGAGGAGTAGGAGACCGATCTCTCCGCTTAGCCAGATACGACATCTGCGCCGCCAAACCGGCATCGGGATTGAACGCCTCAGCCTGCACAGCAGCCCCGTAGATCAGATTGTCCGGCCGAGAAGGCCGCCAACGTTCCTTCGCGTCACCCCGTTCGCTCTCTTCCTCCTTCAATCGGGCCGCACGAGTCGCTTCGGCTCTGGTCCCCCGACGAGTCCGACCAAGCTCATCTTCATACGAAACAATCGATGCATTCTCATCCTCCTCCTCCTCTTCTTCCTCGCCGTCACTCCCAGAACCCTTCCCTCGCTGCGCATCTGCCCATTTCTGATCAAAATCCACCAGCCCCTCTTTCTCCCGCCGCCGTAGTCGCGTGAGATACTCGTCCTGCGTTTCCTCTTCCGAGTCGCTCCCAGCCGCCAGGTACAGCCCCTTCTTCAGATCCTCGTACATCCGTGCCTTCTCCTCCATTCGCCGCTTGGAGCGGTGCAGCGTGGCGGTGTCTATGCCCCCAATGTCTTGGGACCGCTGGTGTGTTTGGTGGGTGTCATCGTCGCGGAGGTCAGCGGCGGCACGTTTCTGGGCGCCTTTGTTGGGGCGCGCGAAGATGTCTGATTTGCTGGTTTTGGATGGTCGGGGTCGGCCGCGGGTGGAGGAGTCGGCGTCTTTGTTGATAAGGGAGGAAAGAGCTGTCGTGAAGGCGAGGGTAGAGGAGGAAGGGGCATTGGATTGAGATTGAGAGGTTGATTTGGAGCGGGGAATGCCGTATAGTGAATTTGGATTCGACATCATGGTGGATTATTGGAGATGTTGGAGTAAGAGTATTGAGGTTTTGGAAGGGAGATAGATATGCGGCCGTAATCGATAAGGCGTGATTGAACTGAAATGAACTAAGTGGGAATAGGCAGGTATGACTAAGGTCCATAGATGGCCCCGCGGAAACCCCTCCAGACTTGTTCAACTCGATTTCCTATCGATATATTCTCTGTCTGTACGTCTCTTCTTTTCCCTTGTCTTTCTGGAGGTGCTTTCTCTCTTGTTAGATATTTTATTTACTTCATTCGGTTACCATTCAAGCTCAATTTCCGATCAATTGCCTATCATCATGTCGAATCCCGTCTATCTCGGTGTCATTGGTACGTACCAAAAGAATATCTACAACCAACAACAACAACAACCCATACACTACACCCCCATTCATTCCCAATTTTTAAACAAGATATTAACAGCATCGCAGGAGTCGGAGGTGTAGGCACAGCCTTCCTGAGCCAACTTGCCCGTCTCCCCAACGCTCCCAAGCTCGTCCTCCTCGCCCGCTCCAGCCAAACCCTCCAGTCTCCGACACCGGCCTACTCCCCCGCCATCCCCGCTGCAGACTGGAAAACCGCCGTTGAGACCCCCTCCCTGATCAAATCGGGCGCTCTCTCCGTCGACGAAATTGCCTCCTACCTCTCCTCCGCCCCGGGTCGCTCCATCCTCGTCGACAACACCAGCGACCTCACCCTCGCCAGCTCCTACCCCGTCTTCCTTCGCAAGGGCATCTCCATCGTTACCCCCAACAAGAAGGGTTTCTCCTCCGACCTCTCCCTGTGGAAGGACATTTTCGCTGCCGCCGCAGAGGGCAAGGCCCTTGTGTACCATGAGAGCACCGTCGGCGCAGGTCTCCCCGTGATCTCCACCCTCCGCGATCTCGTTAGCACCGGTGATGAGGTTACTCGCATCGAGGGTGTCTTCTCCGGCACGCTGTCCTTCCTGTTCAACACCTTCGCCCCGGTTTCTGGGCCATCCGGCGCTAAGTGGAGCGAGGTCGTTGCGAAGGCCAAGGAGCTTGGCTACACTGAGCCTGATCCCCGTGATGACCTGAACGGTATGGATGTCGCCCGTAAGCTGACTATTCTGGCGCGTATCGCCGGTCTGGAGGTCCAGTCTCCTGACTCGTTCCCGATTGAGTCGTTGATTCCTAAGGAGCTTGAGTCGGTGCCCTCCACTGCTGATGGTATCAAGGAGTTCATGACTCGCTTGCCCGAGTTCGATGGTCAGATGTCGGCTATTAAGGAGGCTGCCGAAAAGGAAGGTAAGGTTGTGCGTTACGTTGGTAGCGTTGATGTTGGTAAGAAGGAGGTCCGTGTCGGCCTGCAGTACTTCGACAAGGATAGCTCCATTGCTGGTCTGAAGGGCAGTGACAACATCATCAGCTTCTACACGAAGCGTTACGGCGGCAACCCCCTCGTTGTCCAGGGCAGCGGTGCTGGCGGTGACGTGACTGCCATGGGCGTGTCCGCCGATTTGATGAAGGTCGTGCAGAGACTGCAGTAAGCCACTTTATCGGGAGACCAAGGAATGGTCTGACTTAGATATGAGAAACAAAGAAACCAACAAAAAGTAATAGAATGAAGAAACAACACGAAAAATGATTACGAGCGCAGAAACTCTTTCACAGCCTCGCCCCAAACAGGTCCCCGTTTATACCAATGCATTTCAGGCACATTCCCCTCTTTCAACCCATCAATAGCAGCCGCCAGATCCTCCCCTAGCCCTTCATCCTTGATCATCTGGATCGGATACGTATAAGTATGAAACGCAAACACCAGTCCCTTGCTCTGAGGAAGACGATGCAAGGTTTGCCGTTCACACCTCAAAACTGTAGAATCCACCTCTAATTCCCCAACATTCAAAGTCTTCTCCCCTTCACCCTCATCACCGTGCACGCCGCCAAACGCAGCGAACAGCTCCGAATCGGTAGTAATACTCCAATTGACCCTCTGCACGAACTGGCCGACCTCGACCCGCGCAAAGAATCGGTCCATACTGCGCTCAAGCTTCTCCTTATACCCCGGGACTGGGGTGTGGATGGACGCGAGACGGAGGCCGAGCTTCTTACGCGTGTCGAAGCCGGCAGGAAAGAAGGTCGTGTATGCTTCCAGGATGTATTTTTCGGGTTCTCCTTGATTGCTCGAGGGGTGGGTTGAAGATGATTCGGGGAGGAGAATGAGAAACTCCTCGTCGACTAGCGTTCCCAGGGTCTCGAGTTCTCTTCTCCCTGTTCTGGATCCGGGTTCGGATTCATTGAAGTGTAACGGAGTCTTTGATCCTGTGACCATACTCTCGAGTATTGTCTTAGTCTCTGTTCCTGTCTTACTGTTGTCATCGCTTGGTTGGGAAGTCAGTCGGAACATCTGAGGGTACCGTGTTGGTAAATATGTCCCGACAACGAAGACATATAGCTCTCGGATTGCGGCGTAGATTCGCGGATCAGTCTCGTTATTGATCCCAATGACGACGTCGGGATGTTTTTGAAGTAAGGAGGAGCGAATGGCTAGTCTGTCTTTGTAGGTTTTGTCCATCTGGATGAGTGTCGAGGGGTCCAGATTCGATAATGCTTGAGGTAATCAGTATCATGTCTATATACCGAGTTATGATTCTGGCTGTTTGAGGCATACCCATCGTTAAGTGATATTTTGGCTTAAAGGGCCGGAATTTCAGTGGCTCAGTAGTCTCCCAGTTAAAGTCCGGGAGGGGTTCGATGGGCGGGTATGTTTTTTGGCTTTCACTGTCGGATGTCGGCTTTGGTGTGCAGTTGTTGGAGACGGCTGGTTTCTATGCCTGTGAGCCAAACTGTCGTCCTGAGTCTATGGAGCCAAGTCATACATATTTCCAAATGGCAACGCCGAACCCTAGAAGGGAAATGAGAAACACCACCGGTAACCTCTCCGTATAAGTGGCTATTGATTTAACCATATAGAGCCCCATCTTGTTGCTAGTCACTTATTCTGGAATGCTTGTCCAACGGGAGCCTGCTCGCGATCTGAAGGAGTCATCGGTGAGGAGATATATAGTTCGTATGTTCCATGCTGGATTTTAAGTTGACCTTAGATCTCTCTCGGACTTGCGATTGGTCGACAATCCCGTTCAACGCCGATTGCTCAGAGCACCGAATATCTGGTCTTTTTTTACGGTGAGTGCCGTGTATATATAAGTCAATGAAATTGTAGTAGTGGGTCTGATATACATACAGGGGTATCAAATGAAAAATAAAAGATAAGTCAGACCGCCAGATAAGTCATAGCTTAAACAAGCCGACAATAGCAAATGCCAATAACTGTTGCAATATATGTCCAAAACGAAGGGCAAAGCGATAGCCAAGTCGAATATGCATACTGAAATACCAACCGGTGGGCAAAATGAAATGCGCACAGTAGTTGACTACCTCACCAAGGTGCTCTCTACCTTCGTCGTATTGCAATACCACGGAATCCCGTGTAAAAGTAACCAACTAGACGCATTCCTCGGTTACCTTCGTTTTAACCCGTTATTTTCTTCCCTTTCTGCCCCAGTTGCTTCGTAGCTTGCTAGCACAAAGGCCCTCCGCTGGCCATTTGGTCTTTCATTCAGGCTGGGAGCACGAGGCCGCTGCCTCCCCCTCGCCCGACCGCCGATTACGGGGAGCTCATACGTTAACATCCGCCAGACGTAGAGAGTCAAGTCGAAGATGATAAGTGTAGCCCAGGGAGCGATCGTGATGAGGCCCAGGACGAGCTGCGATAAGAAGACAGTTAGCGCACATGTCTTGGGAGACATCGGGACTAACTGCGCAACGCGAATTACATACAAAGAGTCGGGCGATCCAGTTTTCAACATAGAGGAGGTCGGCTGGGAATAATGAGTACCACGCCATTTTTGCACTTGCAAAGTATGTATGTTATTTTGTTTCTCCCCGAGAATTGTTCGGCGATCGATCTACTGGAGAGCTGCGACCAGGGTATGGCGGCAATTCAATAGCAGCAATTCAAAACCAGTCCAAACAGCTGTTTAGTATAGTTGCCACCCTGTAGAGACCATGCGTATTCACTAGGAAGTTCAAGGAATTCAGGGAAGTCACCGGTGACAGCGTGGCTCGGAGCGTATTTGAGCACCTTCGTGTTCGGTTGTTTGCGGTAACGAATGGTGGTGTTATGCGACGTGGAAAGAGGGGAAGGCAAAGGTTTGTTCGATTGAGGTCAGCCTGTGACAAGAGAGCTAAGGGAGACTAACAACCTCATCGCAGATGGTGTGCGATTAAGGGGGCGGGGACCAAGTGAAAGTACTACAGACATGAAGTTGTCAGGGGAGAGAAACAAACAAGGCATCCGAGTTCCGAGAGTTGGCCTCCACCCAATCGGGTAATTGATACACCCTCCCAGCTTCATACGATGATACGTACAAGACAACAATTATTACCCCAGGTACTCCGTCGATAGCTGAATACATCATCCCACTTTGGTTGCTTCTATGTACAATCAATTCGGCTCATATAATACAACACAGATATCCAGATCATATGCACGTATATGCAGCGTTACTTCCGTTGACCCCGTCCAGTCATATCCAATACACTCCAAAGCTCTATAAACAACCACAAATAAAAGAAATCAAAAACAGAAAAAGAACTCAATATATGGTATATTCAGGTAATGTCGTTAGTCACAGCTATCGTGGTCTGCGGTAGTACTCGTAGGACGTTCTGGGATCTTCCTGTTCCACAGGCCCGTATCCTCGTGGCCCCCATCGATTGAATGGGTGAGCGCTGTCGGTCACAGCCGGCCCCTGCGCCTGACTGAGCAGTCGTGCTTCACTCTCATCACCATGCTGATAGAGTCCGTTGCCCACCAGGCCACTATCTGAGTGGGACAGGGGGGTGCGGAACGCGGGATGGACGAGTTCATGAGTACTCGTGTCATAACTATCGTACTGTCTTAATCCAGATATGGAGGGGAGCGATGGCGTTGGAGACGCTGCTCGTGATGAAGTCGGCGACCACTCTCCTAGCCCGGTTCGCGGCGTCTGCGAACGTTCGGTGATCAAGTCGTCCGGCCGGCCATAGATACCACCGCCGAACTCATCACGGAAATCCGGCCGGTCCTTATAGTAGGAGAAGTCGAGATGATTCTCTGGAACAACCTCGAATGGGGCGGATTCCGAGGCTTCCATCTTGGACTTTCCTGGATGAGATGCCAACATGGGATCCATCGCAATATCTGTGTATTCGCCCTCCACTTCTGAAGTACCTATGCGACCCCGGTAGATACGCTTTAGCGCATCGGCGGCTTTTGCGTGTACCATCGGCGTGATTAGCGGTTTGTTGAGCGCCGGGTGGCCAAATTTGGAACTGAGTCGATCTGACGCCCTCTTGCTCGACTTCCCAGTCTCCAAGGCTTCGGTATCGCTCAGATTCGCACGATTGTAATACTTCATGTCAGTGTCGAACGTCCGCACACAGTACCACTTGAACCCCAGTAACAGAAGAGGTAATGGGATTACACAAAAAACCATTGTCCAGGTGCCGTTAGCCGTAGCCACCAGCGCAACGACAGCGTTGGATAGGATAGCTGCAAAGACCATACGGTTGAACACAACACGCCAGAACTGCCCTCCGGACTCGTTTTTCGTCACAAGCACATACATTAGCAGATATTTTTTCATCATGGCATCCAACCCGAAATAGAGAGCAGTGACTGGCAGAACGATGGGCTGCAAAGTCGCAAAGCACAACGCTACGGTGGCGTAAAACAAGAAATAGTTGTAGTAGCTTGCATATTCAAATGGAGGCGGAGCCGTCCATTCGATGGCCTGTCGCGGTGTTGGTGCCAGAAAAGTCTTGGAGAACCATACCCAGACCAAGGGAACTAGCTGTACGAGGTCGATCGCCGCTCCTAGATTCCTCTGTAACAAGTAGGTCACCCAGAAGGGAGACACGTTACACAACGCACTCACGGCCTTGGAGTAGAAACGTCCATCAATCATAGCTTGCCAGGCATTCTCATTCTCCTTCTTGTCAATAACAGCTGCAATGAATGTCCACGCGGCTGAGAACAGTGAAAATACCACGAGATTGTTGAAGACAAAGAATGAATAGAGATGGTGAAGCACGTGCCTCTCTCGAGAACTCTTGGTTACATCACCAGCTTGGATGGACAGCCGGCGGAAGATGATGGGTAGGATAATATACACTAAGGACGTAATGGCGGGAGATAGAATACCCTGCACAGCAGCCCAGACGTGTGGGTTGGCGCTAAGGGACGTTTGAAAAGCCGGCCAGACCAATCCTAAGTTGTTCAAATTGGACAAGAAGATGGCAATCATGGCGTTAGGGACGATCCACAAGACTGTCAAGATCGAGACCCAGATGACATTGACGAAACGCTTCCATTTTCGTGCCTGTTTCGACAGAGGTAGATTTTCCCAGATGAGATCATTTGGCCGCGGAGCTAGCCTAATCGTTGTTCCCTGCTGTCGCTTCTTCCGTGCAGTGTAAGCTACCGCATGAGCGTGTTCAATCTTCTCCCAGCTGACGAAACCGAACGGCATGGCATTTCGCTTATCGATCGACGCTCGAACGTGCCGAATTTCTTCTTCTAATAACTGAATCCGATCAGTCAGATAATCAATGGCGTCTACCTTAGCGGGCGTCTCATCGTCTTTCTCTTTGCGGGGTGGGCGTATAGTAGGCCGATTAGGCGGTAGTCGATCGGGGTTTTTGAGATATTTCGCTAATACCGACTCTAGCTGGCGCACCGCTTCCTCATGTTCTCTGATGAGTTTGGGAAGACCTTTGACGTTACGGCCGATGGTGGCACGGGGTAGAGCAGCGGTGGGGTTGACACCATCGACCAAGCGCATAACACCCTCGTCCGATCGTGCTACTGAAGGAATATCGGTGACCTAAGACCAGGGTCAGTATATTAGTACAGAAGTGTTGCATCATCGCTCCACTAGTAGGGCATAATCTGTACCATCAAAGTCCGGGCATGAAGGCTACGCTGGTACTCAGAACTCTGGAAGTATTTTCTCCGTAACGCGTAAACGGCCTTGTAGTTCCTCCAAAGGAAAAATGCCACAATCAAGTCGAAAGCCCACGCGCAAACAACTTGGCCCCAAATAGCTTTAACAGAGACATAAAGCGGAGTCATCGTCACAAAAGCCGGCAACTTCGCTCTAGAGTCTTTGTTGCTCTGAGTAAGGTTGAGAGGGATCATTACACCGCAGCCGATTATGCTAAGGAAGATGAAGATATTGCGACACATCTTGGTGAAACGCAGGAAGACAGTGGCATCGAGACCAACGCAGTCAACGAGCTCTGGCTCTCTAGTGCGCAAAACCGGTTTAACCCAGGCAAAGAGGCCATTTCCCACCGGGGGAGGGCTATGTTTGCGATCTGCATGTTTAACCTTAGGGGCGTAGACAACCGTGTGCCGAGGTCGGAACAGCGAAAAGAGTAGGGCAAGGAGGATGGAAGAACCGGCGGAGGTGGCCAACGAAGCCCAGACGGCGTTGATTTGAAACTGTCCAGGTTAGCTCAGTGGCTCCAAGGGGAAAAACCAGGTATGGAGATGAACTGTGGGCCGGCCTTTGAAAGAGAGGACGGAAAAAGTAGAAGTAAAACAAAGCACAGACAATACTTACAGCGGACTTGAAAGGATCCTGGATGAGCTGCAGAAATTGGTCTATCGTATCCTCACGCCGCCATAGAGCACTAGTATCCATGATGCCTTGACAATCAAGGCGACATGGATTGAGGGTAATGGATTGGAAGATAGAGGAAAGGGTAAAGCGAAAGAGGGAACAGAAAAGAATTGTTCTAGGAGCACTGAGACATCCAAAAGAGGAAGAATAGGAAAACGAAAGGGAAAGGCATGCACGATGGATGCGACAGATAAAAAGTGACAACAAGGAATGAATGGATAGATAGGAAGGCGAAAGAGTGGGTACAGCAGTGGAGGCGGGTCTGGAACATATCAAACTTAGTTCGTCATCCTTTGGCTCCCAAACTCCTCGGAACGTCTGACAGTACAGTAAGTCTGTAAATCCAGTGGGGGGAAAGTCGACGTCTCTTTTTGTTCTCGGCGGACGATCACTTGTACGGGAGAAGAAGATCAACGATCAGTCCGTATGAAAATCAATCAGTGACGTCGAACGAGACCCTGACTCGAATGTCTCACCCGATCCCACGCATGATGCTTTTAATAGTTACTTACTTTTTATCTACAGTTGTTTCCCCATCCACGCGTGACGGGGGCAGGTGGTAAATTCCAGATTGGGAACGGGAGCCCAACGAACTAACTTCATTGAAAAGTCCCTCTCCATTCATGGCGAAATATTGAAAAACAACAAACCCAGCAAAAAGAGAATTTCTGACCCACTAGGGATCACTGATTGGTGGGAAGCCAGCTTGACTCCCGACTGCTATTTTGGATCCCCAATCAAGGCCAACGGTTGGTCTGAAGTCTGGAACAAGGTCGAGATTTTCTGAGACACAGGTGGGGCAAGCGCTGATTGGATGTTTCCTACCGTTTTTGCCGAACGTGGAATTTCTTTACTGTCGGATCCATGGTTTTGAATGGCTGAGCTTATGTGTTGCATGTACGAGGACATGACTAAGTACAGTACCTCATACCAAATTACTACGGCTTCTACTCTACTAATTCCTCGCTGGACAGAGTAGCCAGGCATATAATTATTATCACTCCATGGTAGACTGTTTCAAAGAAAGAAGAGATAGAGTAACAAACAAAAAGAGAAAAAAAAAAGGAGAGAACTCTAAAGTGCCCGATACAATATTCACAAAAACGACTCCAGCGCCTTTAACATGGCAGACATAAAAGAAGCCTTACTTGAGATGTTTCTTCTGATCCTACCAGGCGATCACTGTCAGGTATCTCAGCATGAATACGACCATCGCCTCGGCGTTGTCCCTTGCCTTTCTCTCTGCCAACCCTGTGGGTCCAGTACCTCCCCAAAAGCTGAGCCTACCGGCTGCCAAATCGCCTCCAGATACGCCTTTAGAGGTGTTGGGCTCAAAGGCCATTACCGGCGTAAGCCAACCCTGACTGTAAGACGGTTAAGCTATACAACTGGCAGGATAAAAGAATGCATTTTATACACCGCGTGAGGTTTTCGCGCCAAGCCACCACCTAGTATGCCGAGTGAATGTAAAACCGCCTCACCTCTGGAAGATAATAAATGAGTAGTCCATTGTCATCCAAATTTCAAAGTAAGAACATCACTGAGATTGCTCGCTTATATCTATGCTAATCCTAGTAGTGCACTCTCTATCCACTTAGTCATCACCAAGGCCACGGAGATTATAGTTAATGGGCAGGCAATTTGCCAATGAAGAGTTCTCTAGATACGGAACCATACTACGTACTGAACATTGCATCTGAGGTGATAATCATCAAGTATACTCCGGAGTACATCGGGGGTTCGAAGCGGCGGGTGCAACCCCGTTCTTGTGGGTCGGAACTGTGGCTAATTTATTCAATAGTAGTACTATTGCCAATAGTAACCCATTTCGCCGGACTCCAATAGACTTTAGTCCCCAATGCTAATCGACGCTCGAATAAATTGGATATTGTTCAGAAAGGGAATTGCGTGCGTCATATCTCCCTAAAGTAAAAGGAAAAGCAGGGAAAGGGGGGTCGCTTGAGATTTGGATACTGATTACTTCCAACATGGAGACGACGAGGAAGGCCTGAGGCATTAAATCAGCGACAGTAGCCCTCATTGCCTAATAGTATGACAGCAACAGTCCTCCCATGCGAAGAATAAATGAACGTTCATATGTAAGGTATGAAACTGTGGGGTACGCACAGGTGTGTGAACTGATGGAGCACTCCGTACCTACGTCATACCATGCATACTAGATATTCTTTTTAATAGAACGCAATCAAACACTTCTCCAACGAGATCCTAGGAATTCGGGTTCGAAACTCCGTTCATGGCCTCGATAACTTACCTACACAGCACTATTTGACGCATCGAGTTTGGTGCTTCGTAAGGCTGAGGACGGCAAAACCGCCACTATGGCGAAAAGCCATCAAGCTGCAGTGGGGCTTCTTACCTCCAGCCTCGGGGCAGTTACGAATCAACATCACAAGGACTAGTGACAGCAAAAACTATGAGAAAAAGATAGCGCGTATAGGTTGGAATTCATCAATTAATTAGCGGATTCATCCTCATACTACTTCTACATTCATCGTAATTGACCAATCATTCAACTCCAGCTTCCCCAGTCATGCAATATTTTCAGTCACCAAAAGCGGCCTCCACTTTTACAGTCAAAAAATGTTTCTTTGGTTCGTTTCCGTTCTTGGATTGATCAATTTATGTACTGGTATCTGATTTCTTCGTATCGGCAGAGACATCGTATCAAGAGACATTTACAGCTGACCAGCAGTGTTGAAGTCCTCCAGGGCGACCTTGACACGCTGGCTCATGGTCTTCTCACCCTCACGCACCCACACGCGGGGGTCGAAGGACTTCTTGTTGGGCTTGTCCTCCCCCTCGGGGTTGCCGACAGCGGTCATGAGGTAGTCCTTCTTCTTCAGGATGTAATCACGGATACCGGACATGTAGGCGAACTGCATGTCAGTGTCGACGTTGACCTTGACGACACCATAGCTGATGGCCTCCTTGTACTCCTCCTTGGAGGAACCAGAGCCACCGTGGAAGACGAAGAAGACAGGCTTGTCCTTGCTGGAGTTGATCTTCTCCTTGACGTAAGCCTGGTGCTTCTTGAGAAGCTCGGGGTGGAGCTTAACGTTGCCGGGCTTGTAGACACCGTGGACATTACCGAAACCAGCGGCAATAGAGAAGTAAGGGCTGATGGGGGCGAGAGCTTCGTGAATGGCGAGGATATCCTCGGGCTGGGTGTACAGGGAGTTGTTGTCAACGTCCTCGTTGTTAACACCATCCTCCTCACCACCAGTGATACCGATTTCCTAAAATTCGTTAGACTCGAGCCATGTCATTTGCAGGGGAAGAGGCATCACTCACCATCTCGAGCCACTGCTTCATGGGGGCAGCGCGCTTGAGGTAGGCGGCGGTGGTCTTGATGTTGTAGTCGACGGGCTCCTCAGACAGATCGATCATGTGGCTGGAGAAGAGGGGCTCGCCGTGGAGCTTGAAGTAGCGCTCATCCTCGTCGAGGAGGCCATCGAGCCAAGGGAGGAGCTTCTTGGCGCAGTGGTCGGTGTGAAGGACAACGGGGATACCGTAGGCGGGAGCAAGACTACGGATGTAGTGGGCAGCAGCGATACCACCGGCAATGGAGGCGTTCTGGCCGTCGTTGCTGACACCCTAAAATAAGGGACATTAGTGGGTTGCTCTGAGCTGTTGATCTAGGTGCGTGCAGGGATCGATTTCGACTTACCTTGCCAGCGAAGTAGGCAGCACCACCCTGAGAAAGCTGGAGGACGATGGGGCAGTTCTGGTCGCGAGCAGCCTCGAGGGAAGCAACAACGGTGGAAGAGGAGGTTACGTTCTAGACACGGGTAGAGTGGTCAATTGGATAAATTCACATCGATGGTTCCACCGAGACAACTTACGACGGCGGGGATAGCATAGTTGTTCTCCTGAGCGTGCTCGAAGAGACGGAGGACGTCATCACCGACGATGACACCAGACTTGCGGGAAAGCTTCTCAAGGACACCCATTGTGATATTTGGAAGATTTGATCAGATAGCTGGTATTGCTCGACTAGGAATTGGATTAGTTTGAAAGAAGAAGAAGAGAAGGAAGGAATGGAGGAGGAAGTGAACAGCTAGAAATAAGTTCTGTAGGAGCTTCCGAACTAAGGATCTTTACCGAACGACGAATACGGAGCAGGGGATTTAATAAAAGTGTCATTGGCAAAGGGAGGGATGAGGAGGGGCAGCTGAGCCACTAATGGAGGGGCAACAGCACTCGAAAGAACTCACCGGGTAGTGGGGAACGGATGGTATCAGTATGATTTCACTGACCGGTTGCTGGCGTGATGATGAAAATTGGAGGGGGAAAAGAGAAGAAGCCGGGGGGGGGTTATGATGATATATAAGAAAAAGGGAAAAAAAGAAAGAAGAAGAAGCCGAGAAACAAGGCAGAAGAAGTAGTATTTAGTTAGTCATTCCCAAGTGTCCCTCTTTTTTGGAAGTTGCCCGAGGGTAATGGATGGAATTCCGTTCGTGTCCTTCTTCCCTTTTCTTCCCGTGACGACTTGGACTTGTTTGGTGGGGTTCAACGATGACGCTGCTTGCTGGCCTCAGGCCCAACAGGACCCAAGGCGCTTCCCGAGAATCCCCGCCATCACATGACATCATCACCTTTTCTTCTTCCATGGACCCGAAAGACCTATGACATGCCATTCATTATGATGCGTAACGAAATAAATCTCCTGTATGAGATCCACCTTCAAACCCTTTCTGGATACCCTCATTAACTGGTTCGTAAACGCAACAGGCCAACATCGAGTTGTGATGTTGTTGTTGTTGTTGCGCGAATCTGGGTCCGCCTCTCCTGCTAAAAGATTGACCCATTTCCTCTCCGTATTTCTTTCGTGCTATAGCCAAACATCGGGGAAATCGGCGGAGATCTCATCCCCGTACCCGTTCTCCCCTTTCTAAGTCTTTCGGCATCTTTCTGTACTTTGTGTCTTTCTATGCCTAGGCCCTCTTGTCCCTGCTCAGCTGACACTAAAAAAGAAAATAGTCATAGTACTAAATATGTAAAGGGGTGGGGAAGCTTCACGTAGCCGGTGTTGTTATATTCCGGATCTCAAAATAGTACTACGTGTGCATCGATCCTCGGGATGGTCCCCTGATAAACAACCAACTTTCGCCGGTTATTGGTGGAAAAGAGCCCTACATCTCGTTCCGCCTGTCATGGAGGAACGATTTACTTGCGTGTTGCTACTTCTAAATCTCAATGCCCGTCAACATGCATATACTTCATGCTATTCATAACGTAAACTTCATGCTCTATAACGATACTAGAGATTTTATGACTAACTTGTCACCAATGCAACCTGCTAGGATTATAAAGCGATCAGAACGGTGCCATAGGTTGGCATGCCCGAAGATCTGCGTAATGAACTGATGGGATACTAACCCACTCCACAGTCCTTATATTGATGTAGGAAATAGCGTTAAATCCTGACTAAAACATACACAGGACTCCGTACTCTCTGCATGAATTGTGCTCCAAACCTTGAATGGGCTGGATTAGCCCTAGGCTAGTCGCCTCTTCATTGAATATGTAGCTCTCGGTCTAGACCCCTAACTGAGGACTTGAGATGACAAAAAAAAAATATCTCACTTTGTCTTATACTACTTTGCCGTGTCTACATCTATTCTCAATATAGACTTATATAATAGATCTGGGCCGTCATATTCGACACTCTTGATTGTGATTGTCCAGTAATTCTCTAGTTTAACTGGCTCGCATAGCAGGTCAATGGGTCCGTTCATCAGAACTGTACTATGTGAAACAATGTGACATAAATAAAAAGGCATTTATCTTTGATTGATTATGTATCTTATCTACCTTATGTGAAAGAGTGCTCTACGTCTCTTGCTGTTGCCGTCAAAAGAGGTCGTCCTGCCTGATAAGTCGCCAAAACAGTCAAATAGCCCGCTAACGACCATCAATATTATTATACTGCATCAATTGTGTCATAAGATTATATTGAAAGAGTAGTAAATGTTCCTTAAATATATAACATGACATACTGGCATGCAGAGTGGATTGATACTAGTATATGGCCGAGGGAACTTCTTCAGAACAGCTAGTTTTAAACAACATGGACTGTGTAGACATGTGTACCAAAATTTGACTATTAAACTTCCTTTCTCTCTCTCGCCCAGTATCAAATTAAAACTTCATCTGTTAGTAGATACCAATTCAGAATAGTATTTTGTATGTAGGATGCAACGGACAAAACTGCTGCAGGCGTCAACCAACCTATAACCAAAGAGCATAGAGTTTAAATACGACCTTATTCTGTGCGGAAGATGCTTCCAAAGGTCTACTGGAGTTCCCACTGAAACTCACGTTGATGATACGAAGCAAGTACGCGGGTTTCCTTACCCGTTCCTAAACACTCTTCCCTGAGGCCATCCAACCAATGCACCGGCTATTAGCGGCCATTGCAACATTTTTTGGCGAGATTTGCGCCTTCTGATACCGGGTAATGAAGGTCATATAGAGCTTTAAGGGATCCACTTCTTGACTCGTCACGTTCCCCGCAAACTCAATTCTGGTGGATCATTTCTGGAGATATAAAATGAGCTACCATTCCACCACCCCCGCGTTTACCTCCTCCGTCTCAATTGCATCTACAGCAGTTGTGCTTCCTCAAGCAGAATAAGATAGGACAGTCTTATCTCTTACATCATGCGTCTTCCCCCAGCATCGGTCACCCGCTCCTTAGAGCTGATTGGAGATACACCTGTTGTACGCCTCCAACATGTCGTACCTAGCCATTGCGCTCAGATCTTCCTAAAAGTAGAATCCACCAACCCCACAGGCTCATACAAAGATCGCATGGCAAAGTCCATGATCGAGGAAGCCGAATGCCGGGGCGATCTGAAACCAGGCACGACAATCGTGGAAGCCACCGGCGGAAGCACGGGCTCATCATTAGCCTTGTGTGCGCAGTGAAAGGCTACCGATTCCACGTAGTCTCGTCGAATGCATTTGCTGCAGAAAAGCTACGAACTATGGCTGCTTTTGGAGCCAACCTGGATTTAATTCATAGTCCCTCTGGCAAGATCACACCGACCCTCATTCCTTCCATGATACGTCGCGCAGAGGAGGTTTCTACATCAGATGAATATTACTTCACCAACCAGTTCCAAAACCGGGACGCTCTCGTCGGCTACGAGACTATTGGCCATGAACTGGTCCAGCAGTTTCCTGAGATTGATGCGTTTTGTGGTGCTGTTGGGACGGCGGGGATGGTCATGGGGGTTGCGCGAGTTCTGAAGGCGAAGCGGCCGGAGACCCATATCTCGGTTTTGGAGCCAGCATCTTCGCCTACGATTACCCAGGGTCGTCCTGGGACTCATCATGTTGAGGGGATTGGGATCGGGATTATCCCGCCTCTGCTCGATCGACAGCTCTATGATGAGGCGCTTGCGATTTCAAAAGATGAGGGACGGAGTATGTGCCGCCGTCTGGCTAGAGAAGAAGGACTGCTGGTTGGGACGTCAACTGGTCTCAATGTTGTGGCTGCGATTGAACTAGCGAGGAATCTAGGTTCCGGGAAAACAGTTGTCACCGTAGCGGCGGACACGGGTCTTAAATATTTGAAGGGAGACTTGTTCACTGATGAGTAATGGAAAGACATGAATAATCCACCCCTACTGAAAGCTACCCTTCCTTGGGTTCAAAGTGGAACTGCGTGGTACTCAGCGAATCGTTCTTTGGAACTAGATGATATTGTTTTTGACCTGAGGGAAAATGGCGAGGCATGGATCCCTAGTGTTAGTGCTGGGAGATTGCTGTCTCCGAAGGAGAATGAGTCATAAATGGGTTTCTTGGTCTTTCAATCAATCATAGATTTCCAAAGAACCTAAGGTAGAGTAGGAAAACGAAAGCACAGCCTCCCCATGGTTGAGTTATAGAAGCAGAGATGAGGGCTAACTCGGAAAGCTAGCCTGATAAGGTATAGATAGATTAAGGTAACTGGTAACTGTGGGGCTGCCGAAGGAAGCTCTCGGAAAGCTAACCAGATTGGTACATCGAACATGTTTCTATAGTTTGTATAGTACAGAATTCACTGGAGTGCGGATCCTTCTCTTCATAACGGCTATTCACGGAGCTTCAAAGACATAGAAGATGGTTTTTGTATTATATACACCTCATTATCAACACCAAGAGCCACCAAATCGATCTAGAAAAGTAGCCTAACTACAATGACCTCCATCAGCACCGGAAACTGTTTGTGTGGCGCATGCGCCTATTCCTACACCAGCGAGCCAGCCGTCAAGGTAAGCCTGTGCCCATACTATTTCCCTCTTTCCAGGCTTACCATTCTCTAATCCTTGTAAGGCCATCTGTCATTGCAATCCTTGCCGCAAGGTCTCGGGCGGAACGAATACGGTCAACTTTGTGGTCCCGGACGAGAATTTTACTCTCACAGTCTTCTTCTGTACTGAGCGTGGAAATACTTTATGGAAGGAGGCGACTAGCAAAGAGCTCAAGGGATTGAAGTTGGTCCAGGTGGGAACATTGTCGGACACATCAAAGCTCAACGGGGATATTGATGCAGTATTCTATGCTCCAAATAGGGCATCTTGGCTGGTTCCTCTTCCTAGGGCTGCACAGTGGGCGCAGTTCTAAGAGTCGAAGCACGAACACAAGCGGCAATACCACCCTTGTATCTAGATATCACATTCTACTTGAGCTTGCCGCTCTCAAAGGGCTTATCATCGTTTCGGTCTTCTGATCCATGTTTCTATGACAAGCATTCTATAGTAAAAATAGTGCTTTCGCCATCAACGACAAGGTTGGACTTGTCAAATCGTACTGAGATGCTAGTTTTTCGAAATTTTAATTAGTTATGCACATAACCTAGGCCATTCATGATGAGGGCGTGCTGTTCCAAATGAGATATCCCAGCCCATTCGGAGGAGGTAAGACCTGGCTCTCACCCGTTGGTCTTCACACGGATTATACCAGCTGACCACTGCCAAAGGGAAAACAATCTGTATGCATGAGCCTAAGTTGAGTTGATTTTATAGGTTGCGCTGAAAAAGACCATACGCAAATTCCAGAATTGATGAGCACCTGGTCCTGGATTCATCCACCACACGATCCTTATGCACTCTCAGAAGCTGGAGGCGATGCGAGATGACACAGGTAGCATGGTGCATCACCGATGGCATCGTAGAACAGAAGTCGCCCCCGCAAAGCCATACTCTGTCGTCCATGTTTTCGATGCGCTTGGTTGGAGATATTTCAGGCGTTTCTTTCGCGTACAGTTCTTCACTGTATATGACATCATCAGCAAACTTCTGTGACTGCGACAGCAAGGTTTCTTGTGGTTCAACAACTGAATCTCCGTATTTTTCAATATCATGTTGTCTCAATAAAATGGAAGCCTTGTGAATGGCATCGAGAAGGGTGTCTATTGCTGTCTTCTTGGATCTAGCAAATGGCACATCAGACCATTCTGGCGAGGCAAAGCAAGATGTATTCTGGGTTCGCAGGGACGCATGAGCCTATGTAGTGACAAACGTCTTAGTGTTCCATAATCCATGTAGATAAGCCAACTAGGTGTCTTGTGCATCACACAAACGATATTTCACCCACCATCAATAACCTTATAGAGCGAAATAAAAGATGACTCGCACCCGTTTGGCAATTCTGCGGTCCTCTCAAGAGAAGGAGTTCGGCAGTCCCTTGCAGATGTGCGACCCAGCTGCTTGTTACAGCCGGATTGAGAAGTTCATAGTACATCAACATCAATGATACACAGATGTCCTGCTCGGTGGGGATATCTTGTCTACCTCTTAGCCGCTGGAGGTAGCGGGCAGCGTAGGATCTCTGGCCTCGAAATGCACGGGTACAGAGCTTCCTGGTTTGACTTTTGTGCGTAGAAAAGAAGTGTCGTTGCTCGGATAGACCAACCTAAAGTCTCGGAGGATGTTATCCATGAGGATAGGCATTTGTCCACGAGTCATGGCTCACTTGTCCGGAGCTCGACAAGAAAAACGAAGCAACGAAAGTAGAAACCAGAACCTGCTCAAATAAAGGCTGATAAGACGGTTTAGCTAGAAAGGAAGCACCACTTGTGCAGATGCTTGGACGTTCAGTTTATGGTCTAAGTCCTTGCACAGTTCGCGAGCTGTGGACCATGAAAAGCCCTCCGTAGACCCCAGGACAGGGTTTTCTAATTCGTCTGCATTGGGAACATTCTGGGCGGTTTTCATCACACTTTTTGCCAATCAACACATGTACATCCAAATATGTAGTGGGGAAACGGAGCTCTAACCTTGATTTTGCGCCGTAGACATTGTGCGCAGTCCCTACTTCGGGCCACAGATCGGACCACGAGAATCCCGAGTATATGAGTCAGATCGTGGGCTTAACCTGCCGTGATATAGGACCTCCTACGAAAAGGTACTAATGTCAACCTCAAATCAGGGTCGGTGATGAGCAAGCTTTCTCCGATCCTCCCTGTGAGTTAAGCGTAGCGAGTAAACCTGATAAATCCTCTTGACAGTATTCACCGAGCATCAGCTCCCATTCTATGTACAGATGCCGGAGGCCAACCTTGAAACTGTCGCAGCCTTGAAGGAGTCAATGGGTCGAACCGATTGGATTTGCCCTACTTACATAAGCGGGAAATACGAATTAGGCAGGTGACGGCGAGGGGTACATAGGGTTAGGGTCACTTTGATGGTGCCCATGGTTGTTAGTTAGATGATCTCTAACGTAGGATAAGAAGACATGTGGATCGTTGCCTTCTTTGTGGGTCAACTTAAGTTGAAAAACCGCATTGCTTAGAAATCAACATTCGTGCTTCATAGTTCAACTACCGCTGTGATTCGGTTTTGCCAAGTAGAGCACTCCGGCACAGAAGTAGATATAAGAGCATCCTCGCAGTCCAGGTTAAGCTGCGTTACCTTGCACTGCTGAAACTCATCTACGCTATAACATTGACTTCCCTCACTCTGCCCCTGACCAGCAATGGCTGCAAGAAACAAATACGTGAACAAGTTACATGGCAAACACATCGTCATCTTCGGAGGGACATCTGGCGTCGGCTTCTGTGTGGCTGAAGCAAGCATCGAGCATGGCGCCAACGTTACCGTCCTCTCCTCTGACCCGAGCAAGGTGGATGCCGCCCAAGCACGCCTTCTGTCATCCTATCCGGAGGCAAAGAACCGAGTCCGTGGCTTAACACTTGACCTCGGGATGCCAGACGTCGAGGATCAATTGGTGTCTATGTTTGAGAAGGTCCAGCCATTTGACCATATCATCTTCACAGCCGGAAGTTTTAAGTTTGATTCTGAAGATTGGATGCAACCTCAAGCCGACTTGGACCGAATCCGAAACACTGCCAATGTCCGCATTATCGCACCGTTCCTCATCGCCAAGCATGCTCCAAAGTATATGGCAAGCAACTCACCCGCCTGCTCCATCACACTTACCAGTGGAGCAACAGCCGAAAGGCCCATGGGACAGGGAATGGCAATTCATACAATGTACTCAACCGGCCTCTATGGGCTCGCAAAGAACCTCTGCTTGGATATTGCGCCGGTCAGGGTTAACCTCGTCAGTCCTGGTCCGATAGATACTGAGCTGTGGGACACCATTCCGGAGAAGGAGACGATGTTCACCCATCTAAAGGAGAAGCTACCCATCAAAGAGATTCCAACTCCGGAAAATGTGGCGGAAGCTTATATATATTGTATGAAGGATCGTGGATTGACGGGAGCAATCATATCGACACATGGTGGTGGAATTCTCGTTTGAGCGAGAGTTACTTGTCAAGAATTGCAACATAGTAGTCTTGTAACTCTTGCCATAGAAAAGCTCGTTTCTTCGCGATCGTGATCGTGATTTGAATGATCAACAAATACAGTATAGTATATACATACAGTAAGCGGTCTTTTCACTAGGCACTTTTAGTCGCGGATCATGGCCACCTGGTTTGCTTGCCAGTGCATATATATAAGGAGCCAGTTTTCTTGACAAGTGTGGTTGTATTCCATACTTACTTTCAAGAACCCTTGCGTTTCAATGGCCTTCTTGAATACTAGGAAGCAATAGCATTATAGCACAGGATGCTCATGATGAAACATAACTAAGATTAAGAGGCATAGCTTTCAACATGTACTGAAGAAGGTCAACAAGCATATACTGGACCGTCTTTCCCGTTCTTCCTTTCTTTCCTATCCAAGAATATAGTCTAACCCACAAGTAAGACAATTGATCAGTTTGAGAATTGCAAGAGAAGACGGCTAAAAATCGAGAATCACTGACGATGAAAGCGTGTCGGCTTAAACTGGAAAGGAGGTAGAAGCATGAAGAACCTGGGACTACTCCAAAACAATTACCATCTACATCGTCAATTGAAGTGTGAACATCCACATTATTGAATTTTTGATGCAGACAAAAGCTAATGTAACGATAATAGCGCCCTAGGAGTCAAAAGTAACATGGGCCGAGCGACACAGGGCTACCCAACGAGACCCAAGTTAGATGAAACTTGCCGCATCTATCGAGGTGTATTTATCTAAGTTACATTTCCCAACACTGAATATATATATACGCTCGGTGATCAGCTCAGACTACCCTGGCTGGGCTCAGATCCAGCAAGCAAAGCGCAGTGTCGTCTGAGTACTATATAGAAAAGAATATAAGTGGTGCACGGAGCCTCAACTGCGAAAGATGTGTATACACCTTTCCACGTACACCATGCAAAGGAACTGCCCTCTGATGCCCAGGACCAGCCTTTAGCTTCTCGTCAGGCGATTATGAAACCTGTGGGCCATTGGTTGGCTTTTCCATCTCGTAGAATAGGAGGTAGACCTCTTTCTGCATACCCAGAACGTCTGATGTCTTACATTCCTTGACCTTCTCATCCGAGATGCGCCACCATCGATCATTTGCCTTACGACGACGACGAAGACGTGAAGTGGGCCCGGACGAAGTCTCAGCGGAAGTACCTGGGGTTATGCGATCGCTCATAAATGATGGGCGCGAGTTGGACTTGCTCCAGCGTCCACTGTCTGTGGCAGGACTCTGAGGATCCGACGTCGGAGACAGGTTCTGCTTGGATTTGGTGCGGCTACTTTGGAAGGAAACACGGGAGCTCGATGACGTGCTTGGCCGGGGAGCCGGGGATGTCGGGGGATTCAACTGAGATGCAGACTTTTTCCTAGATGGGGATCGTGACGGGGCTTGAGAAAGAGACGATGAAGATGGCGACGAGGTCGATGTCGAGATGCTAAGAGCTGGAGGCTCTGCATCCAAGGAACGAGGTCCCATGCGAGGACTTGGTACTTGGGATGGGTTCTCACTTGTAACTCGGCTCTGTGCATATGAACGGAAGACATCCGGAGTCGAGAAAGGCGGATAAAGATGGTTTCGTCGGAATGATTCGTAATGGCCACTGTTGTGACTGCCTTTGTGACAAACAATCGCCAGCAGTTTGAACCATTTCTGATTCAGGATACCCCCCAGCGGAAGTCGTTCAGGGAATGCTACCTTTGCCGCGTTCTTGGTAGAACTGCTGCGGTCGAATATAGACCGTGAGAGATGGATTGCAATGATCTTAGGGAAGACCGTAATACGCATATGGCGTGCGATCTTTCGCTTGGGAGCAGCCTCTGCAGGCGGAAGAGTAACACCTTCGAGCGGGCCCTCTGGGTCTGTTGACAAAGCATCCTGTATTTTTTGGATTTCGGCCTGGAGGAGCTGCTGCTCTTTAGCTCCGCGTGTTTGTTTCAGCTCTTGCATTTTCACTTCAAGTGCATGCTGCAGACAGCATCTGTCACACCTAAAATCGTCGATGTGTTCGGTCTTGAGGAGACCATCGAAACACGCACTGAGTGTGGTGGAACTCTTCTGCGGCACTTGTAACGTCAAGTTCACAAATGATGTCTGGTTAGGTTTATACTTATAATGGCAGAATTGACATTCAATTTGAGACTCGAGCTTTCCCTCAAAAGGAAAACCATACTCGTTGTCGATCTCCTTGAGTTTGGTATCGATGATTGCCGGCAGGCCGTTCTCAGATCCATCGTCAATGCGTACCTCGACCTCAGTTGGGCTCTTGGCAGATGTGACATCTTCGGTTCTTTGTGAGATTTCCGAGCCTGTGGGTATGTCAATGGGTCCCTGCAGTCTTTGTCGAGCTTTGACACCGGCATGGTATTCATCACAAAGCCGTTCGGCAACTATTTGCAGGAACTCCTGTGCATCCTGTTGGTTACGGCTAATCCGGGTCCGGTATGCGTATTCGAGAGCCTGGATGAATGGACGCGCCGAAATTGTCTTCTTGTAAATCGGGCGCTCATTCAACCGGTCTAACATCTCTTTCAAAGCCCGAGTGATCGTGCCCTGCTGCAACTCCCGGATCTTCTCCGGCTTCTCACCGCCGGCGAGATCCTTTACATCCGGAAGAGAGTTATAGACCTCCGGGCCATCCAGTCCACGCCGATGGAGCTCTCTAATCAGATAAACACGCAGGTCGCCCAGGCCTGCAAGCGCCTGCAAGACTGAGTTGATGAAGCAGTCATTGGCGGGATTGGATAAACCGACAATGCTCTTTTTACGGTTGCTATCACTCGACTCATCCCCATCGATTGTGTAGTTGGGTCCGAAGACGTAAAAAAGGGCGACAGCGGCGAGGGAGGCGCCGGCCGCATATGCGGCGACGGTGGTTGATTTTTCTTGCATCAACTATATATAGGAGAAAAGGACCGGAAATTGATGGCTATCGCAGGTCGCGCACGTCTCTTAAAAGAACCAAGATTCGCTTATCGTTGCTCCATGGACGGTCGTGCTATGAATGCCTAGGCGCGGGGGTCCTCCAATATTTCAGGAACCTGGCGGATAGGGAATGACTAAATCCCTGTAATCTTCTGCTTCAATCGAGCCTGTGTGGAGGAAGATGATAACGGGGTTAAGTATGACTAAATACGCCTCTCCATGTGTTAATTGAGCTGAGGTGGAGGTCGATTTTCGCTCCCATCGGCTATACCGGGAGAGATAAATAGTGTCAGCTCTCTCTGTCTCTTCATTTTTGCCTTTTTCCCCATAAACCCGAGGATGTGGAGAAGAATGGGGTAAATAAAGGCAAGAAGGATCGGGAGTGGCCAATCATTGGGCTTAAAAAACTCACAGGAATGATGCAATCTAAACAAGATCTTCGGGTTCAGGTAGGTATCAATGACCATTTGATGGGTCTCATCTGCATTGTCATCACGACAATAATGGAGGGTCATTATGGGAAAGATCCCACTGGAACAAATGTTTGTCTGATTTGCCCGAGTGACCCTTTTTAGTGGCCGGAAGTTCTTCAACGCCGAATGCCCGTCCCGACAGTACTTACAGAGTACTTACTGTACTCCGTATGTAACTTTCGGGCGATCCGCCCTCCCCACACTGGCGTTTGTAGTTTACCCTGTCGTTCTCCCGTATCGTTCCGCTCTCATGGTGGGGGTGGTTTCGTAATAAATGCATCTCATTTTGGGAAAACCACTGTAGTACGACTATTTTACTTTACCCTAGGAGCAATAAAGAAAATCGCCCCTGAAGTTAGAAATGACGACGCTACGGGGGATCAGCGCACTATGTGTTCATGATCAACATGATTTCATTTGACCCAATTATTAGCAGTATTGCTAGTAGATTGCCATTTTCCAGCTTCTCCCGATATTTCTCCATTAATCGGCTGCTCTTCGACTGTAGAAAGTGATAGAGTAGAAAGGTGTAGGCAAATCTTTATTATTGAGTGAAGCATGATGGATATGATGCAGCTCTCATACAGTAAATTTAGATTTGGGTTTTGCACAGTTTGTTGAGAAGACTTATCCTGGCATATGTTATCTATTCATAGTTTCCTCCAAGAAAATGAACAACATGGTATAGATTTTTTTTTCTCATGGATTGATTCACAGCATCGCTGTAGACCATCTGCAGACTTCCCCGCCAAATTACTTTTTGTTCGAAATTATCTAAGGCAAAGTGGCAACCTTCTGCTTGAACAGATCTTCCGCCTGCGTCCAGACGCGAGCGTTCTGCCGATCCTTCAACTGCAACAGACTAGGAAGCAGTGCTTGACTGAACATCTCGGAGCTTTCACGAGGAAGAAGCGAGGGAAGATGATCAATACTGATCACACTAAGAGGGGGCCCTTGCGTTCCCGCCGGCAGGGTGACAGGCACTGTGGGCTTGTCGAAAGTGGTGGTGATATCGTACACGGGAATAGGGTTGTTGGGGTTAGTGCTGCATCGAGGGTGAAGTCAGTCGGCTGCACAGTCGAGGAGTGTAATAGTCAGAAGCGGTACTCACGTGTCAGCGCTCACGTCGCAAATGACAGACAATCGGCGGTTAGGGGTGGAGAGAGATTTATGGTTGACAAAATGGGGAATAGAATCGCTAGAAAGATAGATGCAGTTGACGAAGATATCTGCGTCGACAATCTCCTGGAAAGGACCGCCTGTTTTGATGTGTTAACCTTAAGCTTGTCAGAAGTAGAAGTATAAACGAACCCTTCTTCGTCTCTTCGATATCCCACCGGATGATATCAGATTCGGGAATACCAACATCCTTGGCAAGTTGTACAGCACCGTTGCCACAACGTCCAAGCTGCACGTTATCAGTTAGCTTGCCATGAGGATTGATACAAAAAGCACACTCACAGCACCGATGACAAGAATCTTGGGGGACCGGCCAGATTGCTTCTTTCCAGCTTCCAGGGACTCTTTCACGGACTTGGTCAGAAGATCCTGGTTTGCGTACGGAATCTCACCGGGCAAAGGCTCGCCCTCAGGATGAGTCAATTGCCAAGCCCAGTTCTTAACAGCCAATGCGGACCCTACACTACATCAATATCAATCATCAGCGGTCAAAAGCAGCAAAACACATACCAGCATAGCCGGCGGACCACCCGAAAGCTATAAATTGGAAAGTTAGTACTTAGACAAGCCATATGGACGATGGGCTCTCACCAGCAACTCTCCGCCCAGCTTCATCAGTGAGGAACTCCAGATCCAAAAGGGTTCCGCCTCCACGAGGCCACCGGCTGAGAACCTTCTCCCAGCCCCCTTGTTGCTTGTAGCAGTGGGCAAAGGTGATATGGACGTGCTTAAGAGGAAAGTCATCTTCGGGCAGTTCCTTGAGACCCAAAACGTATGCATCATCTGGAGCATCCTTGGCCCAGGATCCCTCCTCAACTAGTGGGGCACCAATCTATTCCATAGGACATTTATAAGTCTTTAGACCTGTAGGGAGCAGGGCGAACGTGTATATGTACCTTTGCGAATTCCTCATCTATTATTAGGATGAACCTAGTCAGCCTTCATATCCGGGTGAGTGAAGCCTTGATTGACAACCTACCATCGAAGATTCGCTGTGTAGAGCGTTCTACGGTCACTTCATAGCCAGCATCAATAAGAGCCTTGGCAGTAGTCGGGGTCACTTTGAGGCATCAGCATCAGCATGCCACAGTTCGCTGGCAATAGTATAATGACAGATAGTACAACGCTACTTACAAGCAGACCGAGCCTCGGCGGGCTTGGTTTCAGCACGAAGCCAAATCTTGTTGGAAGACATTGTGTGTGAAGGTCAATTGACAGTTCCCCGATTGATATGTCACAGAGAGAGAAAGGAAGAATTTCACAATTCCCCAAAGAATACTTATAAAGACGATAGGCAGTTTATCTCATGGGTATGACACAGACTTTCCCACCTAGTGATAGTGGGGGAGGGACACATCGGATGTTCTCCCGCTCCGGAGCGGTGACTCAACAGACGGGAGATTCTTGGCCGATGTCGGTACTTTGTAGGTTAATGATACTGCCGGTTTCTACCTATGGAGTACCAGGCTATATCACCATCGTTCATTCCCTTTTAACTTGCAGTCTGTCATCACACGCTATACTATTGTCTCAACAATAAAGAACATTGATTTTCAACTTGTTCCAGGTGATAGATGGTTACATGCAGCAATAAAAAAAATTGGTTCATTCACAAGCTAGAGCTTTACAAAATCCGGAGAAATGGAACTTAGCTAGCGAACATGGAGCTTTGCGCATACATAGGACCTGCTAGACAACTAGATCAAAAGGAACATAGAGTGAAGAACATACGTGAGCTTTACAAGATGCATATGTTCGCAGCGTTACCGCCGGAGCTTAGGAGGATGCCTTAGTCCGGCTGCGTGTTCGACTACCAATACCATCCGTAGGAATCACCTTCTTCACATCATCCTTCGCCTTTTTAGAACGGCTTGCCTTTGACCTTTCCCCATTCGTAGCGGGGGCTATGGTATTGCCATTCCGAGACCGCGTTCCAGTAGTCCTCTGCTTTTTGTTTGCAGGTTCTGTCAAGTTCTCGACATTAGACTTAGCTGCGTTGGTGGGCGTAGAGGTCGGTTCATGCTCTCGTTTATCGCCTGGACTAGGTTGCGCGATGCCATTCTCCGTAGTTGGCTCTTTTGGTCCATCATCTGGCAAGATAGAAGCATGCCCACCAGACTTGGCTTCTTCAGCAGGCTTGTGTTCCTTAGAGGATTCAGTCGCTTCAGGAGACTCCTTCTCCTCGGACTGATCATCCGCGTCCACTGGCTTTGCCCGAATGATATCATCGTTGGTTTGCTTGGAAGCAGCACCGGTCGCCTTCGTGTCCGTGCCAGCTCCAGATGTATTACTAGCTTCTACTTCATGAATCAGCTTCGACCCAATGTATTTAGTTGTAGCAAGGTGGCATGGGCATTAGGGATGATGCCATGGTAACGTGAGACATATGTACCGCTGTATGGACGTACCTGGGGCTGGTGGTGGGTTGACGCTGCTATCTAGCTCAGGAGCCATAATGAGAGAGATGGTGCGGACAATTGCGAGTGAAAGATACTTCCAGCGATGTTTAGGTGAGCCAAATCTAATCAAAATGCGATCGCAAGTAACAAGCGACCTTCAAAATCGCCAAGTTGTGGTCTACTAGGGCGAGAACCACTCGTAGAACGATGGGAGGGAGGATAGAAGGTCACAGAAGGTTGAGAGGTGAGGTTGCGCGGTGATATTTACTAAGATCATTTAATCCCAGCACGCTAACCTGTTCCACACGGAACTCAATCTTGGACTGTTCCGTCAGCAAAACACCAATTAGAAAATAGCATACTAGATTACCCCCGAGGATCAGCTCGAGGCGCACATAAGCCTTCCCTGCACTGATTGTGTTGCTGGTCATGATATGTAAGCGTGCCAAGAAGAGGAGAAGGAGGCCCCATTAGCGTGGCTGAGTGGAGCAGTATGCGGAGTTCTCCTCATAGCGTGTTTCGGGTAAGCCGTCCACCACAATGGTAAACCCGATTGTCACCTGCAGATCCAGATTGACGAATCATTTGCCTACTACCTAGGTTGCATGCATGCTCCGTAGAGATCTTGAACCCATATTGAAAGGCACATAAGAAAAGGTACCACCCTAAGTTCGGGGCCAGGAGATCGTTGCTTTACATAATATGCTGCTTCGGCGTCAATAGCAATGGTTACGCATATCAAGCCAATGCCAAGTCAAGCTGTGATAGTAAATCTTCTCTCTCTGTGTAAGCACGGTGATCTGATTTGGATGCATTTTCTGAATCCACTTTTTCAGGCAACTGCTGTTGCAAGAACCGTGCCAAATATAACACATCCCGTCGCTTATCTTGGTCCACCAATAGACGAAGAGCGTCAAATCCGGCACGCATAAAGCTTTCTCGTTTCAGTCCTGTTGAAGAGTCCACTCGGCTAGGAGGTAGTGTATCCACAAAATCGAGGAATGGTTTGGCATCAGGGTGTGTAGGATGATACAACGGAGCTGTAGCTAGCACACACGAGTTTGGTGCAAGTCTGGAAAGAATTTCAATATACTCATTGTACATAGCTCCGTCGAACTCTTTGGATCTGGACGGTAAGCTCTGCATCAAGCTCTCACATAAGTGAACACCTGCTGGAAGTAACACAGGCTGCCAGGAAAGGTTCAAGGCCGCATTGTCTTTGAACATCTGCGACTTGCATGTCTGTAGGTAATACCGCATAGCCAAGCTCAACCCTTGGCCGTACTGGATTTCGGCAGTCACTAAGTTGACCAGCATATGGCCAAACACCTGTTGCGCAATTTTCTCTGGCAGCTGACCGTTCCGGCCTCCAATGTCATGGTTCGCCAGCATCCTCAGCCAGTCCAACACCACACCCTGTCGACCTTCTGCCACTAAGAACTTTACAAGAGTTGTGGTCGCTGCTCGGGATTTAAATAACATCTGTCTCGTCGTGGAATCAGATGCAAACCACCAACTGACAACCTTAGATCCAGCCCTAGCGTCTTTCATGGCCTGTATGAGGCCGCTTCCGATATGACGGCTGGCCAGTAGCATCTGAGAACTCAAACAGTCACGTAGTGTTGGCAGCGTTACCGAACCTGAGGCGACCAATTCATCGAAGACCACCATTGGTTCTTTCGCTATTCTCTGTTGTAGTCTGCTTGCTGTTCCATTACGAGCCGTAGTTGACTTAGAGGGCACTACCCGAAAAAGCGGATTATCCAGGATGGCCCGGAGATGTCGATCGGTCGCGTGCACAGACGAGTGCGGGTTCTCCGATGTACGATCACTGGATCCATCTCGATCTGAGGGGACCGAGGGGGGGTATTCCCGATCGAGTTGACGACGGAAGGAAGACGTAAGGGCTTTGAGGAGTTGTTGAGATTCCCGGGGGGTACGGGGTAGCGGGGGGTGGATTTTCGACCACGCTTTTAAGCTCAGACTCGACGTGCCCTTCATGACGGCAGGAGGAAGGAAGGGGGGAAACAATGATGGACCAGTAGTGTCATATACTATCGATAATAAATCGTGCCCTCTCGCTCTCCCTTCGGTAGATAGTAGATACCTCAGGTGGTGCCAGCAGGGGGCGGTGAGGAATGCGAGGAATGGGAACGAGATCCTCTAGAACTCTCCGATTGGGGACACTGTAGGGGTAGGTAGGTAGACGACCTGTATAGATACGTATACACACGGTACGAGTCGGTAATCTTCGTACCAATAAATTTGAGGGGGAAAATGTATAATCGATTGGATCTCGTGAATCATCCAACGCAACGAAGGTAAAAACCAAAATGGATGACGAAATGCCGGACTGAGAAGGGTTCACCTCCAGGAAGCAGCGTTGTCCCTTTAAAAGGCGTCACGCTAAGACCAAACGCTCCAGTGCCAGTCATGGACGCCCGTCGGATCGTCCAACCAACGAAACGGGTGGACGATTAGCGCCGCTCGCTAAATGGGCGAAAGTTGCCTGGAGGGTCTCTCTCCCTCCCTGCAGTGGGTTCCAACACGTCGGTCGGACTGAACTGTACCTAAACTCGTACTTTACCTATTCCTCTTTTTAAGTCTCACTCAAAACTCTTCCCATTCCTTCTTCCCTCTCCATTTGGTTCCCTATTCCATATAATTTATGCTCATCCTCTTTTAGCTCCCTTTGGACTTCTTTTTTTCCTTTTTGTTCGTTTTTTTTCTTTTTATTCAATTCTTTTCCCTCCCCTCCCTGGACTCCTCGCTCCCTCTTGAACCGCCGCATCGAAGTTCGGGCGGTCCTTGTGTGTGCTCTGTGGTTCTGGTTGCTGACCTCTTCCGTGAGGCTGCATCTGTGATCATTACCTCTTTTTACCCGCTTTTTCTTCCCACTAGCCGCACCTTGTTTTCTACACCCCCTTCGTCCAAACCCCCGTTGGGTCTTCCTCGATTCTCCTTCTACTCTCTTCTCCCCAATCCGGAGATTTACTAGATTCCCCCCCCATCAGAAGATATGTCTGAAGCTCAAACGAGGTCGTCTGCCTCTCGTGGCAGGGTATCCGCTCGCGGCGGTCGCGGTGGCTATAGCTCCAGAGGCGGTCGAGGTGGCAGCAGATCTGCAAAGGCAGACAACTCAGATAGCACACCCGCTACATTCGAAGACGAAGGAGAAATTGGTCAGATGAAGAAGAAATATGCAAACACTCTACCCATGCTAAAGGAATTGTTCCCTGACTGGACGGACGAGGATCTCGTCTTTGCGTTGGAGGATGCAGACGGCGACCTCGAGGAGGCAATTGATCGCATAACTGAAGGTTCGCCGTCGATCTCGATCCAATTTGTGATTTCTTGTCACACAGCTGGACTAACATTGGTTTTTGTCGTGATATAGGTAACGTCTCTCAGTGGGGAGAGGTAAAGAAGAAGACCACAGACCGGAGCCGCCCCAAGCCAAAGGAGGCGCAGAGCACCCCGACCGAGTCGACTAATGCTCCTATTCGAGGAGGCCGTGGACGTGGTGGATTTGAGAGCCGTGGTGGACGTGCTCGTGGAGATCGTGGTCGTGGCGGTCGCGGCGGTCGTGCTGGTGCCCACACCAATGGCAGCCGCCCAGAGAAGCCAGCCGCTCCTACCACAGTGGAGACAGCTACCCCCGAGGTCACCAAGACTGAGAAGCCGGCCGACGCTGAGCCAGCAGCTCCAGAACCAGCCGACGCCTCGAAGGAGACCCCCAAGGATGCATCGAAGGGCACTGGGATCCCCGAGGGTACCAAGAAGGGTTGGGCAAGTCTGTTTGCAAAACCGGCGCCTCCTCCCCAGCAGAAACCTGCTGCTCCCGCTCCGGTACCAGCCCCAGCTCCCGCTCCCGCTGCTGCGCCTGCCCCTGCGCCTGCCCCTGCGCCTGTCCCCGCTGCCGCTCCTGTTCCTGAGAAGCCTGCTGCCGAACCAGTGCCCGAGCAGAAGGAACAGCAGGAGCAGAAAGAGCAAAAGGCGCCTGAACCTGCACCCGTCCCGATTCCGCCTCCAGTTCCGGTTCCCATGGAGAAGGCACCTGAACCTGCTATTCCTCAGCCCCTCGAAAAACCTGCTGTCCCTGCCCCGGCTCCTGAAGTTGCAGCTCCCAAGGATGACTTGACCAAGACGAATCTTGCGCAGATCCCCGATGTTTCTCCCCCGGCTCCCACAGCCACCGCAGCTAGCACCATTGGCAGCGCCCTTGATGCTAACAATGCTGCCGCTGCCGCAACACCCACACGACCTGCACCTGCCTACCCCACCAGCGCACTTAAGCAGAGTGTTCGTGCTGCCGGTGCCCAGCGCCGTGTGATGGAACAACAAGAAGCAGTTGTCATGCCAGGGAACCATGCTGTCGACCGGGCTGCAGTGCAGTTTGGCAGCATGGGATTGAACGGCGATGCTGCTGACGTCGATATCGATGAGAACCGTGAAGATGCTGAAACTCGTGCCCAACCCCCTCAACACTCCCCCGTTGCTCCTCGTGCCTCCTTGCCTCCTTCTACTCAGGCCCAGCCCCAGGCCCAGGCTTCGACCGAGAGCCCCGCTGTCTCTCGCCCAGCCCCTGGACTCCCCCCCGTTCCTCAAGCCTCTGCTGCTGACTCTTCTTTCAACGACTTCGCCCGCTACACCGATGCTCACAAGCCCTATGACCCTTTCAGCCAGCAGGTGACCCAACCTCAACCTCAAATCCAAGAACCATTCGCCAACCAAGCTCCTGTCCAGCCGACCGTAACTACTGGCAGCGAGTATTCTCCCTTCTACGCCGTCGACCAGCGTCTCCCTTACAACTACTATGGCACCTATGGCCAGTCCCAGGATGCTACCGTGGCCCAGAGAGCCGCCGCTGGATTTGGCGTCTCGGGCGCGGAAGTGCAGCCCCATATTCCTACTACTCAACCTCCCAGCCGCTACGGCCATGTTGACGCACCCAACAGTGGTCACAACACTCCCAACCCCACCCTTCCCGGTGCTACTCAGACCCCGACTGCACAGCACATGCCCGGCCAGGGCGCTCATGCCTACGGATATGGATACCCCTATTTCTCCAACCCTCACTATGCTTCGTACATGAGTCAGATGAGCGGGCACCAATATGGCCGCAATCGCCCTATGTACGATGATGCTCGCAGATACGACGACCACTATATGTCTCACACGGCCCAGTATGGCTATGGAAGCCAGTATGGCCCGTATGGCAAGGCTGGAATGTACGGTCAGCCTCACGCTTTCTCTTACGACCACTCTTCGTCACCCGCCACTACCGGCAGCTTTGCGCAAGCCATGCCGGGCCGTGACACAGTCTACGGCCGTACTGGATCTGCCCAGCCATCGGAGAGCCAGCAGTCTGCAGCCGGCTCGAACACCTTCGGATCGGGCATGTCCGACGTCTTTGGTCGCTCCCAGGGTGGCTTTGGGCAGAATCAGCCTATCTCTCAACAGCCCCCAGTGACCACGGAGGAAGCCAAGACCTTTGACACCCCCAAGGCCGCTGGACCCAGCCCTTCCCTGGCTCAGGCTAACCGCCCTGGCTCCGCAACCAACAGCGTGCCAGGTCAGCCTCAGGCACAAACTGGCCTTCCCCCTCTGCAAGGCCAGCAAGGTCAACAAGGCTTTGGCACCTATCCTCACTTGAACCCTCAGTATGGGGGTCTAGGTGGACTTGGTGGACACCAGGGTGCAGCCACTCAAACCCACCACCAGGCTACTGGCTACGGTAACTACGGAGGCGCCGGCTTCGCTAATTATTATGGCAACACCGGCCGCGGTGGCTGGGGAGGCAATTACGGTCACTAAATGATGATGACGTTGCATTTTTCCCGAATGGCGGAATCCATATTTTGGCTCAGGGGGTGGTCAACCTGACTCAAAAGCTTTTTATATTTCGTCGGTTGTTATTTTATGTCACTCTCAAGTGTGTAATCTCTACTCTCCGTGGGAGCTTGGCTGGTTTTTTTTTTTTTTTTCCCTTTTTTTCCTCCCTTTGGACTCGAATTGTTATGCAGGGTTGCCTTCATGATGCTGTATTGAACTGAAAAAAATGTTGCCTTTCTGTTTCCCTTCCCCGTCATTTCTTTCCTCCTTGCTCTTGTACGGTTTCATGACATTGACCAATGTCTTACGTTTGTTCTGAATTTCCTTGATTCGCTTTTACGAAATCTTACTTCCCTATTGCTCTTGTCTACCTTGCATATCTTCCGCTTCCTGTACTACATATTGGGGTTCAGTTGGGATTACATCTATGCATTGAATGGGTTAGGACAAGGGACGGGGGAACAAAGAATGCAAGAATTAAACTGGGCGGCGTTGTATTTTCATGTCCAGCCGAAACAATTGGGTTCCTTTGCTACACGGCGTAGAGTGTAATATTCTCCAACCGAACCTATCATGTCTCATATATTGTTCAGTATCACTATCTTGGAGGGTTGGTCATTGTATCACCCCCTCCACGTCAATACAATATTTTTGAAAGCTCATCCTGGCTGTATAAACACTACCATTGAAGCAGTTAAACATCACGGGTTTACGGAGTACAGGCTCAATGGGGAAAGCGGACAGGTGATATCTTCACTTTCCTACATTCGGCTAGTCTCAGATCTGATCTCTTCTCCAGTTGAGCCATGGATTCTGGTTCTATACCTCTGTCTATGACTGCACTAATAACACTAACGTTGCCTTCAAGTGTTTGATTTTAACTCTCAACTCGTTGCGAGCTCTGATGATGATCGCCCAAAGCTCGGGCTGGCCAATCCAGCCACTCAGCCCAGTCTGATCCCAGGTACGTGATGATGGATTCAACCAAAAATCGCCCGCCGTCTCCAAAAGCCCACATGTCGCGCCGTGCATGAAGACAAGCGGCATAATACGCCAGCACCACAAGAGCCTCAGGGCATCGCACCGCGAGAAGATCAATATATTCCGGAGAAACCAATATCGGCCAGGCAGTAATCTCTGTGATATTACCGCCTTGCTTCCCATGTGAGCATGCAATTATCGCATGCTGCAACGATTCTATCGCTTGCGTATATGTATTGGTGATAGAGGGGCCTAGTTTGGCCGCCTTGATGAGGGCTAAGAGCTTGGCGCAGTCGGGGTCAAGTCCCATAATCCTTGAAAACCGTTTCTCACCATCCAGAATTAGTGGCTTCAATGCAGACTCTCGAAGCATGCCCCATGAATTCGCGGTGATTGCACGTATGCCACGGTGTAGTCGGAAACTGCTCACCAGTTGGTCCAGGAAGTGATCAAAATCTGGAGCTCTGTTGATTAATACGTCGCAGAGGAGGTGCACGTTAAGAAGGCCGGAAAACAAAAAGAGCGGAACGCATGTCTCTTTGTTCACTTCGAGCTCCAACCCATTGAAGATTGTTAATGCGTGCGTTTGGAGTTGTGCTGCGTGGTGATGATAAAACTCTTGCTCCGCTGGACGCAAGGTGCTCAGATGTAGGCCACTGAGGGCCAGTAGCTCATTCATGAGATATGGAGAAGACATGCAAATCTGTAGAGTTTCGGGAGAAGCGATTACCGTATTCAAGCTCCCGTGGAATGTGTTTCGTGTTTCTGTCATCAAGTGGTGTAAAAGCTGCATGTGAAGCATGTTGACTGGCGCATCTTGGAGAAGTGAGTCGGACCTCGGACTCGAAACATCAGACAGCTGATCTCTTGCCACAGGCCCTGCGGGGGAAGAGGCTGGCGAAATGTTGGTGCGAGATTTCATAGCACTCCGAAAGATATCCGCGTATTCGCAAAAGCGTTCGGAAGTGATACAGTTGGTACATGTCGGCCGCTTTTCGTCACACTGTCCCAGTTAAGCGATGCTAACGCCAGCGCTGTCTAAGGATCGCTCTCTTACTTTTATATGGCGTCGCTTGCATTCCAGACATCCATTGCGCGACTTTTTATGCGTTCTGCGCGGCATGATTATGATCGATGTCGATCCACATCCCCAGAAAGAAGCTACTGACCATTCATGTGGGTGACTGCGGTCTGTTCGCCAACTTGTTCCTTAAACGCTATCGAATCAAGTCCCCCATGTACGCATACGCTGCTAATAGTTCACTGCAGATTTTGGTTCCTGCTCGACTCTAAAGAAAGCATCTTAGCGTATGAGGAGAGGGTTAGAAGGTGGGCGAAGGGAAGGGCCATAGAATAAGGAATCCGCGTATGCACGGGCCACTTTGATGTCGGATCCACTCCCGGATTCGATACGCGTATTCGGTCGATTTCCTTTAGGAAACAGTGCAGTCTATAGAGGCTTCGTGCCAATTTCTTTACACGTATAGCGTATCCCTCCTCTGGCGCAAGGACGTCTGCTTTTCCAGCGTTCGGACATATAAATTCAGAATGGGTCACCCCAGAACCATAGGGGTGGTCCCAGAATACTCCCCCAAAGATACCAAACGTCTCTCACAACAATGGCGCAACTTGAGCCTTATGTAGGGGATTACTACCTCTGGGCATATCTACCATCAGTCCCAGCAGCTGTTATCTTTCTCCTGCTCTTTCTAGGCGCCACCATCTACCACTTCTGGAAGTTATGGAAAATGCGAGCTCGGTTCTGTCTCGCCTTCGCCATTGGAGGCATATGTGAGCGCCGCTTTATCCTTAGTTAGATCGCATTGAACGACCCTAACAATATTGCAGTCGAGGTTATCGGATACGGTGGACGAGCGGCTGCTTACAGCAGAACTGGTGAAATCCTGCCTTACTGCATCCAAAACGTGTTCATCCTTCTTGGCCCGGTTCTCTTCGCCGCATCAGTGTACATGACCCTCGGCCGCATCATCCGCAGTGTCCGAGCCGAACATCACTCTCTGATCCGAGTCAATTGGTTGACGAAAGTCTTTGTCCTGGGCGATGTGCTGTCCTTCGTGGTCCAAGGTAGCGCAGCAGGCCTGATGGCGACAGGATCAAACGCGAAGATGGGGAAGAACATCGTGGTCGTCGGTCTACTGATTCAAATTATCATGTTCGGGCTGTTTATTGTAACTTCGATCATGTTCCAAAGACGTATGCATCATCATCCAACAGCCCAGGCACTCGACCAGGCGATTCCCTGGAAATCTCACTTGCACACACTCTATGCAATCAGTGTGCTGATCATGGTTCGGTCCATATTTCGGGTAATCGAATATGCCATGGGTCAGGATGGGTACTTATTGAGCCATGAATGGCCAATGTATGTCTTTGATGCCTTGCTGATGTTTGCTGTCATGGTGATCTGGGGAGTGTGGTACCCGGGAGACCTCAACTTCCTGGTACAAAAGCCTTCCTCCGACACCATGAGCATGAACAGGCCTGAGGAAGGGTCACGGTGCCCATAAGATGGGCTATTCACGAAGCTGATGAACTTGAAAATGAAGCACTTCTGCTCAGAAGTGCACTCTCTACCTACTTTATTCTTGTGTATAACAGGAATCAATCACCCCATAGTCAGATAGATCAGATTCCTGTTTTACAATAAGCCTGGCCTATATACATCATTGACGACATTTAAACTGAACTAAATAAAACATCTATATCGCGTATAGTACATATGTGTGATCAGAACACAATCAGGCGAGAACAAACCCTCGAAGATATTTATATATAGCGGGAATAAAAACACGTTCGTAGGTAAAATATTAATGTTATTGACCACTCACTAGACAGGATGAAAGCCAGCTAAGCATGAGGGAAAAAATGCTAATTCCACCAACCCATTCAGTTAGGATCAGATACCTAGATAACCTTGTCATGTGGCCATCGGACCCCCAGCCACGGGTTACCAACGGGAACAACCATGGACACATGCCCCTAGAAGCAAGTGAATTACCAGGGAAATCAGAGGAATGGCTGTAAAGGTTTCCACGGAGGAAGAAAGCAATTCGGAATGTATACGTGTACATACAAAATCACTGACGAGATCAAGCACGTCATTTGGAGATTCATTGACCTCTCGATCCCTGTGGGCGAAAAACCTGGTGTAGCAAGGAAAACACTTGATCCCTATGATGCTTTATAAAGGTATTTCTTAGATATGTCCAGGTATTGGGTCTCTAATGGTTTATGGCCGTGAATTGTGAGTGCGTGGATGGCTGTGGTTGAAGTTTTACAGGATATACTAGTAGTTTGGTGACATTCTAGAAGGCTTTAGGTTCATGGACGTCATATTTGAGCTTGATATGGACAGAGTGATTTTAAACGTGCTACGAGGAAATATAATGATGATTGAATAATGGATGTAGGGCTACGTTGGTCTCTTACTGTTTTGTCCATTGAGGTTGTCATGTGTTTATATATATATATAGAGAGCGTTTCCCCCTGTAAACATTGTTCAAGTACTATTCGGATTTATAAACTAAGTTCGATATATTTTAACATCCCAACAGAGTCGCAAGAGGGAAGTAGAACTGTCAGCAATGGAAAATCTATTTTGCCCAGAATGAGCTGCGTAGTCCATATAGTCCAGAACTTTTGCAGGCGGGATGTCTCACTGTGATGCGATGGGCCCGCGATCTTCCTGCCTTAAAACACTTAGGCAGTGATCAACGATGGACGTGCTTTTATTAAGCCACCCACTTAGGCACTGATAGTTAGTGATGGGGAAAGGGGCCAAGAATCGAAAAAATTTGAAATCTGAGAAAAGGGGAACTGAAACACCTTGCTTCTGCCTAATGCGCTCCATCGGATTGGAAAATTTACCTGTCACTATTGATTCATTATAGATCTGGCTTCGATTTAGATAATAGAAACTCCCAATCAGTGATGGAATTACGCGTTTACCACTCTGAATCCACTATCATGCATATTCGAGTGCTTTGGTGTCAAGGAGAACCTGATCTACGTAAAAACGGCGGAGCTGGTATGGATTATAAACTTCGCAACGGAAGTTAGTAGCGTGAAGCAAAAGACAATCTGTGTATTGATCGTCGTGTTCTATATACAGAAGCCGAAAGTTATCAGAGCCCACCCAAGAATGAAACAAAAGTTTAAATTAAGAAAGAAAGAGACTTGTTCAAGCAAACGCATTCTATAAGCGCAGATGCCACTGCGGTGCATTAGCCGTCAATGAAACTATAAGTGGATTGTATAAAGTCAAACCAAGTTCAGGCAATCATGCGGAGACCCCCAAGCCTTCGCCACCGGCCTTGTGATACGGCGGCTTCGCACCATCTGCGCTTGCTGGGTTGAAGCGCCAAACCCCACCAGTCTTGTCGCCTTCGAGCGATGTAAGGCCGGCCTTTCTAGCAAGCTGTAAGAGCCCCTGGTCCTCGTTTTCATCTACGCGGTTGAAGAAGCGGCGCTCCCATTCCCGGCCCTCGGACTTTTCAACTTTGCGAAGCTCGCGTTGGGCGTTCTCAATCTTTGACTTGGCCACAGACACGGCGTCCATGTCGCCCCGCTCGATGCCTGATGCCACGTCCCGCCAGGCACGCCGACTTTCGTAAAGGTCTTGATCCTCCAGTGGGGCCAACTGGAGCGGAGTAGTCTTGTTATCCTTAACCACGTACGTCTCCACTTCATCCTTGGTTCGGGCATTCTTGATGGTGAATTTATCCGACCATTGCCCATCGACAGTGTACAAAGGCTTCTTCTCTCCTTCGCTCTCCTTATACAAGATAGCGTTAAATGTGTTTTTCTTTCCACTTAGCCAGCCTTTACCGGAGTAGTCGATTTTAGCCACGTAGCCAGTGCTGCTAACAATCCGTGTCGTTTTTTCCAGCTCCACGAACGGAGTTCCATAGATCAAGGATTCAATGTGCAAACTTGGAAGTGTGATAATGTACTGTTCCTTCTGGGCCGGGTCGTTCTTATCCGCGTTGGGTGGGGTGACGGTCAGGAGGGCGTGCCCGATCTGCTTGATTTGGATAGTGCTTGAAAACGAGGCCTTCTGGGCGTTGTAACCTTGTAGCTGTACAAGAATAACGTTAATAATGACCCTCTGGAGCAAAAAATAAGAATCAAAAAGAAAAAAAAGACGCAGACTTACTTCTACCCCATGTTTCTCATTCCGAATCGCATAGGCGGTTGCTGGGGGGTGGTGGCTGACTTCGGTCAGCCTCCCGCGGTCGAAAAAGACTTGTTCTGGGGTGTCCACCTACCTGACTTGTTCACTGATCAATGAGGTTTCCCCGACATGCTCGTCAGTGTTCCACTTGCCCAGGAAGAGCTCTCCCAAGAAGGGGTTCAGGGGCTTCTTCTCACTACCCAGTTTCTCGCTACGGGTACAATATTGCTGGTGGAGGGTGCTAATGAACCATTTCAGAACAGCTAGGGCTCTTTTCTCGGGGTCCGCTTCTGTAGCTGGGGCCACGAAAAGGTTCGGATGCTCAGCCCAGTAGGCGGAGTACTCGGTCAGGGAAGTGGAGGAAAGGATAAAAGGTGGAGCGGTCAAGGAAGAGAGGTCGCCGTTGAAAGAGGCGATAGACTTTAAAAGGGCTCACCAGTTAGTTGAAGAAATGAACTGTCAATTGAAGCAGGTTGTGATGTACCTTGAGGAAACTTGACCAGGAGCCTTTGCTGCTGGCGGGGATTGCATCCTTGCTGGAACTCATCTTTTGCTAGGTAGTTCTGAATTTCTAAAGAAGAAAAGTTTTTGATTTCGAGTTACTGATCTAACGGGAAAAAGTAGTCACTGGAGCCAGCAGTAACAGTCTTGGGGCGGAGGGGGGGGGGGTGTTTGACAAAAGGTAAAGAATATGGCGAAGTGGGGAGAAAGGGAAGAAGAGCAATGGATAATGAGGGTGAAGCCAGTTAGTTGGGTTTAGACTCCGTAGGTGAAATGCCCACGCGAACGGTCGTAACACTAGTCCCATTGCGACGTCATGTCCCCCGCCGCCGTCTTTTTTTCCTTTGGTTGGTTTGAAACTCTTGGGTCCCTTCCTGCATGCATCTTTCTTTTACCGTCGGTACAGACATCGAAAAGTCATTGGCATTGGTGAGAATCTTCCCTTAGTCGAGGTCTAATTTTGCCACCTCACCTCTTATCCTCGGTTGGATCTTTGGACTAAGGGGTCAACTTTGCTTTTATTCTCCGACAATATTGATGTATCGGGACAACAGTAAAGAATGCCATACAATAAAATAATAAAATAAAAGCCAAAGAAAAAAAAAGGAGAAGAAGGAAAAGACGCCACTTAAAACATCGGGAGTCTTGTCACAGGTTGAATTTGAGATTCCTGGCCGTTTTAATATTGAGGCTTGTTTTCCCTGGTGGAGATCTTATCAGATGACTTGGCTCTCAGCGTGGCTTGCACCTGATTTATCACGAGTCGAGCTGTTCGGTCCCCTTTTCCACGCAAGCAACCTATCCTCCCCCTTCAAACCTCAGCTGTCGGCTTTCTTTCGGATACGCATTTTTGGTCCTGTCTCTTTATTGCCTTTGTGCGTGACGCGTACCCGTCACCTTTGAGGCTTTTACGCCTCGCACAGGCAATCTAGCAATTGTTGTCTGTGTCTGGGGACTTACGGCAACTGTATTTTCACTTATTAATTCAAGGATTGGTTGATCATGGAAAGCGAGATCCTAAACACTCCAAAAAAGACTTCTGAGGAGTTTGAATAAACCTGAAAGGCCGGTCCTGAAGGGAAACGTCCATGTGTTATATAAACACTGTTATCTATCCACGCCTTTGTCCCTTCTCCTCTGTCAAGTCAATTGCTCTGGATAAAAGGTGAAATGGAAAAACACGCGAAAATGGGCTGATTTTCAGACAGGATGTTATGGTCCTTGTGACGAAAACTTGTTCTAGCCAACAAGTAGACCAGCCAGGTTACTGTGTATGGTGATCAGTGGGCCGTTGAGACTCAATAATTATAACAAATTCTTGCCAAATCAACAATTGTGAGAGCACGTCAAAATTGGCTCCATCACATTAGTTGGGTCGTCATGTGTCTGGTCGTCGCAAAACCCATCTGGTCCCATTGTGATGATCCTCCTGAACAGCTCCTGTTGCGGCTCCACTTGGTTGCGGATCCTCCTTAGTCAAGAACCGATGGGTAACGGGAGCTATCGGAAAGCCGTGTACGGAGTACTCCTAGAACCCAAACGGGTCCTGCTACCGTCTCCGCCGACTGAAACAATTACTTCATGGGAACACGCGTAGTAGTTTTCGGCCTATTGTTTGCGCCGTTGGTCATCCAGGGGTCTAGTTGGACTGCAATGTCGATCCTGTTCCCACTCTTGGGCCAAGCTATAGACCTGCGGCTCCGCTCCCGAACCTATAGTGGCCATGGGCGTGGCTAGGTCTCAGGCACATCATTGGCTCCGCGCATTGTACGGGGACTCTGGTATTTCTATGGTCGCCCTGTGAAGCATGTGCTACTCTTCACATTGTCTTCCCGCTGGGCTCTGAGCGCTCAGGCACCAATGATATCGAGTTGGCCCCATTTGGCTGCGTGGTCTGGCCACACTTCAGGCTGATGATGTGATGATAGTCGTGCTAAAAATGAAATTCTATTCTGCAAAACGCGCAATGCAAAGAGCATTGGGGGTCTGTCTCCTTTTCCGATTTTGTTCATTTAAGATGCAGATGGTGTCAATATGTCTGCTCATTGAAGCACTGTATCCAAAACAGATTTCTCTTTTCCAGTTCTCAGTCTCTCTTTTCAATGCTTTCTCTTGGCTTTCGCCCTGCCGCTCATTCCAGTTAGCCTCTAAGACAACTCAATGTCAAATCTTTCTACACAGTCGTTCATCCAGTGACCCAGTGCCTAATCCCTGGAGGAGTTCAACCAATTTCATTCTCTAGTTGACCATTGTCTTTCCTTTGTTGTCCCTGCAGTTGGCCTGAGCCATGTTCAAGTCTGCTTCTGTCAAGTCTGTCTCTGTCCATGAGCGAGAAATCCCGACGATGTCGGACAGATCGTCTCTCAATTCTGCTACCACTCAAGTTGCCACAGAGGAGCATCTAGCTCCTCGGGAAGACTTCGGGCAACCCCCTGGCACCCCCAATACGCTTGTTCCTGTGCAATCTGAGCAAGGCTCTGATTTGCAAAAAGAGCCTGTTGCAGATGATGATGACTTTGAAGAAGCTGATGCAGAACAATATAAGCGGTTCTCACCCGCACGAAAAATTATTATTGTTTCTATCCTCTCGTACTGTGCCTTTCTTGCTCCTATCTCCTCAACAGCCATCCTGGCCGCAGTTCCAGAGATATCCAAGACCTTTAAAACGACGGGGGATATAATCAATGCTAGCAATGCACTTTATCTGACGTCCATGGGAGTCGCCTCTCTTGTCTGGGGTCCTCTTAGCCAGGTTTGGGGCCGTCGCCCCGTAAGTTTCACCTCTATGTTTTAGGATTCTTTGTCTAAGACCTTCCATTGACAAGTGTTTCTCTTTAGATCTTTGTCGCAAGCGGCGTTCTCTTCTTCGTTTTTACGGTTGCCACGGCCTTGTCTCCTAATCTTCCTGCCTACTTCGTCTTCCGTATCCTCACTGCTTTCCAAGGGACATCCTTCCTTGTTGTCGGTAGCTCCGCCATCGGAGATGTGTATGAGCCTCGTAGCCGAGCATCAGCAATGGTATGGCTTCTGTCAGGGAGTATGACTGGACCTGCGGCTGGCCCTTTCCTCGGTGTATGTCTTGATCCCACCTATGATCAATCATCTAGTGGGCAGTGGCTAACATGACGACTCAGGGTGTCATTGTGACCTTCCGATCATGGAGGGTAATCTTCTGGCTTTTGTCTGCGATGAGCGGGTTTTCCGCCTTGATGCTCATTTTTCTCTTTCCTGAGACGATACACTCTAAAACCGATGGTGATCTGGCCGGGAAGAGTCTTCCCGAACAGAGCAAGCTCCTTTGGCAGCGTGTGTCACCCGTTCGTGTGATAACACTGACCTTCTCATACCCAAACATCCTCATCACCGGTCTAGCCGCCGGTGCCCTGGTCTGGAACCAATATGCTCTTTTAACCCCTATCCGTTACATCCTCAACCCTCGTTTCCACCTAAACAGCCCTATTGAATGCGGTCTCTTTTACCTTGCTCCAGGAGCTGGCTACCTGGCTGGCACCTTCGTCGGGGGTCGCTGGGCCGATTATTTTGTTCGAAAGTACATTAAACGTCGCAACGGCCTCCGAATCCCAGAGGACCGGCTGCGCTCTTGCCTAGCATTCGTGTGCGTCGTCGCCCCGGGTTGCATCCTCATCTACGGCTGGACACTCGACCAGGAGGTCGGTGGTATCCCCGTTCCCGTTATCGCCATGTTTCTACAGGGCGTCGCACAATTATTCTGCTTCCCAAGTATCAACACCTATTGCCTTGACGTGATGCACGATCAGGGTCGCAGCGCAGAGGTCATCGCAGGCAACTACCTCTTCCGGTATGTTTTTGCCGCGTTGGGCACCGGCGTCGTCTTACCAGCCACCAAGGCAATGGGTGTGGGTTGGTTCAATACAGTCTCGGCTTTGTTTCTGGTCATTGCTGGGGCCTTAGTATGGCTAACGGCTGAATACGGCCCTAAGTGGCGCGAAGCCATCGATTCCAAGCATCAGCAGAAACAAGCTCGAGAAAAAGAAGCACCTTCCGAGAATGTCTAGGGGCTTCTTACAAAAAAAAAAAAAAAAGGTAGATGCAAAGATATATTTATGTCGTGCTTAATGTGCCAGGCATGATACAATAGAGGATTATATGGGATAGATCCAAAAGTACTTGGGTTTTTGGCGTTTTTTAGACCACATAATGTATATATTGTTATTCTCGTGTTTTATGGCATGGCGTTTGGCTTTTGTGAATACCCATTTGGTTCTCCCTGTACATAGTCACAGTCTACATTAGTGTTAGATACCGAATTGGGAGATAATGAGATATCTCTCGTTGACACGGACAGTAACCTGCTTTCAAATTATTCTTCCGCACTGTAGGATAATGCACTATTGATCTAACACCGACTGCCATATCGTCTTTAGTAATAGAAGAAAAAAAAACTTCCCTTGCACTTACAATATTTGGTTCACCCAACCCCCGGAAGCATTTTTTTCTTCTGCACGAATTTTCGCCCGTCCTGACGACCTTTCTCCACATCCACAAAACTAATCATGATCATAGCAGCAGTACAAATAGCAAAGAGAAACGGAAACCCCATCCAATTGTTTTGTGTATCGTTGATGATGGCTTGGATGACATTCGGGCCGATGATCGAGGACTATATGGACACTGTGAGTACGCTCCGATGTGGCTGTGGATGGCAGACTTACGGCACGGTTGGTGATGCCGAACACAGCGAAAAACATGTTATCGTACCCTTGGGGCATGAGCTCGCTGATCATTGTTTGGGCGTACTATTTGGGATTACTATAATTATAACCTCAGAACTTTCGAAAAAGAGACGAACGTACGGCGTAGTATGGAGCTTGAAAGAGACCAAAAACAACGTTATAGAAGTAGAACTCCCACTGTTTAAAGCATACCTTGTTAGTGAAAGACTCGTAGACTTGTTTGACGTAGCCGGTGTATCGAATTGACTCACCCGATGATGATATCCGATGCGTGTTGTCCACAAACCTAACATGCCCCAGAAAGGGATGAACACACTGAAGAAATTGGTAACAAGAAACATTCGCTTGGTGCTTATTTTGAAATATTTCTGGATATACCAGAACCCGAAGGTCGACATGGTCGAGGTTACTGCTTGAACGATTCCCAGATATGTCAGTTGGAGAAACGAAAATGATACCTCATTGTTCTGGATTATGCTGACGAGTGTCCCTGAGGTGAGACTTCGTTAGCTGTGATCTTGATCTTCTCAGTTTGACACGTGGAGTACACAGCAGAAACCTTACCAGTCGTGTTCAGTCCATCAGCCAGCAAAAAGTAAGCAACAAAGTAGAGAAACGTTTGTGGCAGTGACCGAACTTCTTGGAGTGCTACCCATAATTGCTTGAAGCCAATCGTTGCATAACTGGAGCCCTTTGGAACTGGGGGCCCAGGGCGCTTCTGCTGGAAAATGAACCACCAAAAGCCTAGGACGACCCAGTCTGAAGACCGTTAGCCAGGATACACGAAGCGAATAGAAGCTCAGGTCATACTTACAGGAGTTTGTCAGACACAAAGCAAGATTATTTGAATAGTCATTTCCCTGGAGCGGCAGCAAAACACTCAAATTGAGGGCAAGTGTTAAGAGATATCCAATGTTACTGTGCGCAGTCGACACGTTGCTACGATGCATTAGCGCCTACTCAGCAAGGTAGATATAAGATAGTTTCTCAACCTGATATGGTTTCTTTCCAGCGACTCTATCGCGTCATACTCCTCAATAGTGATTTTGTCTTCGCGCAGATCTTCTTCACGGGCTTTGCGGACGTGGGGCATAAAACGAGCAAGCCGAGGAAAAACAGCTGCGTAGAATACCAATGTCGCACCATAAGCAACATATGCGACCACGTACATGCCCATTGCTGCAGGCCATTGATTGGGATGCTTGATTGCCATCATACCGTACTGCAAAGCCCAACAGACCACGGTGAGGACTAAGAGTAGCCAGCGGCCAAATGAGCCATAATCTGCAGCACTGCCCAGCCAAACAAAGATCACCGTCATAAAAGTAAAACAAAGTCCATTGGCAATTAGAACGACTGACGAGACGGAGCGAGTGCCTCCAGCCCAAGGAACCACACACGCAGATGACGCTGTGCAAGGTTCATGTGGCTCCGCCCCTGGCTGCCAGCCCGCACCAGTTAGAGCCCATTGGAATCTAAGGGGGTTCGATTAGTCCACCTTATGATATTGTCGGCCCAGCGCGCTTACAGTGCTTGAGAATAAGAACCAGGACCAACTCCATTATCACCTGAAGGCCAAGGCAACCCAAGTCAGGGAGGACCAGAAGCAAGAGACCTCAAAGAGCTCACCATTATAGTATAGGTAGTAAGACCATAGCTCTTTCCTGGTCGTTGTGGGCTGCTCATAGTCCTCCTTGGCTCTGAAAAGGTGGTCAAGCTCATCCCTTGAGGGGAGCCGTTCTTGCTGCGGTACTATACCCTGAACAGTGACATCAGCCTTGCTAGTAGAGTCAGGACTTTCTTGAGTAGCCCTGTTACTAGTAACACTCAAATCCATCGAAGATACGTCTTCATTCACACTCCGATCGTCGTGCGATATGACGATTGTCCAGCAAGGAATAAAGCGTTCCTTGTCGCCCTATTTTGGAAAGGATGTCTGTGGTGGTTATTCAGTCGAGAATAGACGAAAGGATGGGATAGATCAGTAAGGATTGTAGAGAGAAACGGCAAATATGAGACAACGATAGTGATCGGGAGATAAGAGATCGTACACTGTGGGATACTACGGTGGTACTTGGTAATTGTGAATCAAGGATGAGTAGTAGATGATAGAATAGGGTGCATTTATCAGAGAGATCATCCATCGAATCGGATCCGTTGATCTCCTCTTCTTTTTACCCCGCAATGAAGGGGGTTTAAATGTATCGCTAGCGTCCACTTTTACCATTCCTCGCTGGTGTCGGTGTTGGTGTTTTTAATTATCCATGATTCGTTGAATACTTTCCTGTCATGAAAGGGTTCACGTGAATCAAAAGTGTTGCCTGAAACCAATTAAGGCAATCAATCAATCAATCATACAAAACAGGGTTTGTATGTTTTGTATGTACTGTACTGTACCTTCCAATTTTGTTTGTATCTCCTCTCTCTCACACTTCAAGATACGTCCAAGTCTCTTTTTACTCACTATTAGTCTTTTTTGGATTCACTATTATTGGCCCAACTAGTGGGCTGATGTTTAGATCCCCTCTCCCCCGCGTGGGTCTCCTTGCAATCCATTTAATAACAACGGAACTACTACTCCACTCCACACCCATCTGCCTCTTACCACCACCACGCGGGTCACTCTCCATCTCTCTTCAGCCCCTCACTCTGCAGTTGCTGAGATGCAATCCACAGATCTGCGTAAGAAAGTCGGCCAGGTACGAGCAAGGCTTCCTAACATGACTTTCGAACAAACAACGCCAATGAACAATGAACTAAGTACCACCTTTGTATAGCTTTTTGCGGTCGGCTTTCACGGCCTTACTCCCAGTCCCGAGATCAAAACCCTAATCCACGAATATGGCTTGGGGGGCATTGTTCTTTTCAAGCGAAACATCAGCGATGCAGTCCAGTTGCAAGTAGGTCACTCTAGTCATACGATGATAGATACCAAAAAAAAAAAAAAAACATCGCTGACACTCTTAGTCTCTAACCCACGCTTTACAAGACGAAGCGAGACTAGCGGGGCATGAATTCCCCCTGTTTATTGGTATTGACCAAGAGAATGGATTGGTCACCCGGATTTCACCTCCTATTGCTGCTCAACTTCCTGGGCCTATGGCTCTTGGAGCGACTTATGCCCCAGAGCTTGCTAAGGAAGTCGGCACCGTCACGGGCGAGACACTGAGACTATTTGGGATCAACATGAACTATGCACCTGTGTGCGACATTAACTCAGAACCCCTAAATCCAGTGATCGGAGTCCGCAGTTTTGGAGATCACCCTGGATTGGTGGGAAGACTGGCATGCGCCACTGCTCAAGGACTCCGAGAGCAAAAGGTGGTTCCCAGCGTCAAGCATTTCCCAGGACACGGAGATACTGCTGTGGACTCCCACTATGGCCTTCCTGTCATCTCTAAGACAAGAGAACAGCTAGAAAAATGTGAATTGAGACCATTTAGCAGAGCTACAGCCGAAGGTATTGAGGCAGTGATGACAGCCCACATTTCGCTACCTGCTATTGACGACAGTCGGCTCCCTGCTACACTTTCTGCCGAAGCCTTGAATATATTACGGAAGGACATGAACTACGACGGTATGGTGATCACAGATTGTCTAGAGATGGATGGTATCCGTGCCTCATACGGTACTGAGCAGGGGGCAGTTCTCGCTTTAGGGGCTGGCTGCGACAGCATTATGGTCTGTCACACTTATGATGTCCAGGTAGGATCGATCGACAAGATCTGCGAGGCTGTAGAATCCGGAAAAGTGGCGGCTTCGCGTCTGGAGGAAGCTTTTCGCAGAGTGACTGCACTAAAAGCCCGTTTTCTGAGTTGGGACGCTGCGCTCAAGCCACAGAGCCTTAATGGGCTTACATATCTTAACCAAAAAGGCGCAAAATTAGCAAAAGACGCCTATTCTAGCTCGGTCACTCTTGTGCGCGATGCGCAGAGTATTCTTCCCTTGTCTCCTTCATCGAAGATTGCATTTCTCTTTCCGGGGGATAAGACACCGGCTGGCGGTGCAGTGGATGGGGAGGGATTGGGCAGGAAGGGATCTTATAACGCCTCCGTTTACCTCGACATCCTTAGACAATGGAATAATCAAGCCTTCGAGATTCGATACGGGCCAACGGGTCTATCGACAGAGCAGCTCAGCCTTGTCGAAGCCGCAGATGTGGTCATATTCGCGTCTATCAATGCACAGGAATCAGCATATCAAAGAACGTTGGGTCTCGAACTTCCGCGCCGCAATCGTGCAATGGTTGCTATGGCACTCTGTAATCCCTATGACTTTCTGGGGGATTCGGATATTCAGACCTACGTCGCTACGTACGAGCCGACGGCAGAGGCTTTTACAGTGGCTGTGGAGCTTCTCTTTAGGCCGCACCTCGCAAAGGGGGCTCTACCTGTTGGGCCAGGGAAGCCTGCACCACGTTGGCTTGAAGTACGACAATACGCAGCTGCAACTGATTTTCCCCAGGTATATGATGTATGGCTCGCAGCCCTGCCCAATTATAAAGTATCTGCAGACAACCTAAATGAAGTAATAACCCCTCCGCCTCATGTTCTCCCTGTTGAATCACACCATCTCGTTGCCAGAACAAACTACCCAGAGTCCAAAGTCGTTGGATTTTGTCTCCTCTTCGTGGCCGCCCAGCGGGATACTGTCTGTGTCCAACTTGCAGCGCTTGCGGTTGATCCGAGATTGCAGGGACGGGGAATAGGGACCGCCTTACTTGCAGAGTGTCAGGCTTGGATGGAGAATACATTCAAGAAATCTCGTCTAGAGCTGGGAAGTACATTTCCACGTTTCTGGCCTGGGCTTCCCATTGACCTGCCGACGAATGTCCAGGAATTCTTTGTTCATAGGGGATTCCAGCTGAACCCCCCAGTTCCACGGTCTGTTGATCTCTATCAAGATATCAAAGAATTTCAAAGTCCAGGGTTGTACGTCACACGAGCTAAGGAGCGAGGATATACCTTCCGTCCTCTAGAAACTGCAGACTACCAAGAATGCCTTGTTGGCCAGGAGAAGAACTTCTCGTATAACCAAGTATGTGTTTTAATATACTGCCTGTCACCTCTAAGCGCTTATAAAGTACTGATATCTTTCATAGGCCTGGGTTCAGATGTATCATAAACTTGACCCTAGCAAATACCCGTCCAGTGTAATGACCGCATTTGACCCTAACGGGAAGCAAGTAGGCTGGACGCTAATGCTTTCCCATGAGTCTCCCATGCTCAAGCCGCATTGGGCATTCCCTTCTCTCTGTGGACCCAAAACCGGCCTCATTGGTTGTGTCGGTGTCGACACAGATTATCGCAAAGAAGGAGTTGGGCTTGCCTTACTCTGCCATGCGATCGAAGATATGAAGCAAAGAGGAGTTGAGGGGGTTTTTGTTGACTGGGTGAGCCTCGAAGGGTGGTATGAGAAGCTCGGGTTCAAGGTCTGGTGGAGTTGCCGAACGGGGGCGATGCAACTTGACGCTTGAGAATGATATGAACAAGGTCCCTCAGAGCTGCAACTAAATTGTCACCGTGAAGTTTACGATGTAGCCTTCAACCCTTGTGCGCTGACGACACATTGATCCCATTTTTATTTCTGGGAATTAAGTATATAAAGGTTATTCTAAGCCGAAACGAAGTTTTTTCTCTAAAATCAGGAGTAGACAGACCCCTCTATCGATATAGTAGTTGGGATACTTTGCATTAGCATCTCAGAGCTTTCCGCGAGACGAGTGTAGAGAGTTCCTAGGCCTAGTAAACATATAGCCACATTCAATGGCATTAAGAATGGTTTTCCAGGAGATCCCATGTCCCCCAAAGGCTGATAATCTTGCAGCCGGCAGTATACTGTATTGTAGTGGCGGTACGAGGAAAGAAGTTGAATAAAAATAGAAAGATGAAGAAAGCTGTAAGTGCTATCACAAAGTTGCGAAACCCTCCGGTGTCCTGACCCATCGTAGACCACAGGCAGTCGGTTTTCACTAGAATGACCTTACTCCCAATCAACATTCTCTTGCAGATTTCTGGGAAGAGTGAACGAGGGAGGAGAGAGGGAAACCAAGGTCAATACAGAGACTCCAGAAGTTCCTCTTTACAGTTGCGGGACCAAAGCAAGATAGAGCAATGCTCATTATCTCTCGAATGGCTAACTAGCTAGAGAAAACCATTCAAGCAATTTTCCATTTCACATACGCTGATGTAACTAGTAAAACATGGCGAGCGTTAACCTCATAACCATCCATGACCTGGTACATACACGCCATAAGATTTTATATTAAACTGTCGAAAGGATTAGCACGACAACCACCAGTAAATCGTCTCGAACTGATAACCCAGTAAAGTAGCAAATTAGTTCTCTCAATCTGAGAGATATTGGGCCCTACCTCTTCCGTTAGGTCCGCGTCGCTACGTGGTCAAACTGGTACAGAGGCTCCAGCTTGACATTGCGTCGAAAGATATATCTCTTTACCCAGTATGGGAGTGCTTTCTTGAGTTGATAGCCGGAGTGCATACGAACAGGAACAGCAAATACGTAGTCCAGCTCCTCCAGGGTGCGCTGCTTAGTCTCCGGAACTAAGAAGAAGATCATGATACATGCTGTAACATTTAAGCCCCTGTTCTTATGTCAGGTCCTTGTGGAACAAAACGTCAAGCAGCAACATTTGAGTGACAACTTACGCGTAAAAGGCGAAAGCTCCTGTTGGCGTCATAACCTCCAGCATCCGTGGGAATGTGATGCTGAGCACGGCTGCCCAAAAGAGGTTTGTCGCCACAGCAAAGGACATACCAATCTCTATGTAATGAAATAGAATACGCAAATCAGTAAATCCTCTCTGTACTCTGCGACGGCGGGTTTATCACCTCGATGCGACAAAGGGAATACCTCGGCAGAGTAAGCAAAAGGAACAGGTCCCTCGCCGACTGAATAGAATGCCGCAAACATAAAGACGAAAAGAGAGATGCAGGCTAGGTGTGCAGTCTGCCCCTGTGGTATGTAAAAGCAAAACCCTGCAGCCAACAATGTCCAGGCCATTTGCGGGAAGGTAAACAGGAGTAGGGCCCTGCGTCCGTATGTATCGATAGTGAACACAGCAGGAAAGGCGAACAGGAAGTTGATCAGACCAAAGCCCCATGAGGCAAGCAATGCCTCAGTCACATTTGCCCCAGCTTGAGCAAAAATTGTCGAGGAATAGAACGCCACAATATTAATACCGCACATCTGTTGGGCAAGCATGACTGTCCCTGACGCAAGGGTTGCACGGCGGACACGCGGGATAGTGAACAATTCACCAAGACGCACCAGGAAATTGTTCTTACCAACAAGCTCTTCTTCGATCTTGATCTGGGTATAGATGTAGTAGAGGTCTCTGGCCGCCTGTAAATCGCTGTTACGCAACTTGCATAGTGACTGGTATGCTTTCCTGACTAACCCCTTTTTGAGATACCAACGAGGGGATTCAGGGCATAAGAACACACCAAAGACCAGAGGAAGAGCTGGAATAAAAGCTGAGCCGAGTTGCAGGCGCCAGGATATGGCACCCGTGTCTTTGACAGCAAGGTTTGCGCAAGTCCCGAGGAAAATTCCAAACGCAGTCCACAATTGCCAGGACATCACCAGGCCGCCACGAATGTTTGCAGGGGTATTTTCGGCGCAGTATATGGGGATTGTGGCTCCTTTCAGTCCCATCCCAATACCCATCAACAGGCGAGTAACGAATAACTGAGGCCAGGTTTGAGAGACAGCAGAGCCAATTGGTGTCAGCAAGCAGAAAATAGCAGAGATAAAGATGACGCCACGACGGCCCAGGTACTTATTAAGGGGGTCTGAGAGCCAGCAGCCGCCAAACGCAGTTGCAAGGTAAGGCGCACTAGTCTCCATATTAGTAGTTGGGCATGTGGAAACGTGGAATACATACGAGTTCAAAATACCAACAAGCCACTGGTTTCTGGCCTTGAGTGCACCTTTCTCTGGGATGCCCAGGGCATCAGGAAAAGACAAGTTGGCACCTGGTAGGGAAGGAGATAAATAAGCGTCCAACCGCAAATGGCTATCAAAGATACATACCATTACTTCCCGTCTGATCCCATCCCCTGAAGGACAATTAGCTACTATCATAAGGGAAAGCAATAGACAATGAGTCGACAAGATACATACTGGACGGCAGCCCCAATGGAGCAAAGGCCAATGGTGAAATAGAGCGGCCATGGCTGGCGCCACTTGTGAGTGGTCTCGTTAGTAATGACAGTGATTTCCTCATCAGTCATGTTCTCAAATGTTTCGAAGTTGTCTGGGTCCCTCGCAATAAGAGCACCCTTCTTCAGATGATCGAGGATGTCTTGAAGTCCATGCTCATTGGCGAAGTGCTCAACATCTTGAAGAACCTGAGCGGGGGTCAAGTCTGCAAGAGGGTTCTTGATCCTAGAAGGATGCATTAGCTCCCACTCGCACAAAAAGGGAGATACTGTGAATACGACTGCATATAAGAGATAGCTTACTTGGCAGAGGTGTTCTTGTTGAGATTGATATGCTCGACATGCCCCTTCTCAGAAGTTCCATGATCATCGCTGAGACTTTGCAGAACCTGTTAGCAAGGGTTTCTTGAGAACGAACTATAGATGAAAGAGGCAACGAACCGTTGCTCCACGTGTGACATTAGATCACCAGGAGGCGTATCTCCATCCGACTTCACTTTGGAGCCATCCATGATCACTGAGGCTTACAGAAAGAGACGTACAGAGAAATGTGAATACCGTCAGCGGTTGGGAAGGTTCCAGATTTGATGGCTGAAGTGGGAGAGAGGTAGCAGTGCTTTGGTAAAGGAGAAGGTGGGAATAGGGGGGGAAAGAAAGGTTTAAGAAGGAAAAGGTGCGGGAGAGAAGCAGACGAGATGAAAAAAGAAGAGTGTCATGCGATCTAAAAGGGGAAGGTGTCATGGAAGACCTGAGAAATAGGGCTCCAACACAGCAGGTGATGCTTTCCCCGGACGGGGTTAGCAGAGACCAATACCCAATCACACCAGTACTGCATTCACTTGTGTACTTAACACTTCTTTCTGTCCATGGTTCCACTGCTGTTTCCCCGTGGGAATCCCCAACCCCATACTCACACCCAGGTAATACTGATCCCTAATGCTTCGTCCGTAGACAACCGTAATCACTAGATACTACTTGGTAGTATGATGCAGAATGGCCATGTTTCTTTCCCTCTTCTGCTGTTTGCAACTCTACTCAGGCAGCAGTGCAATAGTACAAAACCAGGGAGGGGGTTCTTGGTGAAGCCACTGGATCAAACTTCACCCAACTTTCTAGAACCTCACTACCAAACAAAGGCACAAGCAACCCCTACCCTACAGTATATTATTTGATGATTGTTTTTGATGTTATGAACAGAGCCATTCTATGAGACCTTTTTGTTTACCCTTACAAATGTTTATATGACCGCTAGATATTTCTAGCCGCCTTTGGACCTGGACTTCCGTCGAGCACCCGAAGCTAATTAATAAGGAAGTTATAGTAAAATGAATAGGCTACAGCTAGCACTGGCATATAAATTATACATACCAAGCATTTCTTATGAAGTACATGCGCCTTAAGCTCAAAGCACGCTAAGTCTAGTTTACTGTCTATTAGAAGCAAGGAGCTGCTTCCATTACCTCGGCTAGCCATAGACTATGCTAGGAGCTAAAGTAACAATAACGTGAAATTACAGTTTGGGTAAGTGTTTGTAGAATGGTATCAGGCAGAAGCAGGAGAGGGAGGAATGACAATCAAGCTACGTTGCTCCCCTTGAAGCTGCAGATTGAGAAGAAGAGTCTGGCCGAGGCCAAGGGCTAAACAACTGAAGAGTACTACCACAGTACGCGCCTTGAGCGATTGGCCATTGGCCATTGGCCATTCAAGTGAGGTTGGCTTGGTACACTAATCCTGACTTAGAATAGTATGATTTGGTCTAACATCCATTTCGATTGGAAGTTAGTCATTTTGTACTTGTATCATACAGCATGGAGGGTCTTTTTCTTCTACAATTTCATTTTCATCCTAGTCCTTTTCTTGGTTTTGCTTCTCGGCTGTAGCCCTTGAATGCGACAATAAAGCCTATGGAAATTCTCGGGTGATTATTCCGGATGACGAGAGAACTTCATCACAGCCCATTCAATAGCATAGGATTATGTCTCCATAATCCGTGAACCATAGATTTACCAGCACCTCAGATAGACAGGTGATCATCCACTTGATAGAAGAAACCCTGGAAATCTCCAGGTTCGTAGAATCACAGTCCGTCAGAATGACCGAACTCGGGGAGTATACCGAGGACCAAATTAGATTAATTAAATCAAACACTCTAGGTTTAGAATATCATAGCTACTCGATATTTAAACATGGGTTATTTGAAATAGAAAATCTAAGATTAGGTCGACACAGACGCTGAGCTCAGACTACCATTACCCCGGATCAAATCTGGCAAAAATCGATTATCCTGCCTTTGCAGTGTCCAGCGTTGCACCGAAGTGCAGATATGATTTTCATCAACTAGAAATGACGAATCGTGGCCGAAGTAACTTCACTGACAGCCGGTGCTATTCATTTATTTGGTAGTCTTATTTTTAGTGGTCTTGGGTTCGCCCTCTTGTTTTTAATTCGAGTCCAAAGACTACTGTTCTTGCGGAACATCACCATATGGTGAAGGGCACACTCTGTCTCCTTTTCGATACATTCATGGAATTGAGATTCTTTAAATTCGCTGTGTGATTATATAAATCTATTCATAAGCTCCCTATAAACTGGCAAGCTAAATACTACTACATGACTCCTTACAGTAACCCTGAATCCTACCAAGCACGCGCTCGGCCCCTATTTTGAATAATAGATGGGAATAAATTCCTATTTAATATTTAGTAGTTCAGGTTCTTTGATAATCTTGAGGGTTTGGAAATGAGATGTCTCTGTTTATGCATTAAGAGATACCTTGCTCATATACAACCTGTATTTTGCTGTGGTATAGTAAGTATTAGCCCTGTTGTTACAGTCGACGTGAAACAGGAGTATCGCAAACACAACGAAACACTTACGAGTTTCGCCGAGATAATCAACCGTCGCGTTGACCAGAGCATTCGTATTCATCTACATCTGTTTAGATCAATTGGGACGTACTGAAGCATACTCCACAAGAGAAGTTGTCCGCTGTTCAGGTTGGGTTTCCGCTTCGCACTCGTTTTATAAGGACACGGTTTACAAGCTTCAGGTGACTTATATGTGAAGAATACGGTTCATTCGACGGGCCAGGATAATTCACTGAAGCCAGATTACCCTGGGTTCCTGATTATCTGCTTTTTGCTAAACTATATAATAATCTGAGATTCCGAGAGGACTGATGTTCGTACAATCTGGCTCATTGGATCGAACAACTTAATCGTTATAAGTCAGCTCATCTGGTAATTATTCTGTTCAAGTTGAGTTAGACCCCTGATACGATGATGCTAGTGGCTTCATTTTATAAATAGCCTTGAGTTTGGGGACTGAGCCCAGGCCCGGTCCAACTATATTTCCTTAAAGGGTTAAGACATTTCGTAGCCGTAAATCACGTGTGCTAACCCCAGAGAGAAACAACCGCCACATCCAGTTCCGAGATGCTTGTTGGTAGTTCGACACTGACGTGGCATCAGTCCATATATCCGGAAATATGCTTTCGTTGCTTTACTTTACATAGAAACTCATGTGGATTCTCTGTCAGCCACAAAATGGAGTTTTCTCAGTCAAATATACCGTCTGCGCAGGATCTCCTGCGTTCCGGGGAGCTGTTTGTTCCATTTTCCGAGTTTCCGGTCCAGACCATCTATGAGACCACTGGCTGGTTCGAAAGGAAGCTACAGGAAGGGAAGCCGTTCGTGATTCGTGGATTAAACCAGCTTGATTGCTGGGACGCACCAACTTTGAACAATGGGTGCTTGGTTACATCCTCTTCCTCGGGAGGTATGTATCTAAAAGTTGCTGGGTATATATCTCATATAGATTTGCTGACAACTGTTCTCGGTTTACTCTGCTTAGCTATACCAGTAAGGAACTGCCAGACTGGTCGTGATGTTAGGATGCGGCTGCGTGATCTGATACCGACGGACCACACTCGTGCTGGTCACGTCCGTGAATCGTATGTCAAGGAAAGCCACCAATACATGTCTGTGACATGTTTTATTGACTGCCCATATTAGGCTCTACGCGAAGGACCTTCAATGCCCTGCCGAGTGGATCAGAGCGTTAAAAGCTGTCTTACCTTCCTGTTTAATGCAACTAGGCTCGTTCGACTTATTCCGAGTATTACCAAAGGAAATCACTCCAGAAGTGTTGATGGCTTACGTTGGAACCCAGTTGTCCTTGTACGTAAACTGCGGATATGGTGCGAGACCTTTGCTTATCTGACTCGTGTTTCAGGTCCGGTTTCCACAGATGCTTTAGTGGAACAGTTGCACTTAATTTGATGGTTGAGTCTGAAGGTATGTAAATACACTCACAGCACCAGTCTTCCTTGGGGCTTACCATATAATAAAGGGAGCCGATATGGCTCACTGTGCTTTGGCACAGACCAAGCCTCACAGGAAAAGTACGACTTGTTTATGGAAGGACTTGGAAAGTCGTCCCACACTGATTGGGCCAATATCTCCATTGCGCAAATGAAAACTGCCAATTTTCCAATATATGTCACTCATCAAGAGCCTGGGGACTTGGTCATATTTCCTTCGGCAACTGCTCATCAAATATGGAATGTGAGCTCCATGGTGACGAAGGTGGTCTGGAACATCATGCATGCATCCTCAATTCCATCATTTTTTAATTATATTCAGCCTGTATATCAAAAGCAATGCCATGCAGATACAGGCAGAGTTCCCTTGATACCAATACATGCACTACGCGACAGCAGTCACAACCCAGAAGAGACGAAACTGCTTGTAGATATGCTTCAGCAGCTAGTCGACGACGAGGATACGGGGTGCGACTCATCTGTGCCTATTAAACTTGTGGATACACAAGGAGCTGTGGTGGAATGTAACTTTTGCGGATTAACGATTTGGAACCGACACTTACACTGCGAACAGTGTGGAGATTTTGACCTCTGTTTAACCTGTTACGTATCCGGAAGGAGTTGCAAGCATGTTGGTGACTATACTTGGGCTGAGTTATTCCGGAGCGAATATTGCCGAAGTCTTATCAAAACAGCTCGAGATAGATTAGGCAGCTATTCCGCCTCAGACATAGGACGACCGAAGTATGACTCCCTAAATCACTGTTAGACCGGCATGTCTTAGCTTGTCTGTGTGACAGTTTGCTCCAGTTCCAATTTCGCTGGGTTAAAACGAATATCATTGCTAACCTATGAATTAGACAAAAGACTTTAGGTGCCATAGCTCTGGTGGCAGTGGAGGCGCGACGACAATCCTCAGTAAGTTTATATGGTGGTTTCAATTAGTCTTTGCGATAAATTTATAATTTCACAGGCTGACGATGCCTAGGAACGTCTCTGTCATCTCTGCCGTGACAGTCACCCTGTCTGGAAGGGAATCACATGCTCCCAATGCTCGGCTTTCTTCTGCTATCGTGGTCTATACAGACACTTTGATATTAATCTCCTTAGGTTCCTCAGGAATGAAATCCCGTGGGTTTGCCCAAAATGCTCGCAAATATGCAACTGCCGTTGTTGCCATTTCTCTCGTCCTTACCAGAGCAAGGATAAGCCCATCCGAGCTCGGATTAAGCCTGTTGATCCACGAGGTCGCATCGCCGGCTTTGTGGACAACGTATTTGACCAAAAGAGAGGCAAGAGAGCTGTCACTATTACACAAAGCGCATCGCCACAGAGTACTTTGGAGCCTCGGGGACAGAAACGACCTAGGACGCCAAACAACGATGGTCACGAAAGGTCGCTACACGAAGCTGTAGACTCCTCTGAGAGTGTTGACTCCTCTCAGATTAGGAGGTCGCATATCGTTACAGATGTCGATGTTCCCCACAGCCTTCCCATGCGCGGCAGTTCGACAGGGTCTTTCAATTCAAAAGGGCAGCTCCGAATCA